GCCTTATTGCTGCAGGACCTATATACATAAGCTATATAGTTATATAGGTATAAACTATAAACTAATATATTGAAATATTGCGCATACTTATTAAACTATAAATGTATTGTGTTCATTACATTCCCGATTCAAAATGTACTGGATTTGATAGAAATCTACATTTCATAAAGGTCGTGCGATCGATTGGTGTGGCTTAATAATAATTAATTTGTTGAACTGTATATGAATATGAATTAAAAATCTTCAGCCTATTACCTTGATAAATATATAAATTACGATTTGTAAAAAATATTCAGATATCCAAACGATTCAATTATTTATGAACTTATTTCTCGTTTATCTATAGATAAGATAAATTAAATAAATAAAACTATCAAACAGATAAATCACGACACTGTAAAACAGTAAGAGTTCTCATTGTTTTTCACGGTGAGAATTTAAGGTCTTTAATTAAAACTACGCTATTTTTACGAACAATTTTACAAACGTTCCGCGTTAAACGCGCTCGTGACAGGATTTCATAACGCAGGTATTACTCTTGAAGAAATTTCTAAAACGCAATTATATTATGCACTCGGGTAACTCGTATGTGAATTTAGAATATTATCGTGGAATATATTATAAATAATATATACGAAATAGTCGATAAATTTAATTTATTGCAAAGAAAAAAAAATCCTCTTTGAATAATTGATACGTAATTTAAAATTCACTGCGTTGAATGGGGGGGAGGGGATAGGGAAGACTGGTATACAATCAAATTATCGGGAGGGGTTTTTTTTGTTTTTTTTTTTTTTTATACTTTCACGTGAAATCGTAAAAATAACAATATCACGTACTACGATCGCACTTTTTATTGGATATTTCGTGTCGAATATTATATCAGAGCCTAAAATTATTCCCAATAATAGATGGGTAAACCAGACATCGATTAATGCGACTATATTAACGACGGTTTTTTCGCATGTTTTACAAATAAATCAGCCACGAAAATAATACGTATATGGCTGTTCTTCGTGGAAGCATGTGAAACAAGTATACGCCAATTCAGTTAGGGCATCGTGTTAAAATGAGGCGCGAATTCGATAATCCGGGGCGCCGGTATACCGAAAATACCGTACGTTACGTTCAGGTGCGGGGAACTCGCGGACTCTCCCGACCGGCTCGTTAGAGGTGTTATAATAACGGTGCGATAATATTAACCCGCGGACGTGATTTCGGCCCGGCCGGGACGCGCCAGCGCCGGCGATCGGAGATAACTCGTTCCCCGTCTCTTCCGAAGTTTTAATACATACGTACATAGAATAAGTGATAATAGATAGCGGTTTGTGCGGATATATTTAAGGTTTTCGCGCGGCCCCCGAAAACCGTTGCGCGCCGGGCTCGAAAGGAAATGCCGCCGGTCCGAAGAGTGTCGCGGATCATTAAACGAATACACAGTGTTTATTATTATTATTATTATTATTATTATTATTGTTATTATTATTTTGCGATATTATTCGTGTGCCAACTTGTTGAAAGTCTCGGTTATACGCGCCGCATCACCGGTGCAGCGGCCCGGGCCAGACGTACCGTGGCGTTTGCGATCCAGCGAGGATTCCGATACCGCCGTGATAACAGGCGCGATCGTTATCGACGAGGGTTTCCGAAATCGATGGGCACGCATAGTCGTCGCCGCGGCGCCGGGGGAGGTGGGAAAAATCCGGTCTTTTTACGCCTTGTTGTTTCGTACAAATTACGAGTCGGATATTATCGTCATTCGTCTTGTATGTGCACGTCGATCGTCTCCGCGCCGGTCGCGAGTCCACCGAACGTCGGATCCCCTTGCGCGCGACACCGTATCGGAAGAGATTATTGTACACCGTCCCCGCCATCAAACCATCCCCCGCGGTGAATGACCGCACCGCGTTTATCTAAAGGATATTTATCTAGAGGTATTTTTTTTTTTTTTTCGGTCGGTTTTTTGTGCAACGCCACCGGATACCTATTATTATTATCATAATTATTATTATGGCGGACGATTAGAGAGAGAAAACCGACCGCGACGAAAATATCGGTTTAAAATTTTATAGTTAGACGGCGGAAGGGGGACGGTAGACTGGAGGTTGACGATGACCGCGAGAGGGAAGGGGGAGGGGGAGAGCGAGGGAACCCGTAGGACTTTGAAATCCGATTCTGCTGCGGGCGCTTTCCGAGTACGGAAACGATTTTAGACCGTCCACTAAAATGTTTAGCAGCGCGCGAACAATTATTTATTCGACCGATACATTTTTACAATAATAAATTATTGTTATTATTATTTGTTTTTTTCCCCCGTAAAAATCGTTGTATAACGACGACGAGGATTCCGGCGCGGTCTTGAACCACCGGCGTGCCGGTCGACAAACACGCGGAAGGTCTTTGGACAAATCAATAGCGGCGGGGCGGCGAGGGGTGGGTGCGCAGGGCACATCCCCGCAGACGCAACGGCGAGCTACCCTCGCCCGCCGACGGCCGGTCGTCGCGGTAAGCCGGGCGTCCCTCTCGGAAAAAACCCCGCCTCCCTGCCACCGCCTCACCCGCACCAACCACCGCGGGCCGGGCGCGCGGCGCGGCGGGGCGTACCGCGACCACTGCGCCCCGTAGCGCGCCCGAGCCATATACGTAACGCGCGCCGCGACCGCCGGGGTGCGCTTTGCTCGCGCGGAAACCGGGAAAAACCGCTGCCGCCGCCGCCTTTGCCGCTCCCGATTATTATGTGTGCGCGCCGCGCCGACCAGTGTCGCGCTGCTACCAGTGCCGGATCGCCAGCGGACCGACGTGTGCGCGCTCGTTCGCCCGCCCGCCGCCGTCAAAGCCGTCAGCCGCCGCCCGCGAACTTTTCGCCCGAGTGCGTGCGCGCCGCGATTTCCATCGCGGTATAATATTTTGTTAAAAAAAAACGCCGATAGCACGTTTTCGAAACGTACTGTCAGTTTTTTGTACAAATTTCGTGCCATATTATTTTTTATTTTTTATTTTTTTTTTTTTTTTTTTTCTGAAAAATTGTGTGAAAGTGTGAAAAATAACGTGTCATTAGTTTTAATTTAAAAATTAAATTTGTTTGTGGTTTTTTTTTCTCGGTGTTTTTCAAATCTATGTGCGCGATCGCCCACGTGTGTATATATATACATAAATAGACGCCATGTAAAACGGTTCACGCGCGCGAAGGGGGGTGCGGAAAAAAGCCACTCGTAAAAACACAAAACCGCCACCGCCGCCGCCGCCGTCGTCGGTAAAAGTTAATTAAATTTCTCTCGACTGTACACTACACCGGTGTGTGTGTGTGTACACCATAGACACACACATTTACGCCGCGACTACACAATGCGGCGGTACTTTCGAACGGTCGACACGCCGCCGTAATAATAATTGCCGAGTAAAGTGGAGCGTGTAGTGTGCCTGCGTCCGAACGGTGGCCGTTACCGGTCATAGTTAAACGGAGAAGAGAGGCGTTTTCGGGGGAAAGAAACAACGAAAAAAAAAAAAATCAAACAGACATACAAACAAATAATATTATTATTATTATTATACCCGTCAAACAACGCCCCTGCATGTATACACACGACGTAAACGACGGCGGGCCGAATCGATTTTACTGTTAAATTTGCGGGGGAAAAATATAAAAATAACACCTCTCTCTTGTTGCACGACATCGATTTTCGTTATTATGCTCCGCGGCAATCGTAGCAGCACTACGGGACGTGAAAATATGCACCGCACCGGCGGACTCCGTCGTCGCCGCTCCACCTTCACCGTCGTATTTTCCGACAACAACAATTATAATAATTTCGGGACATTTTTCGCCCTTGCCCTGTCGACGGAAGCCTGACGTTTCACGCGTCGCGTGCGTGCCGTTACGCGCGTTTTTCGCAAGTTTTTTTTATTGTTTTTTCGTTCAACGATAACGGAAAAAAAAACCACAGGCAACGCCGCGGCCTCTCGTCCGGTACCCGGATACAATATCGTAACATCGGATATTACGGTCCGTCGCGGATACACCGGAAACCGGTCGTCGCCGCCGCCATGACGTTTCGAGTCCGCAAAGGTAAGTAATAACCTAACCGATAACATTAATTAACACCGCGTTTGTTTGTTTACGCGTGACGACGTTCTCTGAAATGTATACGCGCGCGTGCACCGCGACTTTTGAACGAGCACGTTTTCGCGCCCGAATTGATTCCCGCTGGTCCGAGTGCGGCCGCGGGGTGTTACGGCGACTGGATTTGCCGTCATTGGCCGATATCCAGTGCGCGATTACGTGTGTTGCGACGGCCACGCGCGGCACGGGTGTCGAGATGGGTGGCGGCGCGCGGCACGGGGAATCCAGAGATATAGCTTATGACAGTAATTTATCATTATCGTCTGCCGCGCGCGGAACGCCGCCGCCGCCGCCTCGATTATTTATGAAACCGAGTCATTTCGTGGCGGCTGCGGCGTCGTCGGCGCCCGGGGGAGGAGGGGTGGGGGGGNGGGGGGGGGGGGGGGGGGGGGGGGGTTCTTAATTCACACGCCTAAATATTTATTCTACGCCGGGAGCTTTTCTAAAAGATTAACTTTTAAAAAGCCGTGTATAACTATATATATATATATATATAAACTCCCCCCGTGGGGGGCGAAACGTCAAAACGAAATCGCGGGACTTATAAACGGATACGCATACTAAAAACAACACGTTCCGCGCCAGATAACATTGTACGCGGAGACGATTTATTATAAAAAATTACACGCGCGCGTTTAGAGAACGTTTTCATAATGTAACTATATCGTAAAATACTCGACAACGACACACAATCGTTAAGTTTAATTTGATTTTTTTTTTTTTTTGACATTTCAGCGACGGACGCGATTATAATTATTATTACAAACGGCATTTTCGGCCATGGCCGAACCGCAGTGGCGATGATGAGCGAAACAACAGTGACCGACTGTATTAGTATTGTCACGCCGAACCGGCTTTAGCCGCTGTCCCTGCCGACATCATGGAACCGTCAGAACTGCAAAATCGGAACGATGGTGGCAGAACGGCTAATTCGACCGCCGTGGCCGCCACGAACCAACAGGCCGTAGAGGCGGCGCTCATTGAGTTTATCGAAACAATGACGCCGCGCGTAAATGTGCTGGAAGACGAGGTGACGTACGCGTGGCGGGCGTTAGACCTATTGTCCGACCAGTATGTGAAGATGTGGGAGCGCATCGAAAAACTGGAAACGATCGTCCAGAACCAACAGTCCGTCATCGGGCAAATGGTCCGGTATTGCTCGTCGGAGCCTGTAACAAGGCCATCGACCGCGATGCAGCAGACCTCGTACATGGTACCGCAGCCGCAGCCACAGCCGCCGCCCCTGGGAATCGTTCACCATTCCATCGGGTCGTCCTGCGTATTGTGGGCCGACTCGGACAGGTCGACGGGCTGCGGTAGTAGTAGCGACAGTAGCAGTAAAAAACCGCCGTCGGACCTAAATCAGGGAAGCGACGGGGATTACAGGGCGTACGGAGATCGGTTGATGGACGACGACGACCTTGACGACGACCCGGACGACCCGAAAATGGATTCCATTGAGTCGGCCAAAGAGATATTCGAGAACATCGAACAGATGGAACGGAATATGCGACAGCTGTACGCCGAGGCGCAGTTGGACAGCTGGAACGACGAGACGGAAAGGGCCGAAGAAGCCGCCCGGAATTTGTATCCGCTGGACAAACCTCTTACGTCATCGGTGGGTGACTTGCCGCAGCGGCACGTGTACCCGTACACTTCGCCCTCACTCCGGTCATTGCCAACGATTCCTCAATGTGACGAGCCCGGCGGAGGAAACGGTGAATTCCGATCGTCGTCGTTGTTTATGAACACGGCCGTGATGCCACAACCAATCGCTTACTGTCTGAACGACCAGTACCTGCCCGAGTCACCACCCCGTAGCCCGCCACCGCCGGCACCAGAGGATCCCGTGTTTCCCAGGACGATGTCGCTGAGCCTCCGCCAGTTTCACCACGACCCAGCCAAACAACTTCATATCGGTTCTTCACTCCATCAGTTTCACGGTTCGTCCAAGGATCTGCAAGATGCGACCACCGTGCACATGCAGCATCAGCATCATTATCACACTTCCTGTAGTCCCAAAGATTTGGATGCGATGCACATGCAGCAACAACACCGACCCGGTTGTGGAAGCAGTAGCAGCAGCACAATGGTCGCCGCGACCAACAAATCCGATTCCAGTCTGTCCTCGATGAACGGCGGCTTGTTGTCCAACAACTACGAAAAGTCGCCGTGTTCACCGGGAAAACGGGTTTACGATCAGTCGTATCAGATTTCGATGACCAGCGGCTCGTCCGGGATGACGGTGGTGACATGCGTGACCACCGCGTTTGACACGTCGTCCGATTATCCATATTATGATAGGTCGTCGAGTAGCAGCGTCTATTCGATGGCGGGTCAGGGGTACAACAGCAACCATAATAAGTACCAGGCGACCAACGCGCAACCACAACAATCGTCCATCATTTCCAACGTGCCGGACCTGTTGGACGTTATGTCGTACAAAGAGTATAAACAACAACAGCAGCAGCAGCAGCAGCAGCAGCAGCAGCAGCAATCCCCCGCGGTAGACAGACCGTATCCCGGTATAACGGACTCGTTGAGTTATTACCCGAACACCGCCGCGGCGGTGGTCAATGACGCATCGTCGTACTACGATAGAAGCGACGACGATCGGCCTACCAGTACCAGTAATCAACCGAGCAGTGGCCCACGATACAGGTACGTGACGACGCCCAACTATCAAATCCGTTGCGAAGACAACAGCGGGAACGCGGCGATCAGACGCGATGAAAAGACTTCGAAAAAAACCAAACGCAATATCATCAAGTCGGCAATGAGCTCCGTCAGTAGTTCGATGAGCAGTTGGTTTCCGGACGTACACTTGCCGCAAAGGCACCGGTCACACTCATTACCGGGTGGTCTGGAAAGAGAACCTGATGCAGTTTCGGTGCAGAGCGAAACCGCGACGATAACGAAACCCCGGGCTTTGAGTGGGCAAAGGCCCGGTGGCAGTCGCAAGAAAAAAAAGTCTATCGTATCCACCGTATCGGGGCTGTTGCACAAGACGGCTAGACCAAATCGATTTCAGAGTTCCTATTCGATATCGGACCCGGAATTTGCTGAAAACGAATGGTCATCTCGGGTAAACGTTACCGGAGACAGTAGGGCGGCAGAAGCGCCCGCGGAACCGTGTCCTCCGCAGCCGCCATCTTCGGATTCGGCCAACACTGCCGACAGATACTACCAACAAGACGAACAACCACGGGAACGGGTCGACGAAATTCAGTTACCGGCCGAAATGTTCAACGGACCCACCAAAGAATTTGCCGTGTCTCGAAAACTGAGCAAGTACAGAGAACACTGTAAGCGTTCGAACGGAGGGTCAGCGGAAAGCGAACAATCGTCAACTGCCGCCTCAATGATTGAAACACGCGGTAACAAGTCGCTACAAGAAGAAAAACTGCAGCAACCTGTAATCAGATCGAATAACGAAGAGTCCACGTCCGTAACACAACCGACTGTGACGAATAACATACAAAGGAATTTCAAAATGTCGTCGAGACAAGCGAGTTTAGAAGTGCCGTGGGTGGGAAAAGGTGGCTCGGCCGATACCGAGGATGACAGCAGAAGTAATCACTCGTGGAGGAGTACTTCAAGGATATCATCGAGGAGGCAGAGCACTGAAGAGAGCATCGACAGCGACGATGAGTGGTATTGTTACGAACTGAAACAGCTAGAAGAACTCGAGAAAAAGACCCATTTCGAACGAGTGTTCGGTCCTACAGTTTTACCGACGCCACCCACAGCCCGAAACGAATCGTCCGTGCTCGGGTCCAAAGCCGACTTCAAAGAAAAAATGTCCAAGGCCATTGAAGACATAAGAAGGCAATCGGTAGACGAATCGTATAACGAAGATGCCTTCGAACCGGAGCAGTCGTTGGACACGGTTATCGAAGAAGAACTTCCACAAGAAGTAGACGACGACGATGAAGATGACGGGCAAATAAGGTTCAAGAAAATGAAAGTGCCGGAAACTCCCGGACTAAAAAAGGACGCTCCAGGCGAAGGTGTCTTGCTGGACATGGATTCACCGAGACCGGAAACGGGGAACGAACACAATCGGGTGACAGTAATCGAAGATGACGAGAGTCCCGGTACGCCGTCACTACCCCGATTCAAATTCGATAAAAACGATTTGGTGGAAAGCAGCGGTAGTAGCAAATGGAAAATCGTGAAAGCCCTTAAGGAGAAAAAACCCGAAGAGATAAACCAGGACATAGGACCACCTCCGACGCCGATTATCGAGGTAAATAATTATACTACGATGATGATATTAATAATATAATAGCTGGTCCAAAACGAAGTAAAAATAATCAGTTTGCCCGCCCCTCGATATCATCATCGGTATTATATAGTATTGTCTGTTCGCGATACTATGTACATTATAATAATAATAATAATAATAATAATAATAATAACAAATAATGTTGTTTGAGCACTGCTGCCACATTGAAACATACTACGAGTATGTATGTTGTTAGGGTCCTTAAGTTGCATGAAACTTATATTTTTAATACATTATTTGATTAAAAAATAAATCAAAAAAAAAAAAATCCGTGTAATTTATTTTTTAATTCAAAACTTCAGCAATGACTACGGCAGATATCTTAAGGTACCGAGCGGTAAATGTTCGTAGCGTAAATGAAATCGTTTTAACAACAAATCGAAAGCTTTTACAATGAACAATAAAATTAACGAGTAGATCAATATGTTTTAACTGTCGACACAGCGATGCCGTTTGTTTGTTACGGCCGGTTCGAATAAAGAATATAATTTTTTAAATCGTATCCATGCACCTATTTACATTATTATAAGTCGATATGTTGGTCTATTGTTGATATATGTATACATTGGTATATTATGGTTTTGTAATGCGAACCTCTAACCGATATTATTTTAGAAACGAAAATCTATTTTTCGACGTCCCGTTGAAATATTACAGACTTGAAAATTTCAAGCGAAATAATATTTCATACCCGTAACGCCCGCGCATTAAACCCGCGAGCATTACGATAATATTTATGTAGTTGGTCGGACAAATATTGTATTATACAATAATGTACTGCGCGAATACGTTGGAAATATTATTATTATTATTTGTGCCGTACGCGTGTAATACAATATTGTTTACATTGAACTATTATTGGATTTTCGACTTATCGGACGACCGCGTGATAAAATAACACAATATTCCGTACGGATATCGTTCGGAATTATTATATTAATTGAGTATATACGTATATTATATTATTATATTATAATACATACGTCCCCTCTTCTGCTCCCACACATCATTCCCTGAAACAATTAACTTAAAATCGATAAACCAAAATAAAATCGTGTATTTTTTTTCCGCTCATTCGCTTGTGCACGAAACCGACCGAATAATAATAATAAAAAACACAAACAACATCAACGAGCCCCGTTTCAAAACGAACATTTATTATATAATAATACTGTAATATTGGGGAAAGCGAAAAAAAAATACAATAAAAATCGCGTTTTGTTATTATTTTTCGATTTTGGTCGGTTTTCGGTGTATTATTCATTAATATTATATGGACACGGTAACAATAATTACTAATATCGTCAAATTATCACTATCGTTTTTATCAACTCGGGCCGATACCTAATATATTACGCTATTTGAGACATAACTGCAGTTAACGAGATAACGAGCCAGTGATAAAAAATCTATTTCGTTTAAATTGAATCGTCAAATTTGAACTAAATATTAACGCTCCCAGCACAAATACTTCAAACTTTTATATTATTCTGAAATCTGAATCGTAAATTTTTGGAACATAAAACTGGAAACAAATACATTGTAATGATATAATAAACAATTGTAGACTTTTCTTTTTTTTTTATCAATACGTAGGTTGATTTACAACTCCAATTCCGATCGATTGCTCGCCTTTTTAAAATCTAGTTCTGACGCTTTCTGAATCTTTCGATTTGCCCTCCATAAAAGTTCCGAAAACGTCTTGCAGTTTTCTTCCTTTCTATCATACTTACTTAATTATATTATCCAGCTCTACGGGGTATCACAAGGCATGTCAAACCCTTCTCTGATCAAATCACATCCATTAATATGCTTTTTTCTTTTACTGTTTTAAGTTACTTCTTCATTTAACTTTCCCTATATCCAACTTATCCATTCTCTTCAACTTCAACACCACATCTCAAAGGCTATTTGGTTTTTCTTTTCAGTATAATTTATCGCCCGTGTTTCACATTCATATGTTGCAACACTCGAGTATAGTTATATGTAGTAATCACTACATATGTTTTAATGAGTGTCTTCTTAATACTGATACGTATCTTTTTTAAAATGAACTGTTTCTGTTTTAACAAAAACTATTTCTTCTAATGCTAAACATTGTTTTATTTTTTCCATAATAATTTATTAACCTAACCTAAATTTACCATTCCATCTACTTGATCTATTTGATGTACTAGATGTTTACATTATCTATTTATTATTATTTAAACGTATCAACTACCGACACAGACATTTTAAAAGTAATTGAAGAGATTAATTTAGTTTGGATTGTTCGAAAAACCAGTGTGTTAAGTTAGTTAAGCCTCAACGTTTATTCAGCTACGACAAAGAAATCTCCACACGGCACGTTGTAAGCGTCTGCACATTTTTATTCGTTTCAGAATCAATAACCCAGAGAGTGAAATTGTCCCTTATTACCTTCTTTCCCAAGTTGTTTTTAGAAATAGCGATTAGAGCAAAATGTCGAGTACGAAAATTGTTTGCAGACAGAAAAAAAGGTTTGAAAAAAAAAACGCACATCATTATTATAGTAAACGTTTCGCCTAGAATTAAAAAAAAAAAAAACCTGTTTTAATATTCGAAACGTTTTTCGCAATTAATTTTAACACTGCCGACGTCGACGATTTCTAAAAAGACGCGATGTCAAAATATTTCCGCGGTATAAACCGTGTACGGAAGCGTTATGCGTAATAGATACAATCAATAATTCGCGTTGGGTGTACGGAAGATTTTTGAATTCGAGAATATAAGCGTAACAAGTACCGGAAATATATTTTCTCCTTCGAACGGAGAAAAGAGGATGAAGGAGGAGAGGGAAATAAAAAAAATATTTCTGCATTTTTATCAACGCCGCTACAAGCGTAGGTACTCCGAGAACCTTTCGCGATCCGTTTGCGCCCAGTGATTCGGCGGCGGCGCAGCGCCTCTGCCGGTACTGGTGTTACGGCAATAAATAGTTTTATGGAAACCCGTCGATCCGGCGCGAGCTGTTTGCGCATTTCGTCGTCCGCGGGGCCCGTTTCGAACGCCTACGGGAAAACAAACGAATCGATCGTGTATGGGTAGGTAAGGTACACGGAAAAAGAAACGACCGGGTTTTTCGTTTTGCAACGTTCCCGTACAAATACGAGGTTATACAGGGTGGTCGGTTTGTCACGGGTACCTAACGTAACCGGGCCCCGTTTCAGCGCGATTCGTTTAAAACGAACGGGGAGCCGGATACGCGCGTTCGCATCATCAACAATATTGTACGGATTTACAAACGTACAATTCAGAAAGAAAAACGACCGAAACGCGTCATCGCAAACAAAATACTTCATCATTTCGTGTGTTTTCCACGATATTAGATTGTGATCGAGGTGAAAATAATAATATTACGATGGTCGAACGCAGTTTTCATTAGAAAATATATTATGCAAACGATTCCAGCGAATTCGACTTCGCGGTTGTTTTTCTTCTCTCGCGGCCGATTTTTGTTAACTCAATCTTATCTAGATCGAGTATCTGAAAATCGCAGGGAAAAAACGTAAATCTACACGGCCATTGTACAGTGTATAATATACGGTTTTTCGTTTGTTGTAATTCGAACAATCGTAGAGACTCGAAACTTTCAAAACATTCTGGCCGGTTTTTTTTTTAGTTATTTATAGGTATTTGACATTTTCGAGTGTTTTTATTTGGTATTATGCGGGTAAAATCATTTTGGCCTAGCCTGAACATTTTATTCGGGGTTCGTCATAGGTCGTACTTAATGGTCGAAGAAAAAAACGATTTGAGCGCAATGTAATATATACAGGTTTTCTCTTTTTATTCTCGTATAAATTTCACATATCACGGCATTTGAAAACACGTTTACTCAGAATCGGATTTTATTATCTGATATCGGTGTTTTGCCACGCACAGACATGAAACAATAGATAACATACAACTTGATGTATCCTATACGATTGTTTTTTTTTTTTTTTTTTTAACTCTTAAAAAACGTTTACTCATCGGCAGCGCGCGGATTTCTATAGAGAAGGTTGTTCGCGGATTTTCCGGCAGGCGGCGGCGGCGGTAGTACGTATTCTACAATAGAAGGATCGAAATTCCCAATAGTTTTCCCGAAAATGTATTACCGTTTTCGAAAACACTCTTTTGCGCGGTTAGTAGAACCGCTTAGATTTCTCATAGACGCGTGAAATTTCCACCGGGTATACGGTGGGTAAGTAGTTTACTCGAAACGACGTTTTTGTTTTCCCAACAGAATTCCTCGTCCCCTACACTAGATCCTTGCCGACCGCGTACCTATATCTATTCTGTTTGATAATAACCGACGTCGACGGGCGAAATGGAAACGGGCGGACGCAGCGCGGGTCGTCATTCCTCGTCGGTGGCGATAAATAATGTTTCGTATACGCTTTTATTATAATTATTATCATTTAAACAACGGGCGGGCGCGCGCGCGTGGATAAATATTTTTCGGATACCGTGAACCGGGTCACGGCGGGTAATGTGCGCGCGTCGTCGGTGTCGCGACGAGGTCCCGCGGCCGACGGACAGGTGGGCGTATTATTATTATTATTATCATTATTATCATTATCATTATTACCGTTAAATTATTATTGTTATAGCGGCGCGTCGCTTTCTCTCACTCTATCGCTCTATCGCTCTATCGCTATCTCACTCGTTCTCTCTCACTCACTCACTCACTCACTCACTCGCTCACTCACTCTCTCTCGCCGACGGGTCACGGGAAAAACCATTAATATTAATCGATTTCGGCACGCGTACGAGCCACGACAAATACTACTGCACAACGTGCATATACGCGCCGCCGCCGCGATACCCCGGTATTATAATATTATTATTACAATCGTAATAATATAAATATTCGCGAGACCGAATTCGCGGGGAATTCCGGGAGTTTTGTTTTTGTAAATAATAATTCGTTTATGGCCGCCGCGTATTATCACGCAGAGCGCACCCGTGCCCGTCTACCACCGCATCACCGACCGGAGTATCCGCCGCGCGTCTGCCGACGCACCTATAATAATATAATATTTTTGCGATATCGCGTCGTCGTCGTCGATGAATATTCACGAGGCAATTTAATTTTCGGTCGTCCGCCGGTCGCATAATATTATTTAACGCCGACGCCGCCGCGTATTGTCGTATTTCGGGATTATAGTCGACGGCCGGCCGGCCGGCCGACCGACCGACCGCTTTTTAACGAACCGCGACGAAAACCGCTACGCGCGTACGACTATTATAATGTTGTGCGGCGGCGACGACCGCGCGGGCCCGGAATTAAACGTATCGGATTAACAACGATAATATTGTATTATACTGACGTGTACGTATACGTATACACGCGCGTATAGATTAGGTTTCGGAGGGGACGGTGAAAAGAATCCGGCTCGGCGACGTCGCGGTGTGGTGCCCGTCGAACCCCGGTTCGGCCCCGCTGACACGGCGCCGCGTATACGCAAAAATAATGTCTCGGCGCGAGCGGTTTTTTACGCGTTGCCTATGCGGCGGCGGTCGTCGTCGTCGTAATTTTATGAAAGCGGTAGAAAGTAAATCGTTTTTTTTTTTTTTTTCCTCCCCGCCCGCCACACACATTTCTACCGATAAACCGTAGCGTAAATAATACGCATAATATATACTTCCGATAGTCTTGTTTTGACATATTATTATTCGGCATTGTACGCGTTCTTTTTCTACGTTTTTCGAAGGAAATATTTTCATGTTTTTTTTTTTTTTTTTTTTTTTTTTCCATAATTGAAAAAACACTTACGAACAAATGTTTCCTACGAAAACATAGCCAAGAATAATCAACGGATATTCAATAATTATTAATAATAAGTGGATGAATTTTACTATAGCGCATTGGACTAAACCGCCATGTTCGCCCGTAAAAACGGCAGCCGTAACACCCTTTAATGGATTTCCGGCAGTAGATTAGTGGAAAAGTAAACAATAATTTTGGATCTTTTACAAAAAAAAAAAAAAAATTTTGAAAACCAATTCCAACCGACTCCTCAATAATATTATTTGCTATAGACTACCCAGATTTAGATTATCAACGAATCGAGGAGTGAATTGGTTTTACTATTATGTTTGTTCTGTAAATTTCTTTTGTCCGTAAACAACTTTTTATTGGAAATCCTGCCCCGATGCCCCAATTGTTCGGTGCTGGGTTTCTGGAAATGAATTGTTCAATGGTTGGTTCGTTGAAAAGGTAATATTTTTTTTTTTTTTTTTTATTTTCCTTTTCTTAATAAGTACGCATTATAATTGGAATATCGTAGAAGAAACTTTTTTTTTATTTTTAAGATTTACAGTATGATGATGAAGTAAAAGTGTGTGGGAAGTAAAATCAAAAACCGTATAAATAGAAAAATAATACACATTTTTGTAGTGCTTTAATTTGAATTTCAGTAGAATATTATAAAAGCCTCTATGTTTATAAATATTATGTTGAGAAAACGAAGTTATTTAATAAAAACTGTGTAGTCGTAGCGACCTACAAACTTTTAATGATTTAAATTATATTAAAAACGGGTTAAAGGTTACAGTTATTATTTAAGTATAACCAATTCAACGTTTTATCTATAATATCTATAATAATATAATATACTCAATTACTCAAAAACTAATGAATAATTTGAAAATATTTATTTATTAATTTGGTTGAATTTTAAAAATCGAAACAACAACCTGTTAGTTTTTTTTCTTTGAGAAAATAATATTTATTTATTAATTTATTAAGTAAAATTTACTTTTGTACTTATTATATTCAGTAACTATTGAATACATTAAATGATTGTAGAAAATTTAAAACGTAAACGACTTATAATTAAAAAAAAAAAAACATATCATTACATGGGTGCCATTGGTGTAGGATAAGCTGTAAGATATTTACTGTACGATATAAAAGGTAGTATAATGTATACAGGTGCGCAACAATTATTGATTATTGCTAAACAAAAACGATTCTAAGCGAAGTTGGTTTAAACACATTTTGTTAAATATTAAATTATAACTATAAAACAAATTACAGTTCTTCATGGTTATTTTTTTTTTTTTTTGTAATTCGGCAGGAAAAAATTATAAGACATGAAACGTTCACTTAACATGATAACACTGTCTAAGAGTTAATATAATCTTTAAAATATTCTTGCGTTCTTTGAGTTATTAATATTTATTTTAAATTGTATGCCCGGTCATTCACGGTAGAAAAACTTGTCGCTTACGAATTCGTAAACCACTATTGTACAATACGAGGTCTACTATCACTAATAATATTTTGTATCGCGCACATAGCCGTACGATAACAAACGACCGCAACAATATTATGTCTGATATACAACTCGTCTGATCCGCGTCGAATAAATAAATTGCGATATTATAACGATATTTCGAAACACTCATAAATATATTTATATTTATATATGTATTTAGGTATCTATAATTCGCGGCACTCGAAACTTTCATAATTAAATTTGACAAACTTTTGTTCGAGAAACGAGGCTCGACGGCAGCGTTGGCGGCGGCGGTCTATCGCGATCGATAAATCTTTAATTAATACGTACATATAAATATATACACATGTATAAAGTGTATAACGGCGTAACTTTTTCATATAATTTACAGCTTTTCGCGCCACGAGACTTTTTGTTTTGCGCACGTTCGATATATTTACGACAGCGTTTAAATATTTGTATTATTATATACGCGGGCGTACGCTCATTTTAACCGCGGAAAACTTACTACAGTTAGCGTTGCCAAAATAACGTAACGATGTTATGTTTACATAATAATATATCTAAATTTATTTGAGATTAGTCGGACGAACACCGCGGTGGTGACTGTGGGTGTCGGAAAGAATATCACGGATAAATAACTCTACGGAAAAGTATCGAGAAATTAATGAATCGGACGCGCATGTACTGAAACACGACAGTGAATCGCTGGGATTGATTTCAAAAGAGTGTATGCAAGGTAAAAATTACTGAGTAAAGGAAAACAGTAGTTTGAATATCATTTAGGCTTAATTTTAAAGCCATTCTTAATTTGTTTACCCTAACTCCATGCACCTTAAAAAAGTAGATACTTTTGGTTTTTAACTATGAACCCCCATTTTTAAAAAAAGATTCAATAGGAAATATTTTGTTAGTCATGTTGGTATTCCTAACACTCATAACACATTTACCGTTTATGAGTTATAACCGTTAAAAGTTTAGACTATCAGAGTAAGGAGAGTTATAAATGTATCATTTAAAAATAGATACGTAATTTATTACGCTTTCCTACTTTTCCGGTCTAAACTTTAAACTTTTATAGCTCATAAACTGAAAATAGTTCTATATATATATCAAAATGTATAAACAAATATTTTCTATTCGAATCAGTGTAAAAATGATCTTAAAATAAATCCTAACTGATTCCACAATGATTTAAAAAAAAAAATAATAAATATCAAATTTACTTAAAATCCTCCCGAGAAAATTGTTGGTTCGTGAAAAAAAAAAAAAAACCTTCCTGTGTATGCAAAAAATAATGGTGGAATAACGATGTAATTCGAACGAAGAAATTAAGAAGGAAACATGCTACAGGGAAAAGCGGAGTAGATTGCTGCGATCCATAGAATTGATTATCAAAGAAAGAAAAATGACTTCTATAATATGTTTTTTTATTTTTAATAATATAGTTCTCGGAAGAAAACCAATTAGTTTCATTATAGTTGAATCATTTTTTAGCCAGAATAAATAAAATAAAATAAAAACTATATCAGTAAACAAGCTATTATATTTATTATGTTCCAAGGTACCTTAATGATATTCGGTATTATTTTTATCATTCACTCAACATTTTTAATAACGCTTTTTTTTTGTCTTTTGAACATTTTTCAAAAATTAAGCGCATCACGTTTTGTCAGTTACTATGATAATCGCGACATTATCAAGTTTTTAATAAGCTACTCATACTTGATAGTTTAAACATAATAAAATAATTTTAAAGAAATCGTATTTATCTATTTATAAGATAATAAGCCACTTTGTCTCAATTGACTGATAGAGAATCAAGGCACAGCCTAAACCGCTGAGGTTTGAAAATTGAAATTTTCATAGTAAGTGTCTTTATACCATAGATATCCACTAAGGAAGGGTTTTTGAAAATTCCACAGACAGCGGATTTGTTCGGACAGAGTCCACAGATAGCGAATTAGTCACCTAAAATAATAATGACTACGCGTTCTATTTTTTTTTCTCTATAAATCCGTGAGTTTGATTATCAGTAACAGCGGTGTGGCGGCAGAGATGATCGCAACAACAACCCGGAATTGTATACCCCCTCAACCGGGCCCCTCATTAAACCCTCGATTTGATAACTGTTATCAAATTAACAATGTACTAAGATAATACGATAATAATATGTTTTGCTTTATATTATAACACCCTTAAGTACCTACACTTGTAAATTATATCATCACACTGACCGCATCACACTTCCCGAATGTTGTCTAATAGAAAACGCTGTTTACGTTATTTCTTTTGTTTTTTGTTTTTTATTATTATTCTGTCTCTCGAAAACATTATATGCATAAACCGTTACGGCATTTGGCGTTTTCGAATATTTGATACGTTGATAATATTTCGTACTATTATCATTATTATTATTATCGTAATATTATATAGGTACCACCTACTTGTAATAGTGTTTATAGAAAGTTACGCGATATACCACGCAGCGACAAACACTTCTCGAGTACGGAAACAGAAAATGATTGATGCGCGATTATGCCGATATAATAATACGATTATGACGACGACCATGGTATTATACTGACGTATTAAACGCGATTGTAATATTGCGATAGTGAAACTCGGCTCGCTATACACGATAACGCGAGTGACGCGAATAAACCGCGGAAAGTGTGTTTTTATACGTATATCATACGAAACCGGCGAATATTTTATTGTCAACAAGTGATCTATCCGTCTGGTATCCGTGGTGGTTTCGCTAATCGCTCAGTTGTGTTAATCGCGTGTTTCCACTACACGGAATTAAACCGAACCATGACTCTCGAGCTACGCGGCCGCCGATTTTCACGACTCCGTTTCACGCGATCGCGACACAAATTATCGGGCCTTTCTCAAAAATACAACCGAAAAATAACCCCACCCCACGGAGTGTATCTGTTTAATCAGTGAAATGTTTATTAATTTGCTCTCATAACTTAGTGATAATAGTAGAAATGAAGTCTGTCCATGCGACGATAGTTATTACTACCATCGTAGTTGCTGCTGCGACAGTCAATTACAATCCCATAAAGTAAATAATAGTATAATTTATGGATTTAGATTGAAACGCATGTGGAAGTGCCGTCACGATAGTAAAACAGCAAGTATGTGTGATCCACACTGTGATATTTACTATCACTTCCTCTTCTCCTTCGCCTTCATACTGACTTTTTGGCTCCCCTCGTTTTAAACTTTTGCTTGGCCCAATCTATTACCTCGTATACACCAACTGTACTCATATCATTCTCAATCGCATCCAATCACCTCTTTTTCAGTTTTCTTCTCCACCTCTTTCCTCTTACGTCTATTTTAATTACCTATAATTCTTACTGCTTCAGATTCCTTCCTCCCTATGGCATGAATCTCCAAATCATCTCAATCTAAATTCCAAACTACCTTTTATGTACTTATTCCTTATTCTATCTTTCCTCGTTACTCCATCCACATAAGCATTCTCATCTCTGCTACAGTCATTCTCTCTCTCTATTCTATTGTTCTGTCTACCACTTACGCTCTGAACTATTCAATATAGTCTTAATACATTTGTAGAACTTAATTAAAGTTTCGATGGAATTCTCTTGTCACATAATACACCGACGTTTTTCTCCATCTTATCCAAACATACGTAATCCTATGTTTAATATTCTCACCAAAACCACCATTTTTATGTACAAAAGATTCTAGTTACTTACTTTAACCTATCAACTTCGCCTATTACGTCACCGCTTATTTTCATAAGCTTTCTTAGCTTGTCTTAGCCCTCCAAACTCATACTTTATTTTACTCCTACTTATCCTTAGTCCCTTCCATTCAAGTGCTACTCTCCATTCCTCAAATCTATTGTTAACGTCTCACAGATTTTGTCCTATCAAAGATATATCATCTGCGAACATCGTGTCCATCATGATATCTTCTCATGCCTAATATTTACTATCACTTTCAATAAAATAGTAATATCCACGATAGTTCGATCAAAGCTGAGCATTCAAGAGTTAATAAATTAAAAGTTAAGTTAAACGTTAAGTTAATTTCAACATATTAATTTATTATCAACTTATTGACTTATTAACCAAAGTTTTAAATACATACGTTGACCATATTTTCTTTTTTAATCAGTTTCATAAGGTATTTTAATTTTAAATACCTAATCAATGTTTTTTTTTTTTTTTTTAACTAACTTATCTTATTAATTAAAGTTAAGTGGAATAAATGGTTTATTTTAACTTAAATTTTTATTTGATTGACAAAAAAAATATTTAACTTAACTGATACTCAGTAATTGCCCGGCTTTGAGTTCAATATATTTACTACCACCCTGTTCGTACGACGACGATAATTCCTGACTGTTATAATATACTAGTAGAATTTCTAATTTCCATTTTTATTAATTTTCACTGCAGTTTTAGTATGAAATTAAGTAAATTAAAATCATATGATTTCGAAAAATTGTGTTTTTGTATACGATTAATTGCTCTATGTTAAGATATAAATACTTTAAAAATGAAAATTTCATTTTACGTTAAGTTTTTTGCTCATTTGCCAGGATATTTATTGCGGTTAAAAGGCTGCGATTTGTATCGATAAAACTATATCGTTTTTATGTCATTTTTCATAACTATTTTTTTTTTTCTATGTTCTCATTTTTCGAACATTTTTTACAGTTCATCGAGTTCTAGCACCTTACATAATATATTGTATATTCATCGTACTTTTATCGATTCGAATCGTGACTGATGACAACATTCTTTTCCACGTGGTAGCGGCAGCTTATTATTTGACGCTTTTATAGTTTCGACGGTTTAAAAACGGACTTGTATGTAACACAAGACTGTAGGTAAAACAACGGGTGTTTTCTAAATACACCGTTTTGTCGCGGATCGAGCCGTTTTACTGGCGGCGCTCAAGTGTAAACGAATAACGGTGACACGTATATACGTGCGTGTGTGTGTGTGTGTGTGTGTGTGTGTGTTTTGGTATGTATATGTGTGTGTGACAGATGATTCACGGAGACACGAATTAAAAACATTAAAACTCGAAAGGTCCATTATTCTCGTTCCCACGCGTGTTATATTCACGGCGGTGTGACAGTTGTTGTTGTTTGCGTATATAGAAATAATAATAATAATAATATAATATATAATAATGTGTATTAGTATAGTCATATACCATAACAAAAAGAGAACCAACACCTTTTCGGGAAAGAGAAAGAGCGAGAGAATGGGTATAAAGCTGAAACTTTCCCCTGCGGCGTGACCCCCTCGTTTTGTCCCGTCCCAAAAGTCTCCTAAACACTGCGACGGCGGGCTGCTTTATTAAAGTTTTTGGTCGTTTTCTGTCGTTTCGTACGTTTGCGTTTCGCGCGGGGGACAATGTGCGAATAATAATAATAATAATACCGCTGCGAATACAATGGCAACGAAAACGATATCCAATTCTGCAGCCTGCACCGACGACCACGCTTATAATAAGTATAGTTTATAATAATGCGATATTACTATATGGTCCACGAAATTATTGTTCGCCCGCAATTTTCTATAAAAACCGAAACTACAATACGCGTACTTATATAGTTTGCCGCATGTCGATTGAGAGTAGTTATATAACTAATTGAAAACGCCGCCGGTGGCAGTTTTCAATAATATTTACACGCGGGACCATAGACAATAAAGAAGTGGTTGGGCCATTGTAATAGTATGTCGCACGGTCAGTTTCACGGATTGTATTCCAGACTGCGTCCCTGGCTATTAGAGAGGGAAAGAGAGAGAGAGAGAGAAAGAGAAATAGCACGGTCTGTTAGATTACCACAGAACATTAGTAAAAGAAAGCACGAAAAAACCGCGTACCCCATAAATACTGATATAGACGTGTCCCGCCCATTTCTTTATTATCTACGGAGGTACTCGAACGCTTTACCCACGAAAAGATAATACAAATCCTAAGATAACGAATACCTTGTCGGTTACGCCTATTTAGAATCCTACTACAGGTAAAGTCGATTTGCACATATTTTAGACAAATTACTTTTGGTTTATGAAAAAAAAACAAAAAGAGTAATTAGACCATTAGGTCGAACGACATTTAGGTCAAGAAGGTGTCTCAACAAAAATGTTCGAAAAAATTAATTTTTATTAATATTAATTAATAAAAACTTCTATTAGTTTGTCAAAAATATCATAAAAAATAATTTCCTTTTACTCAAGTGCGGTTCAATCATTACCTTTTATTATCCCAAATGAAATTCGACCATTTTAATTTAGGTAAAATTTAAGTAATAATTTGACTATTCCCGATTTAGAATTTTCTGACTTACACCCGACATTGCATAGGTCACTTTGTAGGTTCCATAAGTCGCATAATGTTAACCATGGAACATTTTTCCTGTGGTGACTGTTCATTCGTATGCCAAAGGATTCTAATATTTAATCAACGAAATTATGAGATATTATCGACTTAACTAATTCATGTACCCACATATAATATTACCCATATCAGCATGTAAATTAAATAACAAATCCTTAAAATCAGGGCCGGACGACCAAGGCGACCAGAGACAGGTAAAGTTCTTGTTATAGGTTTGTATAATCTCATTGGTTCTAATCACATGGTAATCACTGATTTCCAAGTGTACAATCTTTTCTAAAATCAAAATTTATTTAGTTGTTTCCAATCCACCAGCTACATGAAGATCGTTTTATTTGTATTCTTATTGTAGTTAACACAGAACATTATAGTGCTACAAATATTTCTGATCTATCGTTCCGTATTTGATTTCCGATCTATCTAACTATCGTATCATTTTTTGTTTTTTTGTTTTTTTTTGATTATCCAAACAAAAAAAAAAAAACAAAAAAATGATCTTCATAACGGGCGTACGAACAATTCTATGTCTCGTTTATCGTAAGTAAATACTTATTAGGTTTTCGATTTTTATTTTTTCTTTAATCACAAATGATGGATGCACGAGTGTCTGAAACGTTTAAAAAAAACCCTGAAAAAGCTCGAGCGATATAATAAATTTCAATTGTTTTCGCAGTCGATCATTTATAATCGCACGCGCGTAGTCGCCTCTGAACGATTAATTCTCTCACGTTGGTGGGCGAGGAAAACGCGTGGCAGCGGTGGAGTTTATATACGATATTGTAGTTACATTTTGATGCGATAAAACAATAATTAAATTACGATAATAACAATTCAACACCGTCGTCAACGGAGCATTATAATATTATATATTAAACGCGTAAAGTTAATGTAATGGAAATGCGCGTGCGAGCCCCGAGAAATTGTTGAATCCGTCATATTATCATTATACCTATACAACACGTCGTCGTCGTTGACGCATTAAACTATAATCGTAAAATTATCGAGACGAATACCTACCTACCACCGGTGACCACTGCGACACTTGTGCAAAAACACGAAAAGTTACGCGGTCGTTCCGGCGGCAATTCCGTCGGCACGTGGGCTTAACAATTGCCAAAAAACGACTTAGCCATCCCAAAACGAACACCATGTCGCATCTAACTTATCCACGAAATTATTTTCTACGAAATTTGTTCGAAAATTCGATAAAGAAACAGAACAAAAAAAAAATACCCTTTAATTACCGACAAATCCCAGTAAATAATACTGCGGAGCAGTTCGGCGAATTTCACAAAATCTTGTCACGTATCACCTTTTGCCCGTCACACTATCGCCGTAAACATTATATTGTATAAGGTTCATATAAAATACCTCTATATTTTGTCGTTCCAAAACGTTAAGTTTCTCACGACGGGTTCGTGTTTCGAATTAATCGAAAAAAAAAAAAAACTTCCGAAAAAAACGAAAATCCTAATCGAAATTTGAAAGTTCATGGTCCGTAGCAGAGTGCACGTGTGTATTATAAAAGACGTTCGTGCGAAGTGGCTATACCAAGTTTTAAAAAAATTGCAGACCTCTGCGTGAGTTGCTGCTCGCTCCTCGTGACAGACAGACCGCTGCGTAGGTACATACGAGTAATAGGCAATTACGCAGTCTTGAGGTTCTCAAACTTTTCCTTTTTACCATTTTTCAAATTATTCCCAAACGTTTTTCCGATCATGGCTCGCGTGTCACGCCTTTTAACGTCTGCAATCTGGGTTTGTCTATTCTTGCAGCCATATTTGGGTGAGGGGGCAATTTTACCTTGTTGCCATCAAGGCAATTTGTCTAATCCATTAAGTGTACAATTTATACCGAAACCATACGTACAAACAGAATTATAAATATAATACATAATTACTATAATTAGTTTTTTTTTTTTTTTTTTTGATATAAATGATAATATCTTTTATCAAATTTTCTGAGTTCAAATTATATTGTGTTAAAATTCGTTGAAACATGAGCAATACAATTGTAATCTATTTTGTATAGATATAGTTAATACAAAAAGTAAATAGTAAACGAATACAAATGTCCGCAAAATATTATCATTGTCTATAATTTAATAGATTTATAATGCAATATAGCTGAGAAATAAAAACATTTAATTATAACAATACAATAATCTCCCAAAAACACATAAAAATTGCAAAAATGAAGTAATATCCTACGCATATCCTACAACCAATCACCTTCACAGTAAATTGTTCGTACCTAATCATTTTTGTGCACGAGCGCGTGATGCACAATAATATTTACGATACGCGAGTTAAAATTACTTTTTAACTGCACAGTCCGAAAAGTTCAGGAATATACCCGTGCATTTTTTTCCTTTTTTTAGTATCGGATAGCCGTTCGACCGTGTATCCCACTGCCGCGAGTGCTAACGAAAACTTCTCGAGGCGATTTTACGACATCCGAAAAGGTCTTTTTTACACGATTATCTGAAATCCACTGAATAACGTAACAACGCCAAAATTATAATACAGTTTTTTGTCGATAAAACTTCTATTAAAATACAAAGTAACTGGATTTGTGTTATTTTGTTTTACTGTTCGACTGTCACTGAAAAAAGTGTTCATTTCGACAAACAATTCCGTTTTATCAAATAATAATATAATTTCAACGGAACCGAAACTTTTATCCGAGTTGTTATTATACTTTTTGACATTTTAACAATTTTGCAACTCGACTACGGTGTCGATAATTAATTTTCCACAAATCGTCGTAAACAATTAAAATTTATCGAAGCGAAATCAAAATCTTGACTTAAAACTAAAAATCAATTCGTCTGTTCACGATCGCGAACGAAGCAATTATTAAAAAATTTTCATAGAAAAGTGCACACTTCTATTTAGGCAGTAGGTGTTAGATTTACACTTCCGCACTTACTTCCTTAGAGCTATTGTATCAAAATTAGACCACCAACCATAAAGGTTTCATTTCGTTTCTTTAAAAATTAATTTTTTGTTATTTGTAGTTCGTATTTTTTCTTTTAGTTTGATTCTTATTCCTTGTAAAAAAATCGTCCATTATAACCTCAACCATTCGTAGCTACAAACTGACCCGCTGTTTATCATGAGTTGTAATAAGTGATGAAAAAAAAGTTTAGCGTAATGTAATATTTTTTTTTTTTTTTTTTATGCATAAACGTTTTTGAAAAGTAGTTGTTGAATTACTTCGTTCCCCCTCCTTATATTAGTCGTATATATGAAATGAATTGTTTATTTTACGAGTAACAGTGCCGAGACCGTGTGCGTTTTGGTAATATACCACCCGGGTAGCGGTTGAGTCGTATAAATTTATATATATACATGTATACGTATAGAACGGCCAGACGAGAGATAGTAATAATATAATACAGTATATAGTAGTAACACATGTTTTGGCGAAGGGAAAAGTTTTTACACCGAGAGACGGCGGTGGCGGCGGCGGCAATTTCGTCGGGAAAAGTTTGCGCAACACGTATTCAAAAGCACTCGCTCTCTTTCTCTCTCCCTCTGTGTCTACACTACACGCAGCCTACACACACTGTATGTATTATCGTTCACGTCATATTATTATTATATATTGCATTAATTACGGGGACGACGACGACGGCGAAGTACGACATCAATCAGTCGACGAATAAAAAAAAAAACGTCCGCCATCCAGTGGCCCGATATAATATTATTATTAACTCGTGTGTGTCGAGTGTGCGGGTGTGCGCGCGTAAAATACGATCGATAACAGTCTATATGTGTACACTACATACATATTCGACTTAAACACCGCAAAATCGCAAAAAAAAAAAAAAAAATAATAATAATAATAATAAATACGCGCATTGGGTATCTATAGAAACACGACCAAACACGGAAATTTTTTTTTCTTTTTGTCATATATCGTCCAGTTATTTATTATATAAAACTCCCCGAAATACGAGTCAAATATATATACATATACATTTTATTTATTCAGATAAAATATAATAATGTATAAAAAGAAATAATTTCCGACCTTCCTAATAATCGGGTAGATGGTTTTTGAATTATAAATCTTTGCAAACGAAAAATGATTCTGAACGGAAGTAGGTTCATAATTGTTTCATAAATTGATTATTTCTTAAATTGAAAATTGTGTTAATTTAAAAAAAAAACGAAAGATGGCAGAATACATTTAAAACAGAATAAGTGTAACCACACCAGTGAAGTCGATTGTCGGAGCAAGATTAATGGTCAAAAAGTTGTTTACGGACATAGAATACAAAAAAGCACACATCATACGGCAAAACTATAATACATTCCTATCCACGCTCAGAATATAAGATTACTTAATCATAATACTGACGGATTTATATAATTTATAAGTGGAAATAAGTACGAACAGAGATTTTCGGTGTTTGATCTTTCCTATTACTTTCTGATCAATTTCTAGTGTCTCCCACTGAATCAAATTAGCTTAATTTCGAGAATTTAAAGTTTTTTTTTTTTTTTGTATGCCGAATGAATTGAACAAATCTGGATTGAATTTCAATGTGAATTTTGTTGTTGGGGAAAAAGGATAATTATTGTATGATCATTAATATTATTTATTCGCGAAAAAATATTTCCATTGTAGAAAATAGGCGGGGAGGGGGAGGGGATATTCTACTCGAATGGCGACGGAGCTCACTGCTGCTCAATAGTATTATTTTTTTGTGTGTGTGTGTGTGTGTGTGTATGAATGTTCGCTCGACGAGCGATTTCGGATGTCTGAGGCCCCCTCTAAACACCGCACCGACTACTCGACGTATGTGCGATCGCGTTTTCGAGTACGCGTACCTACCTGACTACGGTATTATTTTTTATAATATATACGCTACGCACCTCTCTCTTCTTTCTCTCTGTCACTGTCTCTCTCACTCACTCACTCGCTCACTCACTCTCTCTCTCTCTCTCTCTCTCGCGAGCGTCGGCGGCGTTTACGATCGATAACAATATAATATAAGGTTAATGCGGCGGCGGCAGAAAGAAGACGGAGCTCCGGAGCTCCTATTGTTGGTGTACATAATATTATATTATTGTTATATTATTATAATATATATATATATATATATATATTATATATATATATTGTTCTGTCTCTCCATCTCTCTTTCTCTCTTTCGAACACACTTACGCTCTCTCTCTCTCTCTCTCTCTCTCGCGGCATCGCTACGACGAAAAATACGCCCGACTCGGTGTGGTGTACACACGGGCCGACGGTGAATCCGTGTCACGTCAACAAGACGTCGTCGTAGCGGCGTTTGTGAGACTCGAGCACGTATTATATACGCGCGTCCCCCTTCCGGTTCTTTCGCGCAACATTGTATACGTATTGTTACCCAGCTCGGTGGCGTCAATTTGACGATGGGGATAGACGGAGGGGGCAAGGGTAATAAGTGAGGAGGTTATCGGGTCACAATTCTCCTTCTCCCCATACTCCACCGATCAGCGTGAGTTTTTAAACACTCCTCAAAAAAAAATAATAATAAAATCGGGGTAGAATACGTGCGTAATATTGTTCTTTGGAAAAATCTAAAAAAAAAAAAAAAAAACGTTAACCGTTTTCCGCGTATAATTTGCGATATTTTTACTTTTGCGCGCGTTACTGCGGAGAGAAAAAAAAATTAAATAAGACGGTATATAAAGACGGCCGTGTTTATATTATAAAAAACCAGGAGTTAATAATTTCTTTCAAGTCTGCACAACTATTACGAGAAAATCATACATAAATTAATAACCGTTTTTTTCTAGACCTTTTTTTAAGGCGGTTTTCCGTGTCCAAATGGAGGCATGGTTAATTTAATAAGTCTATTGGACATCCGACATTCGACTAATCTTTTGTCTACTTTTTGTATCTTCTATACAGAATAAATTACAAATTAAAGATATAGGTGGTACCTTCCAAAAATGTTAAAATCGGTTTTTTTTACACATAGACCTTTTATGAAATTCTGCGTTTTTTATGTAAGTAAATTTTTTCTAGTCGGTGCACCGAGGACTTCGTTTTTTGATTTTTCTATTAGTTTTCTTAATAATAGGGAAAATAATAAGAAAAATGGAAAAATTTAACGATTTCGTTATTTCAATTTAGTTTTATTTTTTTTATTTTTTTTTTTTTCATAATTCGGTTTAAAATAACCATTGAAACTTGAAATGGTCACAGAATTTTTCTGTTGGCCTTTTTTTTCTTTTTAACTTAAAGTGAAGTAAACCTGATTTTTATAGTATTATTTTACACGCGGGTCGGAATTATTATGTACAATTTACCCTGCCCTGCTCCCGACAGGAAGTGTCGGGGCCGGCGTCATAAAAAAGTATACCGAACATGACGAAGAAACATTTCTATTTTTTAAGTTGTAGACAATTTAAGTTTTTTTAACGAAATCACGTTTTAACCTACCGCCCATTTTTTTTATATATCTTTAAAACTTTTAATCTTACAACGTAATTTTTTTTTTCTAGTTATTCTATTGTAGTACTCTCGACCAACATACGCATTTAAACCGGAAACATATGAATTATTTATACTGTATTTAAAAAAAAAAAAAAAAATGCATTTTTAAAATTAAACCGAGTACAACTACAAATAATTTCCTACTATTTACTACGATTTTTTTTTTTTTCATTTTATTTTTTTTTATTATCCTACTACAGTGATGTTCGCAGAAAAAAATGCGACGGGCTCCCGGGCTTAACGCCTCTCGACAAGGCATCCGGAAAAAACATGCCGAATTACAGAGAGTATTATTGCACAACCGCACGACACTCCGCCGTCTCGGGCGGGTTATTCGTTGTATTTATAGCGTATAGAAAACGTCGGCGGCGCGACGGACGAACACTGTAACACAATACCGTCGAGTGTGAGGACTCCCGGTCCTTTACCTCCGGCTTTACTACACTAATAATAATAATAATAAGCCTAATAATATAGAGTGGCGTCCTTTCCTGCACCGTTTCCGCGGTACATTCTGCCTCGGCGTCGGTAGTTTTCCCGCGTATACACCTATATATAATTATTCTCCGTCGCCGGTTTGTACGAGGCGCGCCGGTGTCAACTGCGTCAACGGAGCCAATAAAGAGGAGGGGAATAAACAGTCGTACAAAAGATTTGCCGCGGTAAAATTTCACTATAGAGTAATCGTATCCCCTCGGTAAACTATCGGTGGGTTGAAATTTCATTGGAGAAATCTAACTGGGGATACGATTTTACTGGCGATAATAATTGCCCCCTAAAATTTTACCCGCTGATAGTTTACCGATAGGGAATAAAATTTCTCAAGTAAAATTTTACCCCGCGTAATATAGTCGGTATAAGCGAGTTTCTATGGTGTTTTCTGCGGTTATCCGTCATATTGTCTGGGGTAGTGTTAATAGGTGGTACAAATCTTCATCGTCTTCCGTTGACGCAAAATTATATACTAAGGATCATTTTAAATAAAACAAATTTATTTTTCGTATGAAATGTCTTAACAGCTAATTTTTATTTTTAAATAAAAGTCATTTTTATAGTTAAAAATAATTCAACAAAAGCGACTAACCACATATGTAAGGTTATAATATTAGGTAATCATATTAGAGGTAAAGGTAATAATATTAGCATCCCTATTACTCGTTCAATCGTCATAAATATTTCTAAAGTCTTTTATGTTTAATAAATCCCCCCTTAAACTGTCTAATGAAAAACTCAATAATTTTAAGATGCGATTATAGGAAAATAATCTCATCATTTTTTAACCTATATCCGAATGATTAGGTTAATTTTTTTGTATAAAAATCAATAATGTCTTTGTAGATATATGTAACTATAAGAAAAAAACATAAGACAAGTTTTCATTGACTTCCATGCGTGTCCAAGTGAGATTTACATATTGTTTATTGAAATAAATTGAAATTAAATTAAAAATTAGACTGCGGTTTTGTCCGTAACGGACAGTTGACGTTTTTACGTTTTCCGGTTTTTTCTGTTGTTCCAATGTGGCCACAGTATAACGGGAAAGCTCGTAATATACCCATATGCGATGTAGTGAAACTTACACTACTATTTCAGTGTAAAACTCCCCCGCTCCCCGAAGGATTTTGTGCGCGAAATTTATCCGACGGATCTGCAGTGCAGGAAGGTAAAATTTTACATCATTGAAAAACTACAGGAAAACAACGTATCCACAAAACTGAAAAACCGGACGTTTTGCCGGGTTGCAGTATTGCGCTGCACGTGGGTCACACGCTGCGGCGCGTTGGTACTCGTTTAATCTCGCGCGGCACCGCATTTTATCACGAATCGATAACCGTAACCGCGGTAACGTCCGTACATTATATATATATATATATATGTATATATATGTAAGGTACCTAACCTTATACGCTGTCGGGTCGGGTAGCGTACGTACAATATCTTTTCCGCGATGCATATAGTACGTATAATAATAGGTATTCGTCGTATATACCTATTACCTATACGACTAGGTTTAAATAATGGAGTCGAAGGGCACGCGATATAATACAATACTAATATTATAACCATATATATACTATACAGAAACTGCTTTAAAATATCGAACACATAACACGACTATTATCTGCAGCTCACTTATAATATTATTAGATACGTAATAAAGTGAATAAAGGGGTACAAAGAAACTGAATGTATACCCACTAATTACAGCACAGATATAACTGCGACAGCACCGGCCATGCCTATATTATAATATATACGTGTCGTTTATAAAAACATGATATCAACCAAATAATTATATTGTACTAGATAGGTGTGTACCGCGAAAGTCTATCCCGGCATTGTGCAAAGGGGTCCGTATTAGTTTTGAAAAGTTTTTCGTATTGATGTATAAGAAAAGCACACACACATACATAAAAACCGTCCATGCGCGATAATACGGAAACGGAAAACGCGCGTTTTATACGCCATAATCGAACCGCGGACATCGGTAATTTATTTCGCTAGCCGACGTATTATAAGATCGAAAAAGTTTGGAAACCGACGCGTTAGGCCGTCAGCCGGATCGCCAGCTAATCGTTTTGATTTCTTCGGTTTTAATGACCACATCGGTCAATAAGTCCATCCGCACAGTGGCACAACCAGGATTTTGAATTGAGAGAAAGGCTAAATACGTTTTTGCTTGAGACATGAGCGCAAAGATCAAAGAAGTGTTTTAACGCCTCTTCCAAAAAAAATATGTAGAAAAATGTTTTCATTTATATATGCTTTTATCAGATACTTATAAAAAAATAAATACTCGAATCGAATACTATAATAATGCAATCCTAAACTGTACTCAAAACATGCTACTTCGAAAAAACTGGTGAAATATGTTCGTAAAAATGATAGGGGTGCGGTGTGTAAGTTGAAACCTCCAAAAAACATCATATTTTTGATACTAAACTGTTATGCGTGTTCAAAATGTCACCCACCCCTCCCCCTTCCTGGTTTCGTTTCTGGAATCTATAAAAAGTTTACAATGCTAAAAACACACCCTCCGTTCATAATAAAAAACAGTTAGGATCATATTGAAGGGTCAATTCCAATTAACCCTGATCGCTTCAAACCACCTACGAAAACCTCTCATTTCCGAGTTTAAGTTCATTTGGTCTACTAGTTTACAATAAGTAACCGTGAGAAAAAGTTCAAAAGTAGTGAGAATTATAGAACAGACATCACAATTCAGCGAAACGAGTTCTATATGTTCGGGGGAAATTCGAAAAAAATGAAATAAAATATTGATGAAATATCGGGTTTTCGCCGGAACGTATAATGTTATAAACACGCCTATAACATAGAATTCCGATTTTTTGTGTCCGAAAAGTCGATTCGATCACGAATGTAACCATGTAACCATCGCGAATTATCTTTACAACTACCTGCATCCGGAACAGCTCCGAACAGTTTAAGATTTAAAACACCGGTCGGAATACCAATGTACGGACTACCAATACTCATCGAGGTGTCGTGCTGCTGCTGTTATTACGTAGTCACGCGATTTATCGACAATAATATTACAATTACGTTTTGCAGAGCGAATATTATACGCGACGAAACCAAGACTATCGAAACAATCGCGTAACGATAAAAAATACTATTAACGAACGATATGCGGTGATTTTTTTTTTTTTTTATCGAAACACAAGTGACCAGTTACATTTTATGATATTATGGTGTGATACGACTATGACGACTCGCACCACACGATAATATATATTTTTTTAAAACGATTATTTTCATTTATATTACTATATTATAATAGTAATGACTTTATCAAAAATAAATATAATACCGAACATTTCACATTTGTGTGACGCCGTTTAGTTTGTTATTTTTTTGCCTTGCGATTTTATCGGTCAACATGTGATAGCTAGCGATATAATACTTGGTGACCATCCAAGTAGCGACCGATAAGACAAAAAAAATTTCAAATTTGGCACAAAACCGAACACATAATAATAATAATAATAATAACACTAAGCGATAGTGTACAAACAAAATATAGGGTTTTCTCCCACCTCCCCTTCTTTCTCTTTTCACGTCGTCGTCGACAACGATGCCGGTGTAGTGTGATGCAGTGTCGGACGTCGGTGTAGTGTAACGATAATGACCGCGCCCTTCTACTACCCCCATTATTATTATCGTTATTACAATAATAATACATTTTACTCGGTTTCGCGGGGACGTATGTTTTATTCAAACGTCGTTTTGACGAGTCCAAAGGCGGGTAAATAGGTATACCTATATAATATATTTATCCTATCACGTATTGATAACGATTTCCCTTTCGGTAATCAAATTTCCTTTATCGGATCTTTATCCGATATAGGGTGGCGCGACGGTGATATTTTCCTCGAGCATTCTCCCTGTTTTGTCGTCATTGTCTTGCGAAAACAATATGTCCGGCGGACTTTTGTCTTATACACTTGCGCCGTTGTTTGTTATCGTCACATTTCGTAATAAACACAGGTACGGACTGCTGCGAAAGCAATTTCACCAAAGCCCTCTCCGCACTATTACGCCTTTAAAATGTGTCTATATCTACGTAAATTTCGATGCGATTTTACTTCATAAGTATCATATTATTGTGTGTTATCATATACGTTTTTCCGGGCTTCTCCAACCGTCTGCGATTTACACACGACGATAACGCTTTATTCCGATCGTGGCCTTAGAATATTAAGTTCAGGACATTGGGTTATTAAATGCGGCCTCTAAAAGAGGCAGTTTGAGTACCTATTTCAATGCGCGAAAATCGTAATTTTGGGCATTTTAGGATTATAGATTGAAATTTAATTCAACCGTTGAATAATCATTATTATAATCGATTCAAATAAACAATTAGGTTCATAGTTATTTATTTACAAACAAAATGTTAAAAAAATTGATAAAAAAAAATTAATATATATACAAATTAATATTGATATACTATATTAATAATATTATAAAAATCGATACCGTACATTTTCGACATTTTTGACGATTTTATACATTTAAACATTCGAGGCGCTCTTTGATAAAATTAAACTAAAACTGGCTCTCTATACGATCGCATAATTAACACAGAACCAGATGATTTTATCTTCTAAGACGGTGATGAGTCCGAGTAACGACTCGGTTTTTTTTTTTTTTTAATTTTCGTTATTTTACCCGATTAGATAGATTTTCGGTAGGTAACAAAAGAATATTTTGCCGTTTTGGCTTGTGCAAGTGTCGGCAAATAACACGTTTAAAACGACACGCGGTACCCGACGATTTTCATCATACCGCGCGCAGATCCACAGGCGGGCGAACCCGTCGAGACCGCGGGATGCTGGCAGACCGAATCTCGTAGTATTATTATCGGGTCGCTGCCACCGGTCATCCCGAGGCCAAGTTGTCGGAGGTTTTATCGGGACCCGTGACTGATCGTATAATACAATATTATTGTCACGCGATACTCGTTTTTTCCGACGGTGTTTCTTGTCTTGCATTTCTTCGCGTTTTCCTCGGATCGTTTGTTTTTTTTTTTTAAATATTTGATAATTGTCCTCAAATTGAATACCATTCCATTCTCAGCCGATAATGTATACTCATATAGATATATAAATCCACGTTTTCATGTGAAATAAAACCAACTATAATAGTGTAAGTCGGAGAAATGTATTCAAAATTCAATTAGGTTTTCGTAATTTTTCTGGCTTATTAATATATATATATTATCATCGAACCGCGTTTTAGCTACAAATTGTAAACGTTTTTACTAATTTCGTTGGAAACGTCGCAAAAAACCGTACCCCAGAATTTTTAAAAAGAGGTTGTTTAAATTTTACATTTAAATAAAACTTGTCGTAGGGTGGATGGCTTCACATATCCTTCATAGAGTCATACAATCACATTAATAAATACGCTTAAACACGTTTAAATCTTTATGCTAAATAATAATATCAAAGAAAAATAGAAACAACTACATGTTTTGTATGAACCCGATGCATTTAATATACAGCTAGTATACAGTTATAATGTTTGACTTTAATACGGCAAAATCAGGTAGGGAGATGTTTGTATTTAAACGCCCAAAACACGTTTCCCCAACATGGATACACGTCTGACAGTACCTACCTAACTATGTAAAAATTAATTTATCGACTAGAAGTAAAATCGATAGAATATATTTTTTATATTTTTAAAATTTACAACTTGTATACATCGTAACACAACCGAAAACTCCGGTTTGCGATAAAAACTCAGAGGGAAAAAATGCATAATAACAATTCGTTCGCCGAAGATAATTTATCGTTTGTTTGTTTGGTTATATTTTTTTTTTCGTTTTTTCGTCGCTCATTTATTTTATGAAAATTGATTTATTATCATCATGAGCGTAATAATAATTTAACTTCGGGGCGCTCTTTACTATAAATATACGGTCGGAATTATACGAGTATTATTATTATACACGTTTTACTATACGCAGTGAATAATATTATATATCATAGTGCAAACAAAAAAATATTGTGTTACACACTTTAATTTTAAAACAAATTGTCTAGTTGGGAGAGTAAAAAATGTATCGCACACTACGCTAGTGTTACATTGTAGAGGTGTATGTACGCGTACGGAAAGAACAATTTACAACAAAAAAAAATTCTCACTGAACGGATGATAATTTAAAAAATTAATATTGCTGCAGTGTATAGTTTTTTTTGGCCGTATTACTTACTCGCTTACTCACTTACTTAGTTACTTATTATTAAAGGACGATAAAACAAAAACTGCTGCACGGGAAGTCGTCTTAATTCTAATTAATGACATCGAGAACGGGAGACCTTTTATACGCATTATACTTATACCCGGATAATGGAAACGATTCGTTATGAAAAAAAAAAACCATCCAACCAACCTATACGCGAATAATCCCGAAAATAACGACGGTGCCTGAATTTTAAAATATTTTTTTCATCGTAGACAGCCGATATTTTTCGAATTAATAACAACAATAATCCTAGTAACAACATCGAATCAAATAAATTTACCATATTATTATATCGTATAAAACTCTAATATTTCCTTTCTTTTTTTTTTTTTTTAACAAGGGCTTGAAATTATTTACGACGAATTCGTTTTACTTTAATTTTTCTATATAGGTACACCATGTACATTTATTTGTTTATTTAGTCTTTTTCGATTAAACCACAGCGCGCGCTCTCTCACACACACACACCCACGATAATAACTATTAATTCCGCCTGAGAAAGAATCGAATTACACTAACAGCACTATAATGATTATTCTTATGGTCGGTCAAATGGACAGGGAAGGGAAAAAACCTATTTTTGGTTTTCCGTATACGAAACCGACCGATTGCCCGACAAACGCCTCGAGGAATTGGCACGAAGTCTGAATGATTTTTGCCCATAATCTATTCGAACATCGATTACACGCCATCGTCCATCGTATACATGTATACGAACGTTGAAGGACCAGAAATATTCAACATTACACTGATCTATCAGCCGCACCTAACGAGAAATAAATTCCCTAGCGAAAAATTATTTATATTATATCCCGCGCTGAAAACATCGACAAAAACCGTTTAGACGAAAAACGTGTGTTTCGTAAACATTGGCCCTTTAGAAATATTATAGCGGTATAGTGGAGTTTAACGAGACGGTTGTAGTACAGTTTTACCAATTTTATACTTTTCAAAAATCGATTATCTCCGATCGAGATTTCCGAATATTAAAATGTCCTAAAAAAATTATTGTCGGGTGACAATAATATTACGGCGTAAATGTTTTTATTTTTAATGTTAGATTGAAAAATTAATTATTAGGAGGATTAATAATTTGCAAACACTGCATTAGGAAAGCAAAATTTTTTGAAATATGGCATTAAGAAAAACGACTATCGGGGAAAAAAGATTAGAAAAACCCTACCTAAATCTCGCATATAATCAGATAATAATTAAAAAAATATCCACGCAAATTGCATTCTCCGTATAATCGGTTATAGATTTTAAGGGGTTGTATATAAATAGAAGGTTTTATGTTTTATTGGAGGAAAATTGTATTGTTTAAAACGTAGGTGTGTGCTCAAGACCAAAAAAACATAATAATAATAATAAACGCGTATTCTCTAGTATTAGAACAATACATTTTAAAATTTATCGAGTACTTTAAAAAAAAACAAAATATTTATAATATCCCCCCCAACACACACACTTGTCGTTCCTCCGCCGTATATATTGTTCGATTTCGACCAATAGCCGCTTCCAACTATATCGTTTTCAACAATAATTTGCAAAATTCCGAGAACGATAAAAAAAAAACCCGTGAAATTATTTTAAACGAGACGGCGAAAAACCTATTGGTTTTTACTGTTATGCGATTTTTGGCATGCGATTACTATACAGTTGGTTTTTTTTTTTAGACTAAACGAGAATGTTCGCATAAAGTCTCATATATACATCAGCTTCTCGATCGATTGGAAATTGGTCATAGATGGCACTTTAAGAGAGGGATAGTTTTTTTGAGATTTTCTCTATTTTGTTTATATAGTTTTAGTTAGAAAATATTTTTAAAAATATAATAGCGATTTCGTAAAAATAGCATCGTTACGTTTTTAAAAAACCCATTATTATGGGTGTAGTTTTGTTGTTGCATAATTTCGAACAATTAATTAATTTATTAAATAATATTACATTTACAAAAATGGAAGACTTATGAAAATTCGAAATTTCATCAATCTATATGGTCATTTGCCTCATAAAATTAGAGTTTTCCTAAAAAAAAACTTAATTTCAATTCTCCTCCAAACATATTTATTTGAGTTAACATCGTATATACTTTTTTTCATCATTTAAATCGAACAAATCCTAATTTCAATACTACTCTGATTGTCTCAATAGTTGCCTCATGCACTAGTATAAAATTAAGCTTAATAAACTTAAGAGAAATTCTACCGAATAAAATATTAATTGGGAAAACATAGGTAATACATATTAGGTCATTTTAAATAATTCTTTACTAATTAAAATCTACTTAATTTTTTACCTTATTAACTGAGGTTAATATTCTGATGTCTGGGCTCAAATATAAAAACGTCCAGAAGAAATTTTTCGTGCGGAATATGAAATATATGGACAGGTAGACTGCAATCTTATCCTATTTTAATAATGGAAGAAAATGGAGTAGAAAATAGTATCCCGTTTTTAGAAGAAAACAGTTATGCATATTCCATTGATATCTTTAGTTCCGGAAAAAGACTTAAGTCAAATTTTGGCTTTATATATATATATATATTTATAATTTAATGTAATATTTTTCCTTTTATTTTTTGGTCTAAATTGCATAAGTGAATGTATTTTCACATTTAGTGTATAATTATAGTATGTTAGTGTATACAAATTACTTATTAGTATATAATATGTACAAGGGCAAGTATTTTTAACATTTAATTTAATTTTACCACGTCAAGGTAAGTCCAATATAAATATTATCACCAAGTTTCAATTCTCTATGTGTATTTATAACCGAATTACAGCAAAAAACTCCCAAAAATTAAAATTCCTTAAAGGCTCAAAAGTGGCTCTAAAGTACAATCTAGACAACTTGAGAACAAAAAAGTTGCTACACATACAAATTGGAGCAAGTTTACTAGGAAAATCTTATCCATAGACTAGAACAAGGAACAAAAAAAAATAAACACCATTGTAAAACCAATAGCGCCCTCGTTACGCTCAGAATCTAAAATTAATAAGTAGACACCTTTATCAAATTTTTAATCGTTTTGAGGACGGTCATATAACATAATAATATAGAGACGACGGCGACGGGTTTTCGAAAAGTTATTGCGATCGATATCCAGCTGCGGTTGTCGACCGTTTCAAATTAAATAACCCTGCAAAATCGTACCTACATTAATGTATTATATTTTGATTCTGTAAATAGGACATATTTTTCGTCCTAACATACTATTTATAATATATAAATCGACGTTATTCCGTCGTGACAGCGTCGATCAATAATAGTACGCGATATTTTGTTCGTGTTTGATTTTTGCCTGAATATTATATATTAATGGATTCCCATATATATTATTAGGCCTCGTGCGTAAAATATGTTATTTTTTCTGCTCTCTGTCGGGAAAAAGTTTGGGTTTTTTTTGTTTTTTAATCGGACGACCGGGCATAAACTCCGTCATACGCATTATATCGCGAGCCGTGACCTTTTCCGACTCATAATGTATTCATTACCATGTATAGAAGCATGCATTTTTAGGGGATGGAAAGAAATAAAAGGTTCTAAATATTTGGCAGTCGGTATGATTTTCTGATATAATTGCGTATCTATCGACAAAAAACAACAAAACACAAAACGTAACTATACTTTTTTACACAATCATAATTATTATCGTATATCGGTTAAACGAGAAATAATATTGCGAGGATTATTTTTTTTTTTTTTAAATAGGCAGCAGTAAAATAAATTTATTATATTATTTTTTCACCGTTTATAATAACCTAACCTAAACCCGGGGCACGAGCCCCCTTTGCCCTTAGTCCATCTCTTCACCCTTTAACACGGTCGTAAATTTATAATTTTACGTCAGCGTCATGTTATCTTTTCTAAATGGTCTTAATTAATAACATATATATAATACATAAAGGGTAATACTGATAGCAATATAATTGGAGCAATATTTTTATTACGATTACGTGCGCACCATTAACACGTAATAATACCGTTACGCTATCTGTGCCAAGGAAGTAATTTATCGTATAATGTGCTGGTATGCTTGTGTTTATTCGGTGAAGTTATATCATCATATTATATTATCATTGCTGTTGATGGAAAAATTATTGCGCTTTTAAATTCTCCCCAGCCTCTTCCCCAATTATGTTAATAACTTGTAATGATAATACATTAATAATTAACTTTTGTGTTTGAATAATAATAATAATATATTATATGAAAAATAATATCTATTGTTTATCAGGGCAAAGAAAATAATAAAGAAAATAAAAACGACACTGCCGCAGTAAGTAAATAACAAATGAATGCGCTATAATAATAATATAACTATATATTCTTCTTATAATTTTGATAGTTATTACTATCTAGACTAGATAAATAAGAGAGTGACAGACTCGGTAATATTTTTCTATTGACCGACACATTTCAGTCACCACGGCGACGCCATTATGTTTAATACAAAACTAAATAATTATTTACACGTAACAAATTTATCTTACTACAGTTTTAAATATACAATTTTAATATTAATTACACAAGTATTTGAAATATACATATCATTTTCCACAAAACATGGAGGCTAACTGATGAGGTGGTTAATCTCGTATTTATCTCGTCTCTTTCTCTATTATTATAATTATACTTGGCGAATAATACAAATATTTAAAAAAAACACCTACACTTTTTTATTATCGCCAAAAACAACTTATAATGAACCTCGAGTTAAATTTTCGAACATTTTTTAAAAGCTAAAAATGTTTCCCACTTCGTAAAATTAAATAAAAACTAATATATGACCACCTCTAGAAACGGCTAGAATTAGTATACTATGAATTGAATATAAAACATGTTTACATCAGAAAGAAAAAAAAACGCACACATAATAATAAAACCAATGCATCATTAAGTCAAAATCTAAAAGTTGCGCACTGCAATATAAAAAATATTGATTAATGTAATTTTTCCTATAATTATTATTATTCAATCAACCCGACCGCAGCTGTTGTGTTTTTTTGCTTCTAAAACCCAATAATTTGGACGACGACGAATACGATGTTAAACTATCATTAAATTATTGCAAACAAACCAAAAACAATCGCTAAATTATATTTTATTGTATCGATTATTGTACATTGTTGTACATACGATTATATACGAGAACCAAAAGCGTTTTTATTACCGCTAAATACATACACATACACATACACATACGGTTTTACAGTCAATTATTGTACAATTTTAAACAGTATAGGTTATATCGTTAACCCCGGAATCGAGTCATTTTATATAGATTTCAATACAAGCTAATTAAATTCTGATAATGCACACACTCGTGCATTTTAGACTGAAAAATAATCTGAAAAAAATTGCATTTGACAAAATTATATAAAATAAAGCCAAAAATTGATTTAACCGTTTATTCCCGGAACCAAAGATAAATTATTATATATTGCGACTATTTTATGAGTGTAAGTGTACACTATTACTATGCAGGTCAAACTCGATATTGGATGATTAGGAGAAAACACATTATTAACCACTAAAATCAACCGATATAGCGACGACCAATTTATATTATTATCGAAAGCACATTTTTCCTATACACCTCTAACCTATACACGTAGTCGTATAAAAACTAATGAACGTCTAGCGATTCCGACTGACGAAGACGGCGACTGACCGAACGCATGTACATAATATATTATTATTGTGTTGTTAGCTTCGCGTTTTCAATTAAACATCAGGTCTTTTTTTTCTCTCCGTCCTTTCTTTTCGCAAGCAATATTATATTGTAGTATAGTGACCTTTTCCCGATAAAATACGTCCCCCGGTATATTGTACCTACGTGCATAAGAATAAAATAGCGTATTTTTAGCCGTCCGAGATAAATAATGGATTTAATGCGTATTATACATCAGCGGCTGGACGGGCCCATCAGCGTTCGTGGATAAAAGATTAATAATGGAATACTGGTACGCACGGGGCGAAGGAGAAAAAAAATAAAACTATCACACCAACGACGAAGACAGTGGCGTCAACGGCGGCGACGTCATGGCTCTCTAGTTAGCTGCTAAAAAAACACAGCGATCGTATATGTATACACAAACACACACACAATAAACAGAGCCGTCTAAGACAATAAAAAGGAGAGAAAAAACGGTGCAAACGTCCCATAGAGATTTGCCTGTTCACGCCGCCGGTTCGATCCGTTAAAATAAAGAGACAAAAAACGAGCTAGTGCAAATGGCCGAGTCCGTGCGCACGGGTAGCCCGAAATCCGCCCTCTCTTTCCCTTAACGACAGTGCCGGGTTTTATTTTTATTTTATCATTTTCTTTTCTCGTTCTTTTTTTTTTTTAACAATCCTCGACTCGCTTACTGGATCAGAATTTTAGACGGTTCCCCCGCTCAGGGAACACTATTTAAAATTATTTGTCGTACTATATACGTATACGTTTAACGGAATAGTCGGCGAAAAGAATAAAAATTGTTTAAAAGACTTGAGACTTTTAATAATAATACGCGTGCATATAATTATTACTTTCGCCCGTATTCAGCATAAAAAAATTCGAAACAAAATGACAATAGAAAGACACTAGGCTATATAAAAAAAATTAAAAAAACAAAAACAAACAGAAAAAGTCAATTGTAATTTACGGGAGCTTATAGTCTTTTTTTTTTTTTTGATCGTCAGTTTTTAACGTGTCCACGATAATGATCCTGGTGAAAACCCGGCCACGGTGCATAGGTTTTCAAGTCTAAAACGACGATCGGCGACCGATTAACATCATAAAAACGTTTTTTGACCGATGTGAATTTCCTGCGGATGGCATTATAATAATTATTTTACTACAAGTACAGTACGAATATACGACGGAAGTTCGTTATTTCGGGACTAACAAGACCGGAATAAAAACGGTTGGTTTTTTTTTTTGTTCGTGTGTATGTGCGATGACGACTACATTGCGGTGCCGTGGTCAGAAAAAAAAAGTAAAATAATCGATACGGCGGTCGGCGAAAAAACGAAATTAAAAATTAATACTAGGTAAAAATGAAAAAAAAAAAAAACGGTTTCCGGTTAGTTTTCACAACGCGGGCGGTTCCATTATTGTTTATAAATATAATACAATAACACTGGAATTATTATAATTGCATATAGAAATTATAATTGTTTCCATAAATTATATTATGCGAGTGCATCGTCGTATTATAATTTAAGGCCGGAGAGCAACAGTTTGTTTGTATTAGTTTTTGTTAGGGAACACGGGATTTTTTTTGATTTTTCAGAGGTTTAACTCCAGACACGACACTCGACTGTATGGGCACGTGGAATATCAAAAAAAAAAAAATGGTTCGATAAAGATTTCCCGTCAAATGCAATTTCCGCCCATAAATATCTGCGCTGCATCTCCAACCTATGTATAATATTAGACGAATATATTATTATATTATATCGGTGAATTTCCTTTTTTTTCCCTTTTTTTCGTGATTTTTTTCTTCTGTTTGCTCGGGTTATTCTTGCATAACCAATAATATATATTAATATATATATATATTTTATATTATACTTCACAAAGGTCAATAATATGATTTTATTATTCTATATATAATAGGCGCCTCGTCCCGCAGCAACAATGCTGTATCACGGATCATCCAGTTCGGGAAAATAATTATTTAATAATTATTTTCTTGTGTGCCATTGTTGTGTATAATAATATTGTTTTATTCATTTTTATTATTAATTTTTTTTTTTTTTTTTTGTTTTATAGAATGGAAGAGGAAGTGGAGAAAACATTAACAGAGCAAATGGGTAAGTCAGAAAAAAAATAAAAACTATAAAAATAGGTACCTACTCTTATAGGTATATAGTTTTAATTTGATTATTCGTCCTTCCGTGTATTACAAGTATATAGTATAAACCGTTCATGATGACGTTAATTTTCCAGTATAACCAAAAATACGGCGCATACTAGTTGGGTCCCAGATTCCAATTGTTTACCGATTGGGTCCCGTGTAAAAAAGCCTGTTGTACTAGTTGGATCCCAAAAAAAAATATAGTCTCCTTCCCACTTTTACAGACTGAGGACTATCTAAAAACATCTAGTTATTATAGGTATGGTTAAGAATATTTTTTTTCTAATGTTTACTATTTTATTTTCGTGATTTACAATTTTCGTCTGTTAATAGTTACTAAGTTAATAATTGGATTAAAATTTATGAGATAAAGATTTAAAAATATTTTTTCTGTCATTTTTTTTTTTTACGAAATCGTCCTTAGATATTATACAGTTTCTTCTTCTTCCCTCTGGACTTCTCATTTTAATAAAAACGTCGATTTTAATATATTTTAAAAAAACGTGTTTAAATTCAAATATATTTGGGTGAGCAGAAGAAAACATAGAATTGAAGTGTGACTGAAAGGTTTATAGTTCTTATTGTACTAGGCTTAGATTCAAACCATAATTTTGGAGGGAACTTTGCGTCAGGACGAATATAATTTTTTAATAAATATTCCGTAAATTGTTGTAATCGCTCGTCATCTGGCTGAATACTTACTAAATAATTTGTAAAGCAGTTTTTAACTTCGTTCGGTGATAAAAATTAAAGTCCAAAAAAAATGTTTGGGTAATTACCTAACTCTTCGTTTTTTTTATAATTACTACTTAATTCTAGATTCTGGATCTTTCGCTACCAATTTTGATCTAGATAAAATCTACAACCTTTAATATTTATTTGTAGTCAAACTGATAATAGAGATGTGCATCGATCAAATCAGCATAAACAATTTCAGTTATTAAATTGAAATTTCGTTTATTGCATTTATTGAAAATATGTATACAATTTTGTGAATAACACTCTGTACTTTTAGAAGGTAGCAAACAAAATATAATAGGAATATAGTGGTTGTTGTGATTAATATGGATAGTGAACATTTGTATAAACATTTTACAACTTTTAAAAGTACCATCAACATAAATTGTATTAGATTTACATAAAAATTTTAAATTTTCAGTTGTTGAAAATATAATTATGTTATTTACACTGTCATTAATTAATAAAAAGTCTTTTTCACGATTTGTTTTTATTTTAAAATCGATTAATGTTTTATGAATATCGCTCTTAAACATTTAGGAATATTCGGTTGAATACTTTTTCTAGCATAGTACAATCATTATGTGTTAGAGTTTCTATATAATTTTTTAATTTCTAATGCAATAACTTAGATGGCCTTCCACGAGGATTTTCTTATGTTTTTCTTTTTAAAGAGTTACTTACTGTTTACCTGGTTAAAATATTTATTTCGTCAGGTTCATAATTGTGTGAGATGTTTTTTTCAATAATTATTTCATTTTCACTTTTAAAAAAGATTTACATGTTCTTTTTACACATCCCCATCGTTCGATATCATTTTTTAGACATTTATGAAATGAAAATTTAAAACCATCAATAACATTAATATGCTTAGCTTTTTCATTGAACATAATATTACAAGACTTGTCCTTTATGTATGAAATGTGAACACATACTAGTGTGGTATATCAGTATAGTTCAACGCATTTTATTACTATGATTAGATATTACTATTATTATACATTATCAGTGCATTTAAATTTTCAACGGAAAGTACGTAATCCATATTATATTCGTTCATTATATTATTCGAACACATCATTTTACATACCCGGACCCAATTCAGAAAAAAAATTTTATTCACACGAACCCAATTCGTACAAAATTTAAAACTAATATTATTTTCAGACCCAACTCGGATGCAGCCTAATAATAACCATCAGAACATCCATACAGTCATTATTAAGACGTCAAAATAATCGATAAAAATATTATTAGTACATACAATGTAGGAGTTTTGTCGAAATCTTCAATCTAAAGTCATTACACCCGATATAATGTTATAAACGGTATCATTTTAAAAGGTATTTACTGTGGGTAAATAAAAATTAAAATGTTAAAGACAATTTGGATTAATTCCTTATTTTTATATACATTTAGACCAATAAGCCGAAGTGATTTAAACAATTATTTTACTGCTTACATATATTATTTAACTTCAAAACCTTTTCATTTGTCTTCTTTTTTTTTATACATATGACACTTCAATGGTAGTTTATTTTAAGACAAAAAGGTAAACTCATCCATGTATTTGAAATAAATTAGGTAACTAAGTAAAAAAATAAACGGAAATATTCGCATGTTGGGTGTGTCACTATTGTAGGTGATAAGTTGAGAAGGTAGGGTATAGAGAGGAATTTAATTTATTTCTGTAAGAAACAATAAAGCATTACTGACAAAAAAATAATTTTGAACGAAGTTTGGTTACCTATACATGTTTTTAAATGCAATAATTTTTACGATTTTAACCAAAATTTAAACACAAACCTCTAATTATTAGTTACACCATTTATCACTAAGTTTAATTACATTTCTGTTTGGTATTTTATCCATATAGTAACTATCACATAAAACGTATGTATGTTTACGTATGTAAACAATTCAAATATAAAATGCCTAAATAACAAGAAAATCTCTAAAATTTTACTACATTTTAGAAAACGCAAATGTAAGTTTTCTGTCAAAATTTCAAGTTTCTATGAATATTTTTAACTGAAGTAACATGAAAACAAAATTGATAATAATGAAACCAATATTTTCGTAAACTTTTCCGCTCTTTCTAAGTTTTTTTTCAATTTTGCTCAGTTATTAAGAAAACTACTCGAAAAATCATAAAACGACTTATTACTCACCAACTAATTCCAAATACAACAAAAAAGATCTCTTGTCATTTTAGGATTGAAGCAAGTTTTCTGTTAGGAAAATTATTTACAGACAGAAAAAAAAACATATAATAAAACCAATAGATCCCTCGCTCCGCTCCGAATCTTAAAACGAAGAAATGTTTCCATCAAAACATATAGACAAGAAATTAAATAATTCAAATATATTTCTAAAATTAAAATTGGGTGAGAAGTAGTGGGTGAGTTATACTCCAACCCATTGATCTAAAACGTTATATTCGTCGGTATAAACGGTCGTACCACTTCCCCTCAAATGGGTATCTGACAGTAGACTCGTGGAAAAGGTTTATAATTGAAATGACCGCTTTAAAAAGCAAAACAAATTTTCAAATTTTACAAAGTTATAGAAAAAATATTACTATAATATATAATCTACCATATATATATACATTCAAAAAGTTTAAACACGTGTTATAGAACCGCGTCGTCAATATTATTTTCATTGTATATATTATATACAGGTGGAAGATTATACAAGAACGAAAGTGAGTTGAAAATATGACGTACCTATAAATAATATAATAATAATAATAATAATATGATATAACGCGCTTTCGTGCGTAACTAGAAATTATATATTACACATATTGAAAACTGACGCTATATACTTTTCATATCCGCCACCACCATCACCGCCGTCTTATAATGTATACGCCCTCCCCTAGTGTTTGCACGCACACACTGCACACGGTTTAGAATTACGTGTAAACTCTCGATTTCCTATATTATATACAGTGGATGTGTATGTGTGTATCCTTGTAGGTACCTACACATTTCGCTCTTCTTCATCGGTTTCAAAGGGCTTTTCACGGGGTCGGTCTGTTGAGCGCGTCGGCTTCTACCGATTGAAAAGGAAAACTGAATAGAGCGAGTACAGAGCTACTCGGTGGCACGTGATCTTCGAGTGCGACACTCCGTCACTCATCGCTTATATTCCTACACTACACCTGTGACGCGACTATAATTATATAGACTATCTGGAGCCCGGTGTCACTTTCAATAATGAAGGGGCCCGCATAGGGTTTTTTACTTTTTTAGAAAAAAATTAGAGAGGGTGTTGCAAAATATTAACTATCATATTTGGTCTTTGTATTGTAATACAGTTGTAATATCAAATCTCCCTTAAGTTTGCGAATAAGGGGGCTTTAATTTAAATTTTGTTTTGTTTTTTTAATTTTAAGCCTATCCTTGTAAACGATACATTTATTTTAGATCAGGTCACGTAATGACTAAACAATTATATAAACATTGTACTCAGAACGCTATAATTTACAGAATAATAGTTGGATAACACTTGATTAACGCGAATCGCAGATAAAAGATAATTTTATAGAAACTCGTAATTGTTTACCTATTGTGCTCTCGATAATTCCATTAATTTATTACTAGGTATACAATTTAAATATATGCTATACAATGTAATCCGTATTTCGTGAAAATGTTTTCATACACTTAGAGGTATAAAAATATTCTGAATTTTATACTTGTGAAACTTTTAGAAATGAAAGCTTGGTAAATTTAAAGAGTAAACAGACATTTTCGTTAATTTTTCCAAAGAATTTTTAACTGGAAAATTTTTTTACACAGTTTTGAAATCGAGTGACCCCTTTATTTCAATTATTTTTACAAACTTAATAACATTTATTTAGGCACTGTTAAGTTTATACATACTGTATTAGATGAATTTCATGAAAATTGGTTGGCGTCCGTCAATTTTAACCATCCCACTTTATAATATTATATTAACATCATATTATATTATAATATTGTATCATTAATTTTTTATATTTATTGATCTTAAAAAAACCATTCTCCATACTCAGGCTCCTGGCATGTAATAAAAAGGTTCGAAAACACTTCATTAAAATATCTAAGTTCATTTTTATATAACTTTTTGGGAAGGCCGATCAAAACTAATTTCTCTATATCATCATCGCATACTCAGTTATTATATTTTAACCGTGTGGCGAAATGAATTTGATCATGTAGAACAGTGGATCGTTCAGTTTTCATTTTGTACATTTCCTAAACACTTACATATCATAATTTCTCATGTATAGGAATTGTATAGGAAATGTATAGGAATTTACAGATTTGGTTTTTTTAAAATACCTAGGATCGTGGATCATCACGACGTATATAAAGAAGTTCTCCAATCTCTCGGGACAAAATATCATTATCATAAACAATATATACGGCATCTTAATCGCGAAGCGTCGGCAACAGAATTTATCCGTGAGACGAGCGGGCGGACGTGCAGAAAGTATCTTATCACGGTGTTTATTTACCGAATCCAGTGATGGCGATGTCGCGAAAGTCACACGAATACGATATAAAACGATAAACTCACTCAAAGTGATCACGTAAAATAAACTCAAAAAGGGCTTGAAAGGCTTAAGTATACAGACATGATGTATACAAATATAGGACGACCCGCAATTCAATACATGATGAATTTTTTTTGTTAACACCGCATAGTGATAGGTTTTTTTTTCGCCGGAAATCTCGTAAAACGATGTATAAAATCTTGCATAATATAACACGACTATCACTATTATATAGTCACCGCCGTAACGAATCTTATTTAAAATACACCGAGAATCGGGTGGTCGCAATGAGAAGAGGTAGGGGATGATCACAGGTCGACTTACCGGTCCTCCGGGATAAGATATCTACAATATTATTTTAACGAATAACTACAATATTATACCTCAAAGCGATATTTTCGAACCAATTCGTTATTTCCGTTGTTTTTGTGAACGACATTTTTTTTTTTTTTAATAATAAAATGCACGTAATCTTACTGTACATGTATTTTTTAGACACCCTGGAGACAATCCGTTTTACAGCAACATCGACAGCATGCCGGATATTCGACCCAGGAGAAAATCCATCCCTCTCGTCTCGGAACTGGTAAGCAAAACATTTGATATCAATATTATACACAATCTACAGAATTCATCTTTTGTCCCCTATCCTGTTAAAACATTTTGTTGGCAACATTGAAATCCCAAAAATTTGGATATTTTTTTTATTATTATTTTTTTTTTTTTTTTTTATATATATATACATATATATATATATATAAATCGAATGTAATTTTATACTTCAAAGTTTTTGCCAAGTAAAATAATGATAATAATTATTATATAGATAATATTATTCAACCGAGAAACGAGTGTGCCCGGTAATTTTGTGGGAGTGAATATTTTTGTACAAATTTTCGCTTCTAAGTGTATACCCTGTTATTTTTACATTATAATTTCTTCACGTGAAATGGTTTTTCTCATCCCGATTTTTTATGTTGTTTTTTTTATGTGTACCTATGAATGTATTTTTTTTTTTTTTTTTTTGCTGCTATTCCATGTGTTCTCATCGCGTTTCCCGTGTAAAATATTATGTTCTTTTAGACTTCCTTTATAGATTTTTTTTTTTATACAATTTCTTCATTTCAAACGCTATCATCATTATTATTATTATTTATACATTATATTTTATACCTTTTTATTTGTTCCAAATTATAACACGTACGTGCGTATAATATAAAATGTGTACGATGTATAAAATGTGTAGAGTCGTGAATTTAATTAAACTGTAATAAATATATTTAAAACTTTTTTTTGAAAAAACATCACTAAAATTCAGTCAAATTTAACATTTTAAACAGAAAGATGGTAATATTCTTTTTAATGTTCATTTCGTACTAATAGTTTACAAACAAATATGTAGTAAGTATTAATAAAACAAAACTGATTTCCAAATAACAATGGTTCTGTAGAAAAAAAGTTATAAATACCATCATTAAACTAATTAAAAAGACATGATAAAAATGATCTAATAAGGGGAGACGGGGATAATCTAAAAATCGAAAAAGCAAAAGAAAAGTTCAAAGTTGATGGATACAATATTATAGTAATTATAATCGGTGGTTAAAGTGATGAGAAGGGCGGAAGAAACGTATAAGTTGCGGCATAAATTACTATATTCACAAGGATCCCATGAACTTGTAACTTGACATATCCCCATAATAAAATTTCAAAAGAATCTGATCACATGACCTAGGAGGTCAAGTATGTTCACTGCGAATTGAAACTAAACGACAATGAAATTTCTCATCCAGCAAAGTCATTGTCTCTCGTGGGCTGTGTGTCAACAATAGAGCAATGTTTTCCAAATTTAACCGCTAAATTTGTTGTTTAAAGAGGTGGGTGCTTCTTAACGTTTCAAGATCGTTCGGAGTCGCGGACCACTTCTACAACACATTCCGCGTATTTTTAATGTGTTTTTATCACCAATACACGTGCTCAGTACTGAGCCTCTCCATAGCAACAAATTCAAATAACAAATAAAATATTATCTAATCGAAAGTATGATAAATACGAAAACTAATAAAACAATAATTCCAACCTTCAAATAAAATATTCCAGTCTACATCAAAAAGATAGTAACTATTAATATTATAGTTATAGTTATAGTATTATTGACTATACATAATCAGACTTTATTGTACATTATATTTACTAAGCAGACATAGGTGTAGGATATTTTTTTTTTTAATTTTTGGAGGAGGGCTTTGCAGTTTTATTTAAATTCTATTAGCATATAATTTAAATAAACAATTGTGTGTGGAAAAAAACATTTTGGAAATCTAGTTTTCATCATGATACCATCATGGGTTTCCTGAAAATTTAGTTGGGTTAAATTAGATTTCGGGAACGACCCACAATTTTTGGTAAATATAGTTTTCCCTTAAAATTGTTCCCAATTGTATATAACTCTTTACTAACCCTACAATAAACCAAAAAAAAAAAAATTGACTACAAAATCACAGCTCTACACAATAATATTGTATGCTTACTTTATATTATATATTTTTATGCACGTGCGTATTACTATCCGTACATTTACTAAGTTAAAATATATATATATAGGTACTATAAATTATAAGAGACCAATTCAAAAACAGCGTAGGAACCATCATTTATTTTTATTTTTATTTTTTTTTTTTTAAACATAAACATGTAAACTAACTAATTTGTGTTATATTGTCTGTTGTTTGTGATCTTCACGCATCGATCCAGGTTCTCAAGGTATAGCGTTCTTTTTTTTTTTTATTTTTTATCATTTATTTATTAGAGAAAAATATAGAGCACGCTATTTAGATCTGGAGACATGGTTTTTCGTCAATAAAAACACACATTATTTTCGCTATATAATACGACACACGACTAATACACACACTTCCACATACATACACACATACATAAATACATACACATAATACACATAATACACAAACACACACACACATTGCTTTTAGCACCAAATCATTTTATTATTATATATTACAACACTAAAATTAAAATTTCTATTTTCTAGAAATTCCAAATATTAAAATTTTTATTATTTTAGAGGTAGTGACTAAAAAAAATTAGCTTAAAAATAGTTCCTATATTTTATTTTATTTATTTACTTTTTTTTTTGTACCATATATTATTATACCTTTGCTTAGTTTTTGTTTTCTATTAGCTTTGTTTGTTTATATATATTTTATTTTTTCCGTTTATATATATAATAATATCTCAAATATTTTATTTATATACTTGTTTTATTTAATAATTTTTATTTGTACAGTTTTCGGCATTTTCACTTTGCGAAATGATTTTTAAAAAAAAATTAATGCTTTCTTTAGAAAACTATTTATTATAGACGATTTAATTTTTATTTTAACTGTTCGACGTGTACCTATAAAAATTATGTCAAAATATAACTGAGAAATTTGAAGTATATCGAAAGAAATACAGTTTACTCCAACCTTTTTTAGAATCGGGTACAGTTCATTTCAAAAAAATGTATAAATATACATTTTGAGTAAAAAATCGTATGATAACTATACATTTTTAGCGGTCTTTTCATTGATCAATTATTTTGTTATGAATTGTACAATAATGATATTATACCCGTATTTACTGTTTCAGTTCAATTAACAGGCAACTTAGCAAAATTGCATAACTTAGAACTTAAATCATAGCGTTTTGGTGAAAATTAAACGGGTAACAAAAATTAATAAGGTGATATTTTAGAGGACACGACGATATTACTTATTTTTCTAAAATATTGTCAAACAAAATAGTTACAGTTCTATATAGTCTGTGTTTTTTTTTTTAATAGCTGTAGCTTTTTTTGTTTGATATTACTTTAGATAAAACCAATTTATCATACTCTTCTAGATAAATTGTGTGCACTATGCTTACGAATACCAAATAAAAAAATTCAAAGAAAATAATATTTTCTAAAACTATGCATAGATTTTTTTTTCTAATAAGTTGTAAAAAGTTATAGTTATTTTTGATTTTTTTTTAGTATGTATATATCTGTAACTTTTTTATATGACAATTTCCTATATAAAAAGCTACGTACAGCCCTCAAAAATATTTTCCTATTTAAATTTTATTATTTGTTATACATGTTAAGCTAAATGCCATAATTTTCATTTTTAGTTACGTTAATTTTTAACGTACGTTTGTAAGTACCTATTATTTTACTCGCTAATTTTGAACTGAAACAGTATGAATGCGGTTATCACGTCTTCTTGAAGTAAATGCTTATGTTCATAACAATAATTCAAAACTATACATATCGTATAGTTAATTACGTAATCCCTATTTTATTTTTTATTTTTGTAATTTATTACTTCTTTATGCTATACAATACAAATACTCATAGTATGTCAAAATTTACCGGACTTTAACTCGGTTTATAGTTTTTTCGTTAACCTCTAAAATAACACTTAAACATTTATTAAAGCCGTTGACCTTGCGGATAACACTGCGAGTGCCCCTATATTACATTACTACCGTAACTATTTTTCATTTTTTATAATAACTAACAATTGCATGCGTACCTATGATTATCACATTACATTACTTTACATTTTTGTACGCGTTTTGATGGAATTAAAATAGAAATTAAATCGTATCTAAATAGAATTAGATGTAATGTTTTAACTAATTTTTTTACAATAAATATAATATTAGTTAAAATTGCTGGTAGACGTTTTAAAAATTAGAGGGTTTTATCGTTAATTTATAATAATTTATTAATACTTTATAAATATATATGTATACAATTATACATAGTTTACTACGTCAATATTGGTCGTATTTAATTATCATACTAATCGTATACTTTTAGTCGTATTGTTAACTGGTCACCAGGGTGATATTGACATTTTTTCTTTTTTGTAGACTGTGCTAGTTTAATAAAGATATGTATACTAGAATAGAAAATATTTCAATAGGGAAATTGTATAATCTATACCTAGAATTAAATTTTAATTTCTGTCTTTTCTGCCGTTGGCAAATTTGTACATCACTGTTTCATAATATAAATAACAACACACTGCAGAATTTATGTTTTAAAGTTTATGTTTATATATTATGTAACAAAATATTTTTAAATAAATTACTAAAACTTCGGGGAAGCTGACTCCTCATCACTTTCCCCTCATAAATAGACCCCTTCACTAGTTGGACTAAAAAAAAAAATTTTATATTCCATAATATATTGTTTATGTTTATATAAATAATTCCGACTCGTTAAAAACTTATTAGAAGGCTTTTTGAGGAGTATTGAAATGTGTGGTAATGATTTAAAACTGATTCTCAAACTACTTCAATATTACACTTTAATAGGAGTCTTAATTAAAATTCTAATTGGATTCACGAATAGTATATAATAGAAGTCAAAATTAAGAATCTAATATAACTCTAATAGGAGTACTATAATACTCTAGATAAAATCCTGAGTAGAAATCTACAAAAGTTCTCTAGTGGTATTTACCACGTAGTCCTAATGCTATTAGAGGTTCTACATCATTTATTTCATTTTTATTTTTCAAATTGAATTATTTTATATGGTACGAATTCACCTGGTGACCGATTTATTTGATGAAAAATATTTACCAAAAGGCCGATTTCAAACGACCATAATTTCATACGACCAATCGACAGTATACCTTCCATTATTTTTTTTTTTTTTACAAACTAACCCAGTAAAATAAATTTTAGGTGACTGTAAACTTAACACAATACAAACAGTACTGAAAAAAAAATTGTTAGAATTACGAGATAGGCATGTGCAGTCGACGAGTATAGGTGATAAAAAAAAAACCCGAGAAAGAATTTATAAAAATACACTTATATTATAATAAACTGAAATGTTAGAAATAGAAAAAGAAAAAGAAGAAGATTTTATAGTGATTTTAAGAATTTTAATTTTTAAAGTCAAACTGAATTTCAAAAGTAAAAGTAAAATAATTTGTAAATTCTGTGATTGATGGCTGAAATTGATAACGGTTAAAGTAAATTCTACAAAAATTATCGTCAATACATAGACTATTAGTACTTAGTACCTACTTAGCTAAAAGCAAATTGAAATAAATTCTGTATGTAATTTATTTTTATAATAATCTTAAACAAAAAGGGTTCGATTGTTCTTCATTTTAACTTCGATTGTCAAATATCGAAGCGCTATTCGTAATTTCAATATTACAGGAAAAAATATTTCTGCACATGTTTATCTAACGTTATTTATATAATATATAGTTAGGATTAATTACTTTGGGCAAGATTATATTATAATAATATAGAAACTAGATCGTGTGTAGTAGAATAATGCGCTTATATATGTATAAATATTATATTTAATGTTTCATGACCTCGTTCATAAACATTTTAAATTAATCAAGAATTTACTCGAGGAAATGTATTTTCTAAAAAATCTGAGTATTTTAATTATATTCGTTGTACCTACGCACAGTAACATATTTTACATTCACAAAAAAAATAACCTAAATAGAATTATTATTATTATAAGATCTTTAAATTATTTAAATAACAGTTCCTTGCTTATTGTTATCTCGGAAAGACTTTTCATTACCTCGGGCTAACTCTTGAGTTTTATACATAAATATATATACTTTTATCTGTAGGAATAAGAATGTTTTGAGAACTACTTTTAACCCGGAACATTGCAAGATGTAAAACTTCGGTATATAATATTTTCGCAAAAGAATTTCGATCCCAAAATATTAAAATTAATATTATGTAATAAAAAATATTTCTTTGATTGAGATGGAAATTGTATTTAAGTAATATATATATACACTGTATTAACGAACAGAGGTTTTATCGAAGGAAACTATTCGTTAATGCAATGTACATATAGTATTATAATATACATTTAAAACATTAGTGAATTGGGTGTAATAGTAGGGGCCAGTATTAATCTTAAACCGATGTACTATTGCAAGTATGAAAAACAAATCGCCATCTTTACTAAAAGTTTCATTTTATGTATATATAAATATATATACCAACTACATCATTATTTTTGCTTTATGACTATAACATCAACACTGCACCGAGGGGGGGAGGTGAGATACGCATACATACATACATACATACATACATATACGTAGAATAGGGTGAACAAAAAAAGTGTTGAAAAGTTGCTCGTCGTAACATTTATCTCTATTCTCCGTTAAATAATACATTGTACGTAAATAATGTATTATATAATATTATAATATAATATGTGTTCTTATATAAACTACTTTGCAGATTATTAAGCATTATCAATAATACAACATTCTTATTCCGCATGCGATGATCAAGTATATAATAACATTAGGTTACACGCATTAGCTTTGGTTCCAGGAAAAAAGGGCTAAATTCAATTGTGTATAGTTGTCAATACAAGCTAATTAAATTTTAAAATAATTTCCAAATTGCATAATGGCAGAACTGCTAAATCACTAAATGGCCTAATCTAAACGATCGTTCTAAATGACTTAAATCATATAATTTATATACTTAATGACTTACATCTCAACGATATTTAACACGATATTTATTAACACGATATTTTAATTTTCAATGTATCATGTATTAAAATATACATGCACTTATGTCACTTAGACCGAAAAATAAAGGTAAAAAATTACGCAAGACAAAATTGTATAAAAAAAATGCTAAACATTGACTTAAGCCTTTCTTCACTGGGATCAAAGTTATATATTAAAGTAAAAAGTGTAAAAGTGTACGATAATTCGGTGAGTTATAAAGTCGGTTTTTTTGCTAATATATAATATAACAGCATATCATATACGGGCGTATATATAAATATTATTAAACGAGAGTACACATTGACAACAATTTGCATTTTATTAAAAAAAAAAAATTGCTTATAAATATTATTACGCTTATACTTATATTATATACGGTCGAATAGCTTTATCGCTCACCCCGTCTCGTTTTTTTTTTGTTTTTCAGTTTTTTTTTTTTTTTTTTTTTTTTTTTCTATGATATTAATTTATTTTTGGAATTTGTTGTGGATGTATTTTTATAGACAATGGCCGCTACGAAAAGAAACGCAGGTCTGGCGTCAGGAGTACCTCGACCGACACTCAACGACGAAGAGTTGGTTAGTAAAATTATTATCATTATTCGCGTATATAGTTTACGTAATGTATTTTTTGTTATCAAAACAAAATTCTTTTGGCGCATGGTCTCAAATACAGGTCCGACAACTCACCTATATAGTACAATATAAAATCCTTGTTCTCTTAATGGTTATGTAAAATTGTGAAAACACGATTGCTATCGTAATTCTATGGTATAGAATGGAAAACTTTATAAGTACTTTGACTTAAACTTGCATCCTTTGTAACTAAAAACAAAAAACTACAATACAAACAGAATGAGTTTTCTGTTTGATCATAGGTATAATTCGATGAAAACCGTTATAATATTATTATGGAAACATATTTCAAAAATTCTACTAGATAACACTACAAATCATTTCACTAAATCTGCATGACCGTTAAGTGAACACATATCAGAACCAAGCTGCTCGGACCTGAATGTGTGACTATGGTTTAGTCAATAAGAAAATACCGATCACGTTTGACAAATATGTATGGTATATACCTACCTACCTGCATTGCGTCGTTTTTCAAATATTTGGACAAATATTATATTTAAAAGCAGTACTGAGACTTAATAAATATCAATAGATAAATTCATCTGGTTAATGTTTTTTTTTATCTTATTTAATTCAAGTTTAATTGCAGATTTTTATATCTATCTACAGGTTATCTAAAATTAAAATAAAATAATTATCTTTTTGATACCTAATTATCTAAATAAATATACAATACATCTAAAAAAATTGCCTTATCTGTGATAATAAAAATTGTTAAATAACTAAAAGTTTTACCGTTAGTTAAAAAATCTAAGCTAGTAAATAATTACATAATTTAAATTTGCAGAATTATTTAACTGTTTAAACCGTCCATAAAATTATCTCAACAATTAAAAATTAAAAACTGATCTTTTTGTCATCTAGATAAATTCCATTTACCTACTATCTTGTATGAGGTACTTTAATTATTTACTATCTTAATCTTATATCCTAAATCCTACATGATTTTAGAGTAATTATCCTTTCAGTGGCGTGACGTGATGTAGTCAGTGGTGTAAGCAATCACAAAAAAATATAAATCTTCCTATACATCCATCTATTTTTACTACCTCTAGAGAGCCGTTTACGATTTATTTAATACAAATACTATAAAAAATGATTTAAATAATTAATCATAGCTCCTAAATTATCAAGTTATAAGTAATAATAATATTTTAAACTATTTGAAGCCAATGAGTGAAGATGACTGATGAGAGTTTTAGTATGACAGTGTCGTATAAAGTCGTACCAACGCTGATAGTATAATAAATAGTATCATGTTATGGATATCACGATGATTGGTCGTATAACACATTTGAAGGCTGCTTAAATTTCATCTCCTTATAGGTACTATTCCGAAATTCCAAAGTATAATATATAATTTTATACTATTAGAACTTGACCATGGTTTATTTAAAAATATACCTTACGAGTATAACATTTTATAAGTAAAAGTGTAAGCGTTGCTTACACTGTTTATATGCACGCCACGCCACTGTATCCTTTATATCTTCATATCTAGATGAATTTCACTTATCTGCTGCGTCTCGAAACTGCACTTACACTCGTAAGTTGTTCGTATCATATAAAGACACGCATAAATATTGCCCAACGTTAAAAAAATGCGTAGATATCATAAGGAAATAAACTAATACGTCAAAAATATAATCTGAGTATAACTCCGTAATACCTATTATTATGATAATACTAATATAGGAAACCATATTTTTTAAAATTGTATTCAACATGAACAATAAACCATGCGGTTCTATTATTTTACGACGTTTAGAAATTGCGCAATTTTTAAATACGAAAATCTATTAAACAATAACTTGAATATAGAAATATTCAACCAAATTTTGAATAATAGTGATAAATAAAATAATATACAAATCGAAACAAATAAAACAACGAAAACTATACAACGCTATTCTATTTTTACACTTCCACAAATGCATTAGTTTCATTTAATTTTGATAATTTTATAAAATGGATATGTGCACTACGCGTTTGTATTTATTATTATTATTATTTTTTTTTTTTAATTATAACGAAAACTCATTAAAATATTTTTATCATAACGATTCAACGGTATACACAGTTTATATTTATTCAAATTCATTCGTATACTCCACATATAGTTTATAATAGAACCCCGCGTATGTGTATAAAATAAATAAATATATAAATATACATTATACAATATACATATACGCATATTTTATGCAGTGGAAAAGTAATATTGTAATATATTATACAAATTTGTTTGTATTTCATAAAAAAAAAAACATATTTCGTATAGGTATAAGTTTGAATTATTTTTCGAATTGTGTGAAAATACACAGTTTCTGATCGATTTTGAATGTCTTTGATTAAATAAAATAAATCAATAATATCCACAAATATAAAAGTTATTTTGATTTAACTCCGTCGTATGTTTGCGTAAAAATTTTAATTACGTCTTCAAAATTTAACAAAAATATAATATATCTATAGGTGTCGTGATAGAACATCGTGACATAATATAATATATAATATATAACGTGAAGTACCGGGTATAAAAACAAGACTTGCGAAAAACATCATAATAATAATATTTCAATGGACGAGTTTTTATTTATTTATTTTTTGTCTCTTCGTCGCTCGGAAATGACGAATTACGAATTTAATTTTTGTATTTTTTTTTTTTGTATTTTTTTTGTATTTTTTTTGTATTTTTTTATTCAATGCGGTCTCTATACAAACGATATTTCAGAAAATGCACGTGTATAAAAAAGCCCTACAAGCTTTAATCTATCCAATATCATCGACTACGCCGCATAATTTCGTCTCGTGGACTGCAACTTCACCAACGTATTGTTACGAATGTGAAGGACTGCTGTGGGGCATCGCCAGGCAAGGAGTACGGTGCACTGAATGCGGGGTCAAGTGTCACGAGAAGTGTAAAGAGCTCTTAAACGCCGACTGTTTGCAAAGTAAGAAGCAACTTTTTTTTTCCTCGCCTATGTAAAAAAGTGACTATTATTTAAATTAGTAAAATATTTCACGAGTATAATATTTATATGCATATATATATATATATATATATATATATATATATGAATGTATGCAATAATCAGCTACTAGTAATAGAAAGGATTCCGTATTGTCGACGTTAAAAAAAAAATTTTGATTATAATGTCTGATATCTATGTGGCGGGATTTAATTGAAAAAGAGTTTCAAATTGTTTGGTAATAATTAGATTATTAGCCAAGATAAAAAAAAGGAAGGCCAGTTGGGGTTTCATAAAAGCCCTTTGCCCTTTGGAAGTCAGTTTTTCTATTGGTTGGGATTTGAGTAATTCTAAATATATTGACTAATGATCATTGCTGTTAATGTTTAAATAGACTATTCTATTAATCCACCCAATGATGAAAATACAATTGATAGATCAATAGTAAAGAAACTGTTAAAAGTTTTGATGTATCTTGTGTAATTACCATCAGTGAGGAAGACCCCCATAAGGTGTTTCTGCTGTTCGCCAAGTAGTTTCCAAATTGTTTGATAAGGTTTTCAGGGTCTAAAAGTTGAGGATTGTACTTTCCGGGACATATAAATTGCAAATGCTGATTTTTTGATTATAAATTTTAGGTTGGTTTCTTGTAGGTAATAGGCTAAGGGTTGGAAGTCTGCTATAATAAGATGGTCGTCAAATAGTTTATTAAAGTAACTATTTATGTTCAAAAAGATTATTGATTCTGAGTAAAATTGATTGTTGGACAAAATGTTATAAGAAGGGGCATGGTTAGAAAATATAGTTTTTTTATTCACAATCATTTTGTTGGGGAATATTTTTATTTTATTTTTTTAATTATTATACTGTAATAGAGACATCAGCTAATAGTATATCAAATAATACTTTATATAGTTTCGTAAGTCTGTTTGTTATGCTAAGGTTTTTAATTTTCGAACATATTGTATCGATAATTTCAATTATTTCTATGGTTGATATATAAAATAGGATATACTGGGATCGTGTACGCTTAGTGTGTTTTCGGCAATATACTTGAGTTAGGTGTAGTTTATTTTAAAGTTGGGAATTTTAATCGAAAGATTTGACTAGTTCAAGCGTTTCGTCCAGTTCATTTATTATTTTTTAAATGGAATTATAGCAGATATTTGTAATTTATTTACAAGTAAACTATTATTTTTTTGTCGATTTAAGTATATACTGTACATTATAATATTATTATTATAATTATATATTACTATATATAATTCAGTTGGGTATTTTTTCGGGATAGTTATGGCTGGAATATGATAAAGCCGGTTTTTTTGCTTGATTGACTAGTTCTTGAGTGGGAAATAGATTTCTGGTTATCTGATAGGAAATTTGTTCAATGTTGGGTTCAGTATTATAATTTACATTGTCTTGTTTGGGTCTTATAGCATTATGTTATCTGTGTCATCTTATCGTGGATAAGAATTGAGTTATTGAAATAAACGAAAATTATTTTAATTTCCATTTCTATTTTACGGTAGTTTAGTATAGCCAGGCTATTTTCAGAGGTATTTTATTAGTGTCATAAGTAGGACTGTGAATTTAATGCACTAAGAAACCTTAAAAAATTTAATTAAATTTCAAAAAATGCAATAAAATATGCACTAAAATGCCAAAAATTGTAGTACAAAATGTAGTTAAATGGATTTTAATTTAATTTTTATATTTATATTGATATAAGTATATAATATGCATAACAATTTATTTATTTAATAAAAAAAATTATAAAAATGAAGATTGAATTTGAATTTTGACTGATTCGTGACTGATATATTGATATACTGATATGCCGCAAATAACTTATATAGCAATTGCCTTATTTTATGGAATCATTATCTTTATCTTACCCGCATACAGCTTGTGTAAAATATTATTTTATAAAATATAAATTTGATGTATATACAGCCTGTTTAAAACAAAAAAAGATATTTTCAAAGATGTTAATTGATGGAATTTGATAAAAAGTACCAGAAAATGAACTAAAAAAAGGAAAATATAACCAACAAAGACAAAAAAATTAAAAACGTCAAAAAATGCAAAATAAAATTTTCATAAATAGATTTATTGTTACATAATTCAAATTAATTACTTACAAAACTACGTTTCTCAATCCAGTGGTGTGGCGAAGTGCAGTGTTTTTTTGTTCAAACCTTATGACCCCCTTTGACTATATGTATACCAAAAATTATAATTTTTGCCGAATGCAATTATGCATCGGATTTCTACAAGATGTGTTGAGTAACGTAGTATAGATAATTATTAAATATATGTTATGTGTGTTACATGCACATAATAAAGTTACAAAGTTACATCTAAACACAAAATAAAAACATCCCCCTTAAAAAAAATTCCTGGCTACACCACTGTCTCAATCACCAAAAAAAATGTACTTTCCTACAAATTCATAGCCAAACAGCCAAATTCATAAGAGAGAAATACACAATAGTCGATTTGATTGAATTTTATTAAAATTAAATTCGGCATTTTATCATTGTCGATAATTATTAATTGCGTATACAGTTGACGTCGGAAGTTTCCTACATGGCCATACTCACCATTAGCCGACTTTCATGAATTTTGTCGGTAATAACTGATAATATATAAACTGAAAAAAAGGAATTGCTCAGTACTGTAATTATGTTGTTTTGTATAATTAGCTGAACGTTAGATATAATTAGATACGTTAGACAGGTTTGGACGGGTTGGTAAGGTAGCGAAACGCTATTCTCATGTTGATTGTTTTGTGACAATTTGTTCGAGGATATTTTAACTTACGAAATAAATGCAAAATCTGTTGTTGGAGATGCATGAGACAAATTTCATATTATTTAAAGAAGTTAGTTAGCTTAATAATTATATGTATTCGATTTGGAGATCAACTTCGATTGTGTTAAATGGTTGGTCTTTTTTAGTTGAATATGTATACTTTCGGTTGTTTCTGCGAAAGTTTTGTGCATATGAAATTGCAGTATGGAAGATGTAGTGGGAAAATTTAAATCGAGGTCGACTGTCACACACGTACTGACTTTTAGATTATTATTATATTATGACAGTGTTTTTAATGAATTGCTAAAATAATTACAAGCACTACAATCGTCAAATATTATATAATGTCAGTTTATATTTTTCAAATGTGTATATATAATTTTAATGCATTTTATATGTACTTATGTACTTAATAACAGTATATTAAATATAATATGATCCTGAAAACATGGTTATATTGTCTTTTTGTCGGTAATATTATAGTGTCTCTTACACATTTCATTTGAATCCGTTATTCTATACAATTTTTAGTACACGCGGCGTATATAATGATAAAAATAACGACGTTTGCCATTAAGCCGTGCACTTTTAGGACCCCCGAGAGGATTTACCTGCAGATCAAACTCCAAACGACTCCAGTAACTTCGCACGATTTTTATTTGGGGACTGCGTGCACGTCAAATGACTACAACCACACAGTGTGACACAGTGCAGAACAATAATACGAACCTGATATAAAAATCGACTATAAAAATCTTTCACGATATATAAATAATAAATACGCGTATAATTTTTAAAAGACTGATACTGATGATGGGTGTGTCATTATTTAAAGAGTTAAATCAAGAGGGAGATATAGAGTAACTTAATTCAAATTTATACACAACAATAAACTATTGCTAACTGAATACAATTCTGAACAAAGTTCGATTAAACATGTTTTGAAATGCCATAATTTTAAACATTTTCTTCAAAATTTGAAATTAAAACGCTTACAAAAAGACTAAGTACACTACATTAAGCTCAAATTGTTTTATGGTCAAAGTACAACTTATAATTAATCTCGTGTTAAATTATCAAACATGTCTATTTACCAAAAATTGTATCCACAAAAATCCAAATAAAAACAAAAAAAATCAAGAATGACAAATGCGTATTAATAGCTCAACAATTTCCGAAATATTTTGAAAATTTTATCACGTCTATATAAGGTTCATTTAAGTATTATGTAGAAATTTCGGGTCCGAAACCATGGGTATCCAAATTATTAAGAAAAACTATACTTCTTTAGTACCAATTAGATAACTTTTTCTTTCAGAAAAATTAAAAAGATAAAATCGAAAATAATAAATTTGATACTGCCGGATTTTGTCCGTTTTTAACTTTTTCAGGTAATTCCCAACTATTATAAAAATTATTTAGTTAATCGAAAATGTACGACCTCAATTCACCAAAAAAATTAAAATTTCTTTAAAAATAACTATGCTGCCGTTTTTTGATTGAAACGAGATTTCTAGTATAAAAGCTGTACACAGACATAAAAAAAATAAATAAATAAACATACATATTAAAATTAACATATGTATCGCTCCGCTCAGAAATTAAAAAAAAAAATCATCCATTATAGTAGAACCAATATAAATATTACTCACTTTGTTCAAAATCTAAAAAAAATGATCATTATCATTTATATTTTACACATTTTTTTTTAACACACAGGAGCGGCCGAAAAAAGTTCTAAACACGGCGCGGAAGACAAAGCCATATCAATTATACAGGCGATGAAAGACAGGATGTTACAACGGGAACGGGATCATCCAGAAATTTTCGAACTTATCAGGTTAGTTATTCATATTATTACTGATAAATTGAATTGTAATATTTTAATTTTTATAATATACAGAATATTTCACTGATATCTTTCACTTTTGAAACTTTTGTTCTGTTTGATATTTTTTAAATATTTTCCCCTCGTATGATATTTGCTAAAACGTCACATTATGATTCTTATATTTTATACTATATTTTAACTTAAGTTAAAAAATTTAAATGGTATACCTAAAACATTTCTTTTTACGAAATCCAAGACAATCATTCTTCAAATATATTTCAAAACAAAATTTTGATGTTAATAATACTTACTAATAATGAATCGAACATTTTCTTAAAATTTTTGAAATTTATAATCATTAAAATTATTTTTATTCCCACTACGAAACAATATCAATCAATTCGCCAATTTTCCCGTAAAAAATTATTTTGTTAATGATTTTTGTAAACTTCAAACAATTTTTAAAACTTAACGATTTATTATTATTTATAAGTAATTATTTGTAATACCGAAGGATTATTTCAAAATATATACTTAAAAATGGCTACCATGAAATAGAATAGAAAAATAATTGGAATAATAATGGTAGCGCATGACACAAGGGATTTATTATTACAAGAAAAAAAACTTTAAAATATCGAACAGAACGAAAGTTATTGCATTGGTCAAATCTCCGTGAAATCTGTATGCCGATAATCAAACCGTGTAAATCATTAAGAACAGCTGTAGGTAAATACTATAATACATATTGTCGACTTATCAATTATATTATACAAACGGCTAGTTTCAAATATTGTGTGCTCCGACGTCCGTTTAAAAACGGCTATCGAAACGTTATTCTCGCGTACAGAGCGAACAGAAATTGCTATTTAAACGTCGCCGTTGAACATTATGAGGACTGGTCCAGCGGGACGAAGCAACGTAAGAAATCCCAGTAGTCCGGCCTAAAATAATTACGTCCAAGGCCTGACTGAAAAACAGTACCTATTGAAAACAATATTTGAACAACCAGAGAACAACATATTATCTTGAACCTTGTATCACATTTTCGGGAATTTTTGAGCAGCCTTAAAATTGTATACAAACATAAAACCAAAAAAAATACTAAAAGAAGTAGAAAAATCCCATTAGCTCAACAATGCTATAACATTTTTGAAAATTATTTCACACTTAGAAAGGTTTGGATATTTAACTCTTATTTTTTTAAGTTGAATATTTTTCTGGCCCGTCAAAAAATAAACAAATAGTATCCCATATACACCTCTGTATGATACGGTCTATATACCGATAAAACCAGAGATAAAACCGTTCTAACTATAATCGTACATATTGTTTATACTTAATAAAATTATATGGTTTGAATACACACTACAATAGAAACTTGAGAAGAAAAAATATTTTTTCAATGTGTTCGGTTTGTTTAATAGTTACAAATAAACTATACGTTACAACAAACACTTGTACCGATCGACGCCTTGTTCAAAATAATTACAATATGTATACACATGTTTCTCAACCGATTTTAAATAATAACTCACATAGATATGGTTTATAATCGAATATGCATAAAACCGACAGTTACGTAACTATACGATTTCTGGGTAGAGGTATGTCCGATATGTTTGGATGGGAAAGACTTCTAATAAACATTTTTTGATTTTAAAAATTCTTTGAATCTGGTTAATTCTTCAAGCCTGATTTTGTTTTTATATTTTTTACTTTGTGGAACAATTAGATCAGATCCAGATAAAAATAAGATTTGAATTGAATATCATAAATAAAGATTTCCAATTGGAAATTGATATATCTAAACGAAATTTTTCCTTACATTTTCCTTACGTTATCGGCCTAATGGCTAATTTAATGTCGTAATACTTATTTTTTTCATTACCTATATATTGGGCTGCTATTCCCCCCTCTCCCCGAAATATAATCCACGGACATATGGCGTATATTTAAACAGACCATAAATCTTTTAAAATAAATGTATAATATCTTTGATTCCAGGGAAGGATTTCAGTCAATTTTCGGCATTTTTTTTTTAATATATATAATATATATAATTTTGTCTTATGTAATTTTTTCCCTTTATTTGTTTGATCTCAATTGCCTATATCTATGTAATATAATCTAACACATATATTATACTAAAAATTAAAATACCTTAAGTCATTGAGATGTACTTGTTATTTAACAAAAAAGGCATAAGTCATATTAAAATAATTATGTATCATTAAATACGCCATTTATAATGCCTGCAATTAAGTTAGGTGGCGTTTAACAATTAAGCCTTTTAGCAATGTACCTATATTATTCCATTAAGTAATTTAGTCATTTTTAAAATGTAATCGGCTTATATTAAAAACTATGCATAACTGACTTAACCCGTTCTTCCCCGGAACTAAACAATTATATCCACCGACTCGTTACGTCACGAAACACACACGTACTGAAACGATACGTCCACAATACCGCAGAAAAAGAATTTGAGGTTTGTAAAATAAGACGCATACAACAATTTATTAATAGTATATAAATGGTCCAAAATAATCCTTTTAAGACTAACGGAATATACCATCGAATTAATTTCAATTTGTTCGTCATCACGCACGGAGAGAGCTGATAGTTCGGCCGCGTATATTACGTACTAACCGAATTAACGAATCAACGACCCAACGTTTTGCATTGATTGTCGAGAAGTTGTTATTGATGTGAGGCTGGATAACCGAAATGACAGCTTTCACGAGTATTCAATTATCGGACAGAGAGTTCGTGTATTTAATTGCGACGACGACGGAATCGAAAATAAATCATTACATATAATCATAGGTCTGCACAAAAACGACACGCGTTTGAAATGATCAGTGTGCTCAATACATCTCTTCGCGAAAACTACTTACGAAAATAATATAATAATTTTGATTATATTATGAATTCTGCGGGTTACTATGGAATGCATCGTCATATACATGTACACGTAACGGCGTTCCGGAGGAATTTCTCAGCATTTAATTTAAAATGAAAGCAATTTTGGATGTATAAAAAAAAACCCCCAAAAATTCGTTGTTATGTATTTATTTTTAAATTATACGCAGATCCGTATTCGGCGTGGAAGAGAAAAGCCACCAGGGTCATATAAAAGCGGTGAAACAATCGGTTTTGGATGGCACTTGCAAGTGGTCAGCAAAAATTGCCATCACAGGTTTGTTAAAAAAAACCCATATAAAACGAGTTTGCCATAATATGAGCAGACGACTTCAAAGAGCTTTGTGTGGCTATATATATACCTTCATTGTGCTTGGTGTTGAATTTTTATGGAATTGGTGTTTTACCGTTTTGATATGTTTAACCCTCATGTGTATTTTTTAAGCACGAGATTTTAATGAAAATTCTTTCATTCGGTTTTGCGGTTTTATTTAACTATAGGTATATATATTTATATATACTATACTATTTTTGCATGAATTATTGTTTATACACTAAAAAAAATGTTTGAAATACGTTAAATTCTATGTATTGTATATTATACATTTTATCTTTTTTTTTTTTTTTTTTCGGATCCTATTCCTTTCCGTTCAATTTGTTTGTAAATATCTGTTTTTGTTGTTTTGGTTTTTGCGTATTTGAAGAACAATGTTTTCTNTTTTTCTTTTTTTTTTTTTTTTTTACTTGCTTACGTTTGTGATGCATATATATATTATAACAATGATGTTAAGAAAGAATTTTCATTCATTGAAATTTAAACCTTTCCTACTTGTTTTTTTTTTTTTTTTCGGATCCTATTCCTTTCCGTTCAATTTGTTTGTAAATATCTGTTTTTGTTGTTTTGGTTTTTGCGTATTTGAAGAACAATGTTTTCTGTGGAACCTGATATGCATATCGATTCCTTGGAGCAAGCAGAAGCTATCGTTCTCGAAGGCACTTCTAAATGGTCGTGCAAAATCGAAATAACAGGTCAGCTGTTAGGCTTACTATTAGGGAACACTCACTCGCTGCTTAGAAATCGGAGTCGAGCAAATATTTATACTATATATTATAAATTTGAAATCAAACTGAATATCGCATAACTCGTCGATATAATATAATATTATTAAAACTATTATAGTTAGCGGCAAAAGTAATAACTTAAACAAAATATTCCGATAACAAGAAAAAAAAACAAAAAACAAAAAATTAACGCTTATTATTGCATGCATTATTTTACGTAAACTATATAACATTATCGTTAGTGTGCACGTGCTGAGTAAATATATATGTATGTATATACTATTATATATATTATAAATAGCTTTAGAATGGCCCTACGCTTTTTAGATTGGTGTATAACTGCCGTTCATATGAGCTATCGGTTATAAACATTTTAATTTATATTCTAGTCAAATGCGCTCAAGGTCTTATAGCAAAAGATAAAAGCGGTACATCCGATCCGTACGTAACCGTTCAAGTAGGCAAAGTCAAAAAAAGAACGCGAACAATGCCTCAAGAGCTCAATCCCGTTTGGAATGAAAAATTTTATTTGTAAGTGTTTGAACGAAGGAAAAAGGAATTTTAAAAAAAAAAAAACATATTTAAAATTTATATATAGCGAATGTCACAATTCTTCGGATCGAATTAAAGTCAGGGTATGGGACGAAGACAACGACCTAAAGTCGAGACTCAGGCAAAAGTTGACCAGAGAATCGGACGATTTTTTAGGACAAACTATTATCGAGGTATATCTATGCGCATAAAATAATAATAATATTCACGTAAGTATAAATGACTAAGAGTTGAGTGCGTAGGTTCGGACGTTGTCGGGAGAAATGGACGTCTGGTACAATCTCGAAAAAAGAACTGATAAATCGGCGGTGTCCGGTGCTATTCGATTACATATCAACGTAGAAATCAAAGGGGAGGAAAAAGTCGCCCCTTACCATATCCAATACACGTGTCTGCACGAAAACCTGTTCCACTCGCTGTGCGAAAACAACGCCGGTATCGTTCACCTGCCGCAGTCTAAAGGAGAGGACGGATGGAAATTGTATTTCGAATCGCCTGCACAAGATATTGTCGACGAATTCGCCATGAGATACGGCATAGAATCTATTTATCAAGCAATGACGTAAGTGTACAATTCTGTGGCTTAGTACAAGAAGAGCCAATGTCAATTTCTTAAAAAAATTCTGTTAGAAATAAAAAAAAGGACAGAGATACTTCGCACTTGGGTGCAGTCACGTTTTAGGTGGAAAATTGAGAAATTAGTGTACATACGGAAATTTAATGTATATCTGTAAGCAACGATAAACCATTTCTAACGAAAAAACTGATTCTGAGCGGAGTTCAGTTGATAGTGCTGCTTTGTCAACAATATATGTATATTGTTATATTATGGTAAAATGATTACAACGATGTGAGATTCCATGACAACAATGATTGTTTAAAAAATATTTTAAAATAAAATAATAAAAACTTAATAATAACAAAAAATAAATTAAAACAGTTGACAATGACAACCATATTTTTAATCTTTCAATCTTTTTTAACCTAAATAACCACGTTTTCCTTAAAATTTCGAATATTAATGAGAATTTTAAAAAAATGACCTCTCTAAAGTACCACCCAGAGAAGATTTTCTTTCAAAAAAGATGCTATACTTGATACCAGAAAAGTGTTCACATAAAAAAAAAATAAAAAAAATAAAACATTATAAAACTAATACATTCTCGCTTCACTCAGAATCTAAAAGATTGTGTGTACAATTTATTTATTTTCTAAATAAAAATGTTTCAAGTTTTTGTAAAAATTGAAAATTACGCAAACATTTACATTTATTAAAATACACAGAGCCATATGGGGGATTAAAATTCCAAAGCCTATTCCCCAACAATCACAAAATGTGACATTGGCTCTTCTTGTATCAAGCCACAGAATTACATAAGTAAATATTAATTTATCGCGCGGAATAATTTTTAACGATCAAAATAAAACGGCATCGGCCGTCTCATATTCCAGACACTTCCATTGTCTGTCCACGAAATATTTATGTCCCGGCGTCCCGGCGGTAATGAGTACCCTGTTGGCGAACATCAACGCCTATTACGCGCACACGACGTCAAGTTCTGCAGTCAGCGCCAGTGACCGCTTTGCGGCGTCGAATTTCGGGGTAAATATTATAATATTCGTTAACGTTTTAAAGAAAATAATTTTTTTTTTTCTTTTCTTCCTTTTTTTTTAATGTAAAAATATGTTCTGCGTCGATTATTTTTACACAGAAAGAAAAATTCGTAAAGCTCCTAGATCAATTACATAACTCGCTCAGAATAGATTTATCTATGTACAGAAATAACTTCCCAGCGTCCAGTCAAGAAAAATTAATGGATCTTAAATCGACCGTAGACTTGCTGACCAGTATCACGTTTTTCAGAATGAAGGTACGTATTAATGTTTTGAATTTTTTTTCACTCCGCACGGAACTCATTACGCGTACAATAATATCTGTAATAATTTAGGTCCAAGAACTTTCAAGTCCGCCTAGAGCCAGTACCGTTGTCAAAGACTGCGTCAAGGCGTGTTTAAGATCGACTTATCAATTTCTATTCGCTAACTGTTACGATTTATACGGCAGAGAGTATCAGGTATTTATTTTTGAAAAAATATTGTTTGTATTAAATTATTAATATATATATACACGTATATTTCACTCATAATACAAAAGAAAAAACGTTTATTTTTCAAATCGTTCAAAAGTATCCCAGTTCCGATTGTGTATCTAGTAGACAGGTATTATATAAAATGGATATTTTGACTACGATCGCCCAACACAAAATATATACTTTCTTATATATATATATATACTAGTTTTGTTCATTTACAAACCGATATATTTCACGAAGTGGCAAGTTGACCTTTTTCACTATTCATCGGTTTAAGCGCTCGAATCACTGCACGAGAAAAATGTGGGTCCTTTAAAATACTGTGCCCGATAAATCCGATTACACTCCACGCGATCGTTCGTTCGACAACAGGTACTCTTTTAACACTTTGACTTTAAATATTTGCGGTAGTCTCCGGTGTTTGTGTATGTTTTTATGTACATAAGTACCTACACATATATACACAAGTATCAATCGCCACAACTGCGTTAGACTAAGAATCTCTTTAAAAAGAAGTTTTTTTTTAACACCTTTATATTAAAGTCATTTTATTTTCAATACACGAATACTTGAATATACTTTGGAATTAATAGTATGTAAATATATTTATATAAATATATTATATTATTAATACATTGATCAATTCATTAAATGTGCCATCAAAAATGTATTATTGAAATTTATTTGAAAACGATTTTTGAAATGCCCCCTACTTTTTTCCAAAAATATGACTTATATTTTGTTTTACACTTTTTTGGTTAAGCTAATGCTTAAATTTGTTCACGCAGTACCAAAAAATATGTGGAATTAATGTCCAGTGGTACTTTTTTTAACATAGTTGTCAAAATTTTTAGCAGTTCACCCCCCGTCAATTTTTCTTTTCGGTATTTTGATTTCTATTGATACCTTGGCAACAAGAGAAAAAACATGACAAATACTACTTCGCTCAGAATCGCTTTTCGTTTTCAATGGTTTAGCATTACATACAGTATAACCAAAAGCAAGTTAGTCTATATATCCTACCTTTTCTGACATTGATTGAAAAACCGAAACCGAAAAATGCAAAAGGTTCCAGTCCCTGGTGAGGAATCGATTGAATATAATAATGAACCTTAAAACATTTTTCAAGCACATTTTGTCACATTACCCTCCGCACGTCTATATACAAATCCATTTGAACATTTTTTAGAATAAATTGCTAAAATATTACATAAATATATTCGCACATTTCGAGAACCTACTTTGCTCGTATAGGCTTCTAAAATACCGCGGAAAAATTAACATAATAATATTATATTCTAGAATAAATGTCGCAAGGCTTTCAAAATTATGTCTATTACATGACATTGTAACTTATTATTATACATTTCAGCCCCAACAAAAAGAAAAATCTAACCTAACCTAACTTACCCACTTTATATGGTTGTATTATGTGAGTACTCACTCTCACTCATGTGTTACGTTGCGTCTCGTGTTTCGGCCATAGGTACCGAAAATTGTATGCATAATAATTATTATTATGCGAGTCAAATTTGTATATTTTAACAACACAAAGTATCTCTCGTTCAGTCTATTCGTGTTCATATAACGTGACCACGGACAAAACAAGACATTGTTGAACGAAATAATAATGTTAAGTTGGTAATGAAAAAAAAAAATCGAGAGATAACCTAGTTTAACGAAAAAAACATGTATATAAAATAAAAATATTTTTATTAAGAACGGCAAAAATTAGTAAAGGAGCCCGCATACTTCATAATATACAAGTAGTAAAATTATCGAAGAATACAAAACGGTAGTTATTGGACAAAGAGAGAAAAACCAGTTGAAAAATGAGAATAAATAATGTTGAATTATTTTAGAGCTCCACGCATAGAAAGATATGTGAAGATAAATGGTTTTTATTTTTTCAAATTTTAATCCATAGTGAATAATAAAAATAAATTCAACCGCGTTGCCGTTCTCAAATTTAAATTATAGAAAATAACTAAATCCATTAAACGTTAAAATAAAAACATTTCCCGGATATTAAATACATAAAAATATAATAATAAAAACGATGAAATGGATTTATTTTTATCCCGTTTACTATTTTTTATGTATAATTTATTTACCAAAAGACAAACCGTTTATATTTATGTAACTAAGATAAATTGAGTGAAATTGGACATTAGACATATCTTTTCTGGAATACACACCTAAATAATTAAAATTAAATGAAAAACAAAAACGTTGAGAAGATGGGATATATAAAGTAATTTACTTTTGATTATACTGTATGCAATGCTAAGCCATTGAAAACGAAAAACGATTGTGAATGGAGTAGTATTTGTCATGTTTTTTCCCCTTCTGCACACAACGATAAATCGTTGCTAACGAAAAACGATTCTGAGCAAAATTCAGCTAAACATGTTTTTAAATGCTGTAATACTATACATGTTCATCAAAATGAAAACTTTAAATACTTCAATAAAAAAATCACAACTACATATTTTCGATATTTGTATACTTTCACATGTACAACGTATGACAAAGCTTGTACGTCGTATCGAATTTTAGAACATTTTTGGAAAGTCAATAAGAAAATCATAATAATCAGAAACCGTAATCGCGTAAGTTTGCCCTGTTTTTCTCCACTATTAAGTAAACTTCAAGGAAAATAAAAACAAAAAACAATCCCCAATGCAGCTACTAGATCAAAAATACTACACGGAAGTTCCTAAAAAGTTTTTGATTAGAAGAAGATTTCTGGTAGGAAAGTTGTTAACAGATACAAAAAAAAGCAATTTATATCATTGTAAAAGCAATAAGTACTTTCCTCAAAACGCTTAAAACTAAAAAACTTGTAAAAGTGTTTAAGATTATTCATATACTGCTACTATAATAGCATAGTCTAAATTAAATGTTGAGAATAAGATTACAATTTATTGCCCTATAAAGTTTTAATAATACATTTAAAAACTGTTAATACAAAATTCTGTTGAATTAGATCATTTGTTTATTTAACGGTTAAAAAAAACACTCATGACATAAATACCAATAACCCACATACCTCCCTGCCAATTGTATTTTATAATAATTGTATTAATTGAACAGTATATAAATTAGCTCAAATCTAATAATCTAATACAATTAGAGAATATTATCATCAATATACATTTGGATATATCATGACAAAAAAATAAATAAAAATAGTATACACCTATGTCCTATATATTATTATTAAAACAATAGTATTATAAATATGTACAACTTTACTTTACTTTACAGAAATTAGTTTAAACAATGGTGAAATTAAATAGGTATCTAGAAGGTAGGTTATCTAAGTAATCTAGGTAACCACAGTACAACTGATTCATTTAGAATCGTTTACCTATGATGATATCTGTATATTATATATTTTCTATCATAACAGAGAATAAAACATCATAAATTGTAATCCAATGTTAACCATGTTATACACCAACTGCCTACAATTTAAAAATCTTGAATTTTAGTACAAAAATTAAAAATAAAATTACTAAATAAAGATAATACATTTGAGCGAAGAGAAACTTATCGGTGTGTTTCATAATTTTCAAGGGGGGCAAAAATAAATCATTTTCTAATTTGTTTTCTTAATATTTAATTTGTTATAATATAATATAATATAATTTGAACATAAGTTTATGGGTACTATTTACACATTATTACATTTTAAATAAATTTGATAAAATATTACTTAGCCCTAACCTAACATACATGATATTTAGTTTTTCTGTTTTTTTTTTTTTTTTTATATATTCAAATTGAACAATATAATTGTTTTACAAAATATTATTTAAGATTTATTTATGCAATTTCAACTAGTCAATCCATTGCATAACTCAGCAATAATTTTAATTTGAAAACAATACAAAAGTTCAATCTTAACCATCAGAGTTTATATTAGATATTTATATAAGAGTTAATTTTTGCACAACAGAATCACTAAAGGCGGTTTCATCTTAAACTTAATTAATAATCATCTTCTTACCTTGTGCTTGACGAAACTTGGACTTACTACAGTCTCACGCAGACGCCAAGTCTGAAACAAAACATATAACTTTATAAAACAACAAATCGACATGACATATTTTTGTTCGTATTTGGATTATGTACTTGAACCGTTTTTTTTCAAAATCATTATCCAATTTGATAGTTTTGGGAGAAAAATGTCTTTGGAGTGTGAAAAAAATATTTTTAAACAAATCGGATTTTTTACCAATATATCGATTAATTACAATATTAGCGCGTGGTTTTCGATTCGGATATCGGTAGAATACGAGGTAGCGTGTACCGAGATATCGGTCATAACTGGTATCGACCAGTCCCCGTGTCGTATGTAAATTTCACCGTACCGTTCGTTTTTTTTTTTTTTTCTTGTTAATTACCAACGACACGCCGACTGCTACTTTCTATCTGTATACGCACCGACCGTTGTCGACGAACGGGACGAACGGTAAACGCGACGAAATTAACGTTTACGGCGCATGTGGGCGAAGAGAAAATACGAACTTTGACGCGACCAACGACGGAAAACAACATTTGGACTGACTAATATTACAACGCACACCGCGGCTCGCGGATCCCGACGAAATGAGAATACGCGTTGGCGTGCGTAACGCTAACGTTACAGCCGCGGTCCGCGGCTCGCAACGCGGGGAGGGGAGGGGAGTTGCACCGGTTTCTATTGGACCGGACTAATAAGAACCGGGAATCATTGTCGTACAGCTTTATTCACCCGTCAACTATGACCGTAACCTGCGTAACCTGTGACAACGGCCAAGTTGACCCGTTGACGCCCGCGGTCGGCCACCCGTAGTACGTTTTCGGCCGTCCACCGCGGAGTTGCCGTTTCAACGCCCCGCCGTTGTACATTAATTATAACCTCACATTCATCCGTTTGTTGTTTTGTTTTTCGTGTACGTTTCCGCGCATTGCACGCGGATTCCCGAATACATTAGTTTACCCGTCGTCGTGGAGAGTGCCGGTATCGGACCTGCGCGGACGGTGTGTAACAACCAGAGACTTATAATATACCGCGCGTTACGATCGTTTTGTGCGTAACGCCTCGACGCCGACACACGTGCGAGAAAGTCACACTCTGACGTTACTTTTCCAAGGAGTTCGTAAGAAACGTATGCAATAATCTTTGAGATTATAAATATCTATATTACAAAATGAGGACAACCGAAATTGATAAAACGCAAAATAATTAAAATTTTGAATTTTATTATGCACTGATTATGGCGTTATCAGTAATCAATTGAATATCACCGTAGATAATTATAAAATTGCTTATAGCCTCCTTGAAAAAGTAACACCAGAATCTGTCTGTCTCGCACACGTGTCGGCTTCAATATATTTCACTAATGCGCGGTCTATGGTAACAACAATAATTAATGGTCCACCGTTTCCGCGAATTAACGCGATCACGACAGCCGCTAATGACAATTATAATTAACATTGTACATTTACGATAAAACCGATTATCCGATTCGCCGAATTTGCTATTTCCGTCTTCTTTCCGCCATCGCCATCGCGCACCGACGTAAACAAGTGATTGTCCGTCGCCGCGACACGATGACAATTCCGCGTCGCGCACCATGTTTGTAAACCAAAGTGACAAATTGTTGCGAATGGGTTGCAAAATAATGGCATCGGTCTGGTTTAAATCGAACAAAGTCGGGGGTACCAACTTCGCGGACGTAAACGACTGCGATTTGTTTCGATAGTGACTAATGAACGAACCGTGCGCACACGGAGGAAAACACGGTCGCCGGCCGCCGACCAGTCACAAAGGTTCGGTCGTGTGGTACACGCGGACGTTGGTTTACGCCGTTTCGCGTTCGCAAACCCCTCGGTTTAGGGAACGGCCGCTCGCGGAGCTAACGCAACGAAAACGCCCGGGAAACGCTGGCGCGTTGGCCGCGTTCGGATCGATCTACGTGACGCCGTACGTCGACCGTTTTCTTTTGGTCGAACGCGTACGGTCCGTTTACCGAGTCGTGTTATTACAGTTGAAATTAAAGCCACTATCGATCCAGTCGAAACCCAATAAGTTGTAAGCGCGAAATTCCCGCCGCGTTGTTTTCGCGTTTGCGACTGGAAGGAAGAAAATAGTAAACTCGGCGAACCGTGTAAATATAATCGATTTCACGGTAATTCGCGTACGTAAAATACGAACACCTCGACGGTCGCGGACGTACGAGTCAAAGGCGACGGACGAAAACGATTCTGAAACTATTATTTTCGAGTGGTTGTTAAACCGATAGGTATGTTTTCACTCTGATAACGATTATTGTAATGTTGTCGTATACTGTATCAAAACTTTGCTACTGAATTCCTATTGACATTTACGAGCTATTGGGGGTTTTTTTTTTTTTTCTGTTTTTCCATCGATTTGTCCGACAGGTGTTCACACGCGGTAACATTAAGTTATCGGAAAATTCCGTCGGAGCCCGCAGCCATTATCGGTATTCGGTACTCGGCTTGAATCTAACCCAATAGTCCCAATCTAATTTCAGATATTTGTACGTTGTACAGCAACATAACAGAAACGTTATACAATAAACAGACGCGATATTACAACATCGTTTCATTTTTGATATTTTATTGTTGTCGTTTCAATATTCCAATAAAAAAATCCCATAATTTCCAATTCCCTCTCCCCCCCCCCCTTCACCGATAGGATATATGCTTTTACGTCGTTTTACAGTGACTTTTAGGATAACAATAGTTTTTGTTCGGACTAATTTACGGGTTAATATTTTATCGTTAAACGATAACGCGTGCGTGTGTATTGATAATGTAGTAGACGTTAAACGACTGGTTCGATAAAGCGGCCGTATGCAGTACCGTGTTTGGCATACCCAGCAGTGTGATGTTCGACAGTGGAAAACGGACGATTTAGACACCGCGTTATTAGTGTTTCTAGAAGGATATGAAGAAAGCCCCCCCCTCCCCAGTGTTTTTATGAAAGTGTAAATTGGCCCGCAAACTACCAGAGTTTGGGCCACCCTGTTCTGAACCATATAACACACACAAAAAGCCCGTAGGTCCAGAAGACACGCATTAACATTTATGTAAAACTTCACGGCCGTACGTGAAAAAACGTTCGGAAACTGTTTGGGACAATCAACGCTGTGTATACACAACGTTTTAGTGACGTCGTCCACCGCTAAATGACGGCCGCTAGATAACGGCACCGCTGTCCTTGGAAAACCATAGCTTAAACGACTATAACGTTTTCTCGCGATAAATGAAGAGTTCCGATCGTCAACGCCAAATAATATCGGAAAAAATGATGAAAAAATTATAGTTTTTCATGTGCCGAGCTCGTAACGCCGAACAACAATATACAGTGTTCAGTTTCAAACCCTTGGGTGTTTTCATTTTCTTTATCAATTCGATTTTTCGGAAACAATCGACATTTGTAACACTTGAGAATGCCACCGCACAAGCATCGGACATGCATTTAGGTTTTATAACAGACCGAAACAATATTACAGTATTTTTGATACCGAGTGTAGCGAAGAAGCTAATAGTTTTTACTGTGATGTGTTTTTTTCACCCCTCGAAAACCCCTTTTCGGTAAATAAAAATGATCCGCGTTATTCACACCGTATAATACCGTAAAAAATTCGAATTTTCGCCCGTTTCAATAGAGACGGCATAGTATAGCAGTAGCAACTATAATAGCACTAATTGATTTGTCGACAGCAACAGCAGGCTGCTAATCAAATGTAAAAATAGCCACTGTTTTTATTTCCAAATATTTTCGTGATATAATATTGCTAAACTGTTACGAAAAGCTAAACTGTTTATGCCTTGTTCGTAACCCGTTCGTTTTCGGTATCTCCGCGAGAACACGCATGTTATCACGTTTATTACTGTAATTGTCTGATACGCACTATAGCTGTTAAATAATTGTTATTTTTGGTATCGCGAATCGTTTTTCGATCGCAACAATTTATTACATTGATTTATCCGATTGTCGAATTTTGATTTTTAAGACACCCTGCATTCGGTTTTGAAACGGTTTTCGTGGTAACACACTAATAATATAAACGGTCAGATGCCGGGTAGACCGCAATAGTTATACGGTGTTTGTTCGCGATATCGGCAGCTGCTGTCGTGAAATGTATTCGGGCTACGTATAAATTTTACTGTTTTTGAAACAAGAAGAAAATAAAAAAAAATACCTCTAATATCCGAATCGCGTATTTATTATACCGTTTACTTGTGTATACTGGAGTTATTATTATATTGTTGCGTAGAAAAAAAGTTTTCACGGCAAGGAAAACATTGCGGACCCGGCTCTCGTCCCACCGTCCGTATAATAAATATTAGGCGGTTCTTCAATAATATTTGTACCCGTATACGCATTGTGTAGTGTACAATATCGCGGTTGTTGTACGCAGCCCGTGGCCGCCGTGGAATCTGTGCACCCCGCAGCATAACGCACATAAACATACTCGTACAAACAAAACGTATAATACGACCGTGTATTATAATATTGTTATTCCTGTGCCGTACAAAAAATAAGGGAAACGAACATATTCTTTTAGGGCTCTCGAAAGCGGCGAGGATCGTATTGATTTCGCCGCGGCGCGTGCATTTTTTTTTTTTTTATTTATATTTATATTTATTAGATTCTGCGCGCGAGCGAGGAACGCGACCGGTTTTAGTATTTTAATAACGTGTATACTTATTAGACTCTGAGCGTGTTCCGGGATGTGTATTCGCGTGACGGGATACTATATGGACGTGTGCTCTTTGGTTTCTGTTTTTAAAACAACTATAAAAAAAGAAAAATAAACGACAATAGGGAGAAGGGGTTTGTAGCGTATATCTTATCTAGTCAGTGCGTTGTGAAAGCGTTTCAATTTTCCGAGTTGTTTTCATAATAATTGGGAAAGACCGGGATAAAACGTAGGGAAAACGAGAAAGTTTACGCGGCATTAACAGATTCATTAATTTTAATTTTTTTTATTATTATTGTTCGGTTAAAAATAATCGTAGAGCTGAAATTTGCACGGAATATATTTACCTTTTTTTCCTACATTTGAAATTTTCGATTTTTTGTTTTTTAGTAATTATTTGATTTCGTATAAATACAGTTATTTTGACCAAACAGAAATGTTTGAAAATTTGAACTCTAAAGCAATTTTTAGCTTCTTTATATTCAAAATTACGGCATTTCAAAATAAATTTAACCGAATTTCGTTTAGAATCTTTTTTTGTTAGCAATGGTTTATTGTTGCTTACAAATATAAATTAAATAACTTTTTGAGTATCCTACATGAGAGAAAATAATAATCAATCAAAATGTAATAAAATTATAGTTATTTTTGGTTTACCTGCCTATAAATGTTGATTTTAAGGGAAAGTCAAGTCCTAAAAAGTTATGTTATCTCTGACATGGGAATAGTGTAAACTCCTATCCAAGATAGTGTCAACTCATATACTAGATAATGAAATCTACTCAAACTCAAACCCTACTCAAACTTTTATTAAATTGAAGAAAGTTTGACAAAAAAAATGAAATAATATTAATTTTTGTAAGTCATTACAAAAACTACATAAATTGTATAAATTATTATTATTAATACATTATATCGAAAAATTAATTTTAAAAAGTAATTATTTTTATAGTATAAGGTTTTTTTGAGGGGAGGGGGAGGGAATTATTTGTATTATAATGTCAGTCTTATAAAATATAAATTATAAACACATATAACGGTCATAACTATTAATATAAAATAACATATTAGATATACTATGCATGACGTATGTACAATATAGTACATAATCGTAAATAAAAAGCTCTGCGTAGGAGATTTCGCTATTTTTTGGGCTACGTAGAAGATTACTTAATATTTTTAACTCAGGTAAAAAGGTTATTCGTGTATAGGAGTGTCGGACGTTTGATCCGATTTTCACCATAGCCGATTCCTGGGCCATACGGGCGTGTACTAGTTGCCCTCAAAAGTACCTTTTCTACACCGATTCCCCGCCCCTCCCCCAAACTACCTAGAATAGAATGCACCAGTTTCTCTCGACATATTATCATACATACAAGACCACGATACCACACCCGTCTTAAAATAAGGGAGGTAAATTCCTAAGAAAATACATACAGTTAAATAATAAATACAAATATTGCAATAATAATAACGAATGGCATATTACATTGTATTTTGTCAAAAAAAATTAAAATAACACGCGTATCGCGATAAAGTCTGATTGTTATTTATTTTTTTATTGTTTGTTTTGTTATTTAATTGTTATTGGTTATCACTTTTCGGTTATCGAGAATCATAACTCGCCATTATTTATCGTATACAATTTTCTCTGTTGTCTAAAATTACCCGTTTTGAGTAAAATTGTATAATATACGCGCTATTATACAGCGGGGCAAACTGCATTGCTGTACGTTCGGTTAAAGGCGACTAGTATATTTGGTTGAGGGTGGGTGAACACCCACCCGTACCATATTATATAACTTTGGATAGCCAGAAATTGCTGTACAATTATTTAGGGTAAGCATATAGTGTATAATAATATATTATAATGCAGCCAGTCGATTCTGCTGACGGACGGCTTGTCCGTTAATAGCCGTCGACAGTCTCGTGCGGCGAACTTCGATGATGGTGAGAAATGGAAATAATAATATTGTATTATCAATCGAACAACGGTCTGCTTACCGCAAACAATATTCTTCTCGTATACGTTCATATTTAATAATCGGTTTTATATCGAACGAATACGAAATAATCTGCAATAATATTTATGTACTATAGGTAAGGTATACCTACTTAAATTATATGTAAACGAGTTCGTGAGAGAACATCTTGGATTGAATATAATATTCTAAATGGGTTTATCGATAAAATTGGATTCGTCCTATTTGGAATTTTGGGCGTAACCACTTTCGCCAGAAATAATGAAAAATTAGTTTTCCTCGCCGTTCGTCCGAAAATATAATGACTTTTTTCAAATCGAAACATTTTGGGAAGCCCTTAAGTACCTAAAAATATTGATATTATTTTCGCTTGTACGTGCTACACATATAATGTAGTTTTTACTATTAATGTCGATTTATATTCATACGAATTTTTCGTAAGACGAAAGAATCGCCATCCTACAGTTATATATCTATACTGAAAAATATATATAATATACAAAAATAACGTTAAATAAGAATACGATCGATTTTTAGATATTAATATAGGTAATAGTATAAAATAATGTATAATCATGTTACGGCCCTTGCAAAAGCGTCGTTTTTATCATTGTTGAAAATTCGTGTAATTTTTGGACAAATTGGAAATGCTATTTTTTCATTTTTGCAAAAAAAAAAAATTAAAAAATACTGTCTAATTAAGCTCATTAATTATATTTCTAAAATATGTTTGGAAAGATATTATTATTTTGTATATATGTTATGATAAAAAATCGAGAAAATAAAGATAATACAAAAAATTTAATAATATGCGTTTGTTCCTCGTGAATGTATTATTATTTTTTAACAAAAAATGCGTTTCTCGTTCTTTTAAAATTGTATTTTCCTATTTAAATTGCATACTTCTGCCTATATTTTTTTATTAACATCGATAAATAGATATCTACATAATATTTAGCAAATATTATATTCATTTTATGGAAAAAATAGAAAACTACGAGCAATTCTCTTCCTCCAAACACACCCATTGGTACTATATAAATGCAGCAATATTAGAACAAATAAAATACGTGCCTACTTATTGATTTATAATTTATTGTACTATAGAAACATTTTACAATACATGCAATTTGCGTATTGCATAGTAATATATTTTGATATTATTTTTTTTTTTAATCCACTTCCGATTGATTTTTTACCCAATATTGAATAAATTTACTTACTATACTTGTGCAAATATCGCATGCGTATATCACCCCCTTCCCTTTTTTCAATATAAATTCCTTAGAACGTCACTGCGCCTGGTGCGTAATAATATAGCTCCTAATAAATGATCACTATTGCTTTATCTAATATCAATACGATTTGAATCCATTTTCGGGTTAAAGAAATAATTAATTAATTAATAAAACGGACGAGAAGAGAACGCCAAATAAAAAATAAAAATGCTTTTAGAAAATAATAATAATGATTTATTTAAAAATAAGAATAAAATGGGCAGAAGCCCAATAGTACAGAAGAAAAAACTTAGAGATTATATATTAAGACATAATAAAACTTAACTAAAATAAGACAAAATAGTTTTGTATTACCCAGTACCACATATCAATATTTAAAATTACCGTTATAGGTGAAAAGAAAAGAAATAGACGAATGAAAGACTTCACATGATGGATGGGCCACTGTTATAGGTGAAAAGTTAAGTAGGATTTAGTAGACAATTGAATTTAAATCTGAACACAACGATTAATTTTTGTTACCAAAAAATGATTCTGAGCGGAGTTCGGTTAAGAGTACGTTATACCCGTATCTACTGTTTCAATCCAACTTCAAAATACGAAAACAATGCTTATTTACGCAGAATAATTAAAACTAGCTTAATTTTGATTTTAGAATAAAAATACCCATTATGAAATGTATAGAGAACAATATTTGAACGTAGCCCATTCGGCTCCCGTTTTACAAAAAGGAAAATTCCCAAACGGCTTCGGTTTTTTACAACACAAATTCACAAATACACAAAATGTGGCATATCCATTAAATTGAATTTTATAAACAAAATTGATAAAATTCGATAAACTAGATAAGATTCGTTTAACAACAATCCATATAGGCATATGATGTTTAAAACGTAAAATCCAAACTCCAATAATTTTAATATACTCATAATAGAGCTTGTTATCGTGGAAAGTAATATATGACACAAATGTTTTCTGCGTCGCATCTGTATGTTTGAAGTACAGAAATACGAGAAATTGTTACGAGAAATATACGCGTAGTACCGAATACCGGAGCCGTTTGGGAATTTACCTACTCGTGCAACGTTTTCGACGGGGAGCCATTTGAGAAAAAACAAACAATGAATGGAGACCGACTCAATATTTTGAAGGTAATGTCATAGGTGTTTTTTGAATTATGAACTATTAAAAAGAGACAGTTATTTAAAAATAAAAAAGTTTTAGTATCTAAAGTGTCTTTTATAGCGAACTATATATTTTTAATAATACAAAAAACCCGACATTTCCTACTAGGCCGTAATATTTATGATTTTCGTTAAAATTGTAGTATCAAATTTTAACGAAAAAAAATTCTACATTACATTAAATTTTTTTTAAGCTAAATTTTGACTTACATTGAACCTCCTATTAAATTTTCAAGCATTTCCGTTTTATCTAAAAATTTTATCCACAGATTAACTATCGAATACAAATTACGTAAAAACTCACAAATTTAAAATGTCTACAAAAAGTTTAAAAATGGGGAAAATGTTTTGAAATTTTTACCACGCCTAGAAAAGGCAAATTTTAGTTTTCTTTCTAAATTTCAGGTCTCTAAAAATATTTTTAACTGAATCACAACAAAAAACAAACTAAAGCGCAATAAAGGAGCTTGTATGATCGCATATCTTTAAAATCCGAAGAATGACAAAACCAAATACGTGTAAAAAATGTTTTACGACACACTCGATGTGCTCCCGAAAATTTAAATTGCTTGTTAAAGTTATTCCTAAGTCTTTAATTGAAGTAACTAAATTCAGTTTAATGTTATTTATAAAATACGCATGACTTATATGACCACGGGATCTGTAAAAACGTAAAATCGACGTTTAATGAGATTGGATATCAATATTTTTTTTCTTTGCCTAACACATTCACAAAATAGACATTTATTTGTAGTAAAGTAATGAGAATTCTGAAACCAGATTTGAATAATTCAGCGTCAAGTGTACACGATATCGATCGGGCAACTTTTTCGAATTTTAGTCATTTATTTCCAAAAATTAGATTTAAAAGTTTTTAAATGTATAAGTGTATATCAGTAAATACCATGAGAAACTTCACAAAATCGATCGGACCGATTGACGGAAAATTTGTCTAAATTGCTATGTCAACATTCTCAAATATGTGTTAAACAAAAGAAGAAAATGTCGATATCCAATCCTTTTAAGAAAGAATTTTGTTTGTGTGCGCATTAAATTGACGTATTGAATATGATTATTACATAATTATATTATACCTACATTAATTATAAAACATTAACTGCAGGGTGTGAATTCACGTTTACGAATTTTATAGTTTACACCACCTATACGGAAAACGGCGTTTGTAATTAAATTATTATTATTTAATACATTTTCTATGTTAACAAAAACTGCAAGTGTAATAAAAATATCTCGCTATAGTGGGTTTAGTTTAACTTTATTGCCAAGTGCCTACCTCCCGGGCAAAGTACTTAAGGGGGTAGTCGCGTTTTTATTCTCGACTTCCATTTATTAAGAGGAGAAAAACGTAACAAGAAAATGGGTAAAAAAAAAAAAAGTAGTTTGAACTGAGTATAGAGTTGAAAGCAACGTAATCCCTCTTTTACCGTATAGTATCTGTATAAGTATATGAAAGTAAATAATATAACATAGTACATATATATATATATTTTTTTTACAATGCATTTCCAGTAATATAATTTTTAATTTATTACCTGTACCCATCAGTTTTATTCTATTTCTATATATTCGTTGAATAATCATGTTTATTAGTACTATACTACTAATTTCAAGATTATTTTTATTTTATTTTACAAATATAAGCAGACTAATGTCCTATTACATAATGTGATATTATGGTATATAGTATAGGTTACGTTGTTAATAATTAATAATATAATGTAGTAACATCGACTAAATTAGAAATATACATAATGAATTAATAAAGACTAAAATTGAAGATGAATTATTGACAATAAATATTAGATAAAATCAAATACCTACATAGGTATTACCAGAAACCAGAAACCACACTCCAAAATTCAAATATGGCATTTCTCTGAAAGAAAATTTTATCTAGTTGATGCATTGAAAGATGGTTTTCCATTTTCCTTGTAGTTGTATAAATATTTGGGGAAAACTTAAGAAAATGGGAAAATGTACGGCAATAACGGTTTCAATATTTTCGGTTTTATTTTGTTTTTATTATTATTCAGTTAAAGATAACGATAGACACCAGAAATTTTGACAAAATACTTATATGAACCTTTTCTAAATGTGCTAAAAATGTTAAATCATTTTGACGATTTTTGAACTATTTATAGGAATTTGATATTTTCGAGTTTTTTTTTAGTTTTATTTGATTTCATGTGAATACAATTATTTTGGCCGATCAAAAATGCTTTAAAACTGAACACGAGTTTCATAATTATTCATAAGCTTTACTTTGATTCATCGTAAATCATTTTTATAGTTATATGGTGCACACAGTAAATGTTCAACTTTCAGTGCACGTATTATTATTATCTAAAACAATCTAATAAAAAACTAAAAATCTGATTTAATATCACTGCTACTATATATTTATATATGTATAGTATTATATATACATATATATATATATATATATATATATATATATATATATATATGTATAATATGACCTAGACTCGAAATCGGTCTGCTATAATTCGTTTGACCACCGTTACTGGACTCGGAGATGGGCGTCGCAGACCTCGTTTTCCGGACAGCTAGAAATGACCGTCCCGCCACGCCGATCTACAATAGCCACACAAGATATCATGAGATAATATCTGCGTTTTAAATTATAAAGAACGGTGCGGTGCGGTGATGGCCGGACTGCAGTGATCGTGGTTTATTGTTTTTAATCTAGAGATACCTTGGGTGACGTTTCAGGTTTCAGCGTTATACAATATTATTATCGCATAGTAACAAATTGTTAGAAAGATAGACGTGACATTTGCCATCGGTCCGTACTATTATTATTGTGTACGTGAACTAATTAGTCGAAGTAGTCGGCAAGCGGGTTTAGCAATCGGTCGGAGCAACTGAGCCATTTAAGTAGACAATATAACGTACACGGTTTCTCGAACTATACTAGGATTAGTATTCGAACAAAAGACTTGTTTTCGGTAACCGTAAAAGCTTTTTTTTATTTTTATTTTTCTCTAAAAAAAATAAAATGTATTGCCCTGTAAATCTGACATGGATTTAATCTGTCGTTATACATTATAAGCGTGTGAAAAATGTGTAAAACAAAATACAGTAAAACTTCCATATAACGGTCACCGAAGGGACCGAAAATAATGACCGCTATTTAGAGGTGCAGGTGACGGTCTTTTAAAGGTGTCTTAGAAAGATAATACACTTGACGGGACCAAAATTACCGTTACATAGAGGTGACCGTTAGCTGAAGTTTTACTGTATAATATTTAGTCACGAGTTAACAAAAAGATGATGCAACGAAAGACGTAGGTACTTATTACTTATACTGATAACAACATTGAGGATTACCTCCTACATCGAAATAATTAAAACTGTTATGTTGCGAGTTGATAAATGTTAAAATTTGCCAACCCTACGGGAACACATTAATAACAAACGACTAAAAGGTACGTCTACCTATTGTTCAGTCGATTTTTAACTCAGAGCAGTTTATATAATTCTTTGTCTTTCTTTTTTTCGTACTTATATCGTATTATATGGTATAAATCAATTTTATTATTTTATAAATGGTAACATTGGTTTAATAAAAAATATAAATCACAATTAATTGCATTTTATGTATCGCTAATGATTTACAGTTTAATTTAATATAAAACGATCGAATTGATTATACAAATTATTACTTATCAATCCAATGTACCCACTGGACTAGTAATTCACTGAATTATAACACTGGATTTCATTGGCTTGAGTACAACGAAAGTTAAACCCATTTAAGTTGTTGTTTATTTTACAAAATATTGTTCTCATCAGTTACATTTCTTTTCGGTGAATTAAAACTCATCGTGCATACGAGTCTATTAAATTATTCTATCTAAAAATCATGAAAAATCTATTCTTCAATTTAAAACTGTATCTACTGTTAAGATAAGGTGATGTGTCGTCATTAGTCATTTTTGACAATGCCTTTAAATTAAATTTGTCAGATAAATTTGCTAACATTCCAAAAGAAGATCTAGATTAATTATGAATAATGGTTGGCTAATTATATTTTGATTTATAAAGGTTTGAAAACCCACGAGATCAATTAATTTAATAGAATTTCGTTAAATTAATTATTATCTTCCAAATACGTAAGTGTCTTTTTAAAATTCTGGATGAATGAACATATTATTCTTTATCATAATAATCCGTTATAAATAAAAATTTTAATTTATCGTAATTAATCAATTTCCTTTTTTATTTCCTAAAATAATATTACTTCGATACTTTGTTAATAATATTATACCCACCATCATAACCTTTGTCATTCAAAAAACTATCATGCAGTTTCATGTAATAATTTACTATCTGATTACATTACTTTCTTCGTGTAAAATATAAAATAAAATACAATGTTTTGTTTAAAGACTGATCCAAATGAAAAAAGAGACGAAGATACGGGGCCAAAATTAGATGACCTCAGTTTTTGGGATAAACTCGTAGCGCTCGTCGCATCCGTAATAGAAGAAGACAGAAATAGTTACGCGCCTGTTCTAAGTCAATTTCCGGCAGAACTCAATATAGGACAGGTAAAATATAATATCTGATACGCATTTTGATTCGTATTCTGATAAGAAAAATATAGATATGATTTACGTACGTATATGGTATATTTATACCATTTTCGTGATTAAAATGTCTTACACAGCTGTCCGCTGCAACAATGTGGAGCCTCTTTGCCGTGGATATGAAATATGCACTGGAAGAACACGAAAATCATAGATTATGTAAAACTTCAGCATACATGAACCTCCATTTTAAAGTAAAATGGCTCTTTACTAATTACGTAAAGGACGCGCCACCATACAAAGACGCAATACCCGAATACCCGTCGTGGTTCGAACCGTTCGTGATGCAATGGTTAAACGAAAACGACGACGTGTCTTTGGAATACTTGCACGGAGCTTTTAACAGGGATAAAAAGGACGTGGTAAGCTAGCGTCATCATTATCTTCTTAAACTTTAATCGAAAAGTTTTTTAAACTTTATTTTATTTATATAATCATAGTTTCAAAAAAGTTCGGAACATGCATTATTTTCCAACTCAGTGGTGGATGTGTTCACTCAGCTTACGCAGTGTTTTGGGGTCATATCCAAATTGGAATGTCCTGACCCCGAGATATCTAATCGATACATGAAAAGACTCGCGAAAACGATTGTCAAAGTATTATTGGCGTACGTAGACATAGTCCAAAAAGAATTTGACGCCAAAGAATTGGACGAAAGAATAGTAAGTTTTTAAAATAGTTGACCAACTCTAAGTGTTTGAAATACGCGTATTTTCAATTTATAGGCTTGTATATTAATGAATAATATTCAACAACTCCGAGTACAATTGACGAAAATGTTTGAATCTATGGGTGGAAAACAATTAGAAGAAGATGCTACAGATATTCTAAACGACTTGCAAGCGCAGTTATTAAAAGCATTAGATGAACTATCTGTAAAATTTGGAAAGAGGTTCGGATCATTTTAAAAAAAAAAAGTTTATGGTCAAAATTTATGTATTTTTTTTTTTATGCTTAAATACATTTTTAATTCATTTTTCAGTTTAGAGCCTCAGATAAAAAAGAGTGTCAAAGAACTTGGCGAGTTGTTGCAGGGTATCAAAGGAGGAATTCAAAATTCACAATCATCAACATATATTAGGGAGGTAGACGAAATATTGCGACCATTGATGGATTTAATGGATGGCTCGTTATTGTTATTTGCTCAAACGTGTGAGAAACCTGTACTGAAGCGAATTCTCCGTGAGTTGTGGAAGATTGTTATTAGGATATTAGAGAGAACGGTGGTCTTGCCGCCAATGATGGATAAAAGCGTAAGAAATACGATAGTGAAAAATTATATGACTTAAGGTGTATAATTATTTTATGTCTTATTATTATTTCTTGTTTAGATGATATTAAAGAATCTAAGTGAAAACGCAAGATCGATGGCGGCCAATGCTCGAATTGAAGACATGTCTAGACTCATAAGAAACCATATGGCCGGGAAACAAGACGTTAAAAATGCTTTGACGGGAGTGATGGTAATCGCATTAATTATTTTGTGCGGTCCAATGTCTTAAACATTTTTTATTTTTATTAGGACATGGAAAAGAATTTAAATCCCAAACAGTGTGCAGTACTAAAAGCCGCATTGAAAACGATCAAGATTTATTTCCACGCACGTGGAAATGGACTGAAAAAGAAATATTTGGATAAGAGCTCGGATCTATTATCTCTATCCTATGCCCTATCACTTTACACGAAATCAACGGATGAACTTATCAAGACATTCGTACTATCACAGTTGCATCAAGGTACCTATATTTTGAATCAATTATTATACTAATGCGAAACGAAATATTTTTCGCCTTATTAATTTTCTGCGATTATATTTTTAACAATTAATATTTATGTGTTCCATAAAGTACCACAAAAAAATGATTCTTTACCTCGGCAACCATCACTTATGAGTGGTACTGAAGTTAAGGACGAAATGGACGAGATGGATTATGATGAGGAAGACGAGACCGAAGAAGAAGAAGCGTTAGATGAAGCGGAAGAAGATGTAAAATCAATGGGAAGTCGAATGGAAAAACAGTTTGAAATTTCAAGAAGACCGTTACAGGGTAAACTTTAATTAAATACATAATAGCAATTTAATATTAAAATTTAAAATTATATTTAATTTTGAAATTTGTTTTAATATACATGTGGTTTGACAAATATTCCCTACTCGTATTTTTAATATCATATTAAAATATCTAGTCCAATTGGGACACCCTGTATACTGCAGGGTGGGGCTTGACAGGCTGGCGATATTTGTATATTGTAAAATCCATCAATTTGTCTCGCCCCGCCTTACGTATATAAAATATGTATAGTACATAAATAAAGGTGTTTATGAATGATTTTATATTCGACGACGACGTACATAAAAAATGATAAAATATTTTGAGTCTAAATTAATATCAAATCTTTTGTATATTTAAATAAACATAAATTCGTATTACCAATACAGGGTGTTCCATTTAAATAGGTATACTCATTATCTCGGAAATTATTGACTTTTTCGGAATTTTTTTTATAAAACATTTAAGAAACAAGCAGCTCTACAATTTTACATCCATGGTATTTTTTATCACCTTTATTTTTGGGAGTAAAACCACTACATTCTTTTGATTATCAAATGGTAACCAATATTGTAAATTCATAATATAGGTGAAGTGTTAGTTAAAATAAATTTTGGTATTGAAATTTTTAATTTTTGTCAACCATTTGACTCTTCACTTTGAAATTTGGGTCGGGAAAAAATAGTAGAGTCATTGAAAATAACAATTTCGATTCCAACATTTATTTTAACTAATACTCCCATCTATTTTGTGAACTAGTAATGTATATTTCCATTTGAAAATCAAAAATAAGATAGTGGTTTTACCTCCAAAAATAAGGGTGAAAAAAAATATTATTAATGTAAAATTGTACAGCTGCTTGTTTCTTAAATGTTCTTTAAAACAAATTCTAAAAAAGTTAATACTTTCCAAGATAATGAGTGTACTTACTTAAATGGAACATCTGCATATTTCTCGTATATTAATACATAAATAGTATACCCACGCGTTTAAACTGGGAATAAAAATTGTATCTATGTTTATAACACGTGACAAAATATTAACGAAAATGTGTTTGATATTTAGAAAATTACGTATATGAAGAACCGTACGGAGAAATTTCTATTAACGTTTACATTGAAACACATCCCACGAACAATGAATTTAAGGTCACTGTAACAGGTATGTATAATATTAATTTAATTTATTATATCAGGGCATTTTTAGTTAACAACCACTGCGTGTCCAATCTCTCTTCCTTAAATAAAGCTTCACGAATCACGAACAGATAGCTTTAACTTTTGGATTTTCCTCAGTTAAAGTATTTCATATTATACAAAATAAAGTATGTTGTTACAAAATCTACTAATTCAATAATTTACCAATTATTTTCTAGTAGACTTACAGTAATTTAAAATCTTGCTCTACTAGGTGTCCAACGGACTATTCTGTGTGTTCGTTTGGACACAAAAAACTCTCTCAAAAAATGCCGTGGATTGTATTATCGTTGATTGAATTGTCATGTAATTGATCTTTTTGTTAAATTCTCCCAGAAAATAAAGACTATTACAGTATATTGTGTCTGTTAAATTTAAATATAACTTAATGCATATATATATATATCATATGTAGCATCAATATCGTGTTATTGTCCGTTTCACGAAATAGACAACGTTTGTCCAACGTTTCTCAGTCTAACTAACGGCTTATGTAGGAGAATCACAAACTTAGAATTAGAATTGTGGCGGATTATTTTTGGTTTTTATAAACTAAAATTTCTACCTAAACGTCACAATTTATGTTTTAAGTAACGTAATTGTACTGTATTGCCCGTTAGTTAGACCGAAACAGTAAATGTGGGTATCACGTCCTCTTAAAATCCAAAATAAGTACCTACCTACCTATAGTCAATAATATCAATCTCTCTTGGTTATATATATATTTTTTGTTTCATTTGCAGAACGTTCATTAATACAAATATAACCTTACTCAGTTTATTTATGCTAATGGCATTCGTTTATTGATTCTTTTAGTAAATAGCGCTAAATGTTTACGTTGATTTTATATAAGTACAGGTATTATATAATATCGTATTTACTTAAATCCGCGTTTACGTTGTGCGCCCCCCTCCAATGTTTTCACTATACATTAAACCAAATGATGTTCGTACAAAAATTTACTGAAAGAAATAAAAACGCATTTAGTCTGTAACAATGAATTGTGTCACTGGTCATGTAATAAATTCGTATACCTAAACCTCGAATACAAATAAAAGTCCAACGGATAAGACATTGATTTCACTAAGCAGAGCAAAAACATTATCCAGTTTAAAATAGTAAAGTTTATAGTATTAATACCCAAAATAAATAAAATTACTTTCCATGTACCTATGCTGCGGGGGCATGTACATCACATCGTGTACACTTTACTGGCCGAAAATTGGATTTGTAAACGCTTTTTAGGATACAATAATTACTAAATAATTTACAGTGCTTAAAATTTTATTATACCTATTATATTATTCGACTGTGTGTATGTACCTATCTAATTGAGAAAACGTGTTGCGGAAAATACACGTACCAACGCACTAACCAGGAAACATAAATTTGAAAACTTTAACAATATTTTAAAACCAAATTATTATTTTACACATAGATATAAATTAGGGTTTTATATTATAATCGTTTTTCCGTTTATATCTTACCATATTACGCGTTGTTTTCGTGCCATATTGTTTTTATTCACGTAGAAAAAAACCTAAAATCAAGTTACACCCATAACACATTTGCGGATTTTTACCACGATAGTAATTTTATTTATTTTTTCCACCATTGTACGACAGTGGTTGCCGCAAACACATTAGTTTGGCCTACAGCTGGAATGTTTCGCCCGTTCGTCGAAGTCAACCTTATCGGACCCAGGCTGGCCGACAAGAAGAGAAAACAGTCGACCAAAAGCAAATCGAGTAGTTGGAGCCCGAGATACAACGAAGCGTTCGTATTGTAAGTGGGACAGCGTGATTATTTTTAATAATTGATTATTTATCGAATAATTACTGATCAGCAAGTTAGACAAAGTTAAAAATATACTGTGCTTTGTGATGTATTATATCATATTCAAACATAACAACTTACACGAGTAAATCCGAAGCTATAAAAACCGACATTTTATGTAGGTACCTTTAATCAGTTTATTGACACTATTCGGTACTCAATATTATAAAATAAATTATTTTACAAGTTTCAATAGGCAACTAATGATGAATGTTCGTTAACTTAACTTAAATTAATTAAATTGTATTTTATGTTGAAATATTACAAATTTAGATTTTAAAAAGATAATGGGACGGTAACAGCTACAGATGTAGGTGGGTAGTTAGGAAGGTATGATACAGATGGGAATTTAATGTATATCTGTAAGGAACGATAAACCATTACTTACGAAAAAAACGATTCTGAGCGGAGTTCAGTTGGTAGTAATGATTTTTCAACAATATATATGCCATATTATGGTAAAACAAATAAATAGACTCTATATATTTTCTTTAATAATATTTGTTTAATGTTGGACCGATTTTTTCAGTTATCCTATGTTTTTCCCGGTTTTTCAAACTTGATGAGAAAACTCCTGGGAAAATCGAAAAATGACCTCCTTAAAGTACCTCCCCACGTTGATTTTCTTTCAAAAAAGGTGCTACATGTAGAATTCGAGCAAGCCTTCTGGTAGAAAAACTGTTAACAAATAGAAAAAAAAATAAGTATTTTTGTAAAACCTTAAGCTTCTTCATCCCACTCAGAATCTAAAATTGTGCCATAAATATGGAGCAATTAGATCAATAATAGTGAAGAATTATTATCATAGATTTATAAAGTATATGTAATTACGATTATTTTCAATAAGTAGCAACAAAAACCGAAAAAATAATTATGCGCACTAATCATTAGTTATTATGTTCATTGATGGACACCCAGACTATTTTTTTTTTTCGAAAGAGGTTTTCGCGTTAACTTAGATACCAATATAATTCTATTCATTTTACATAATATTATTCTATTTTCAATTATATTTAGGATAATATCCTAAATATACGGCCCTGTATTCCCCTCCCCCTCCGAGAGGTTGAAATAAATACGCCCCTGGATTATAACCGTTGATCGTGTAATATGTCGATTATGTCGATTAAATCTATGAGATATTTCACGTAATTTACGATTGTTTTTTTTCTACACAGTTCGATCAGTGCTATAGAAGATCTCGAATGTTATGAACTGCATTTCTGCGTCAAAGACTACTGTTTTGCCAGAGAAGATCGACTCGTGGGTGTAGCGGTCTTGCAGCTGCGACACATTCCCATAACGGTAATAAATAAAATATTAATTATTATATTATACCAATAGGCATTACTTTTCATCGTATTGATTTAATCGCCATGCGATTCTCTTTGTTGCACCTCAAAGGTCCGTATGGGCGAATGGTTAGGACTCGGTAGGCGGATACAAATGAACGAGACCGGATGGACGATTTTGCGGATACTGTCGCAAAGATACAACGACGATGTAGCTAAAGAATTCGTAAAGCTCAAGTCGGAAACCAGACAAGAAGACCAATCGTCCGTACAGGGATCCTAAGCACATCGCCTATAATACAAATCGACCGACGTGCGGGTGTGTTCATTGCCGACAGTCTTCCATTGAAAATGAAATATAAGACTATAGTTAAATATTTTAATAAATTATCACTGAAATAAAATTGTATATTGTATAAAAAAAATTCGAAATCGATCAAGAGTTGTGACTTGTGAATATTAATATTTAAAACGTGCTCAGAAATGACAGGAGGTGAAGGTTTTCGGGTCGTTAATTGTAGATTACAATTCGAATTGTTACCTACCTGTAACTTAACCTAACCTACCCACGTTCTTGTTGTAATTTTATTATTACCAGGAAAGTGTTGGCGATATTATATTCTTTTTGAAATAAAACAATAATAGTGTTGGTCTTTTTCGTATGCAAAAAATATATAAGCTCATAGCAATAAACTAAAAAAAAAAAATAAAATAAAAACACACATTAAATATTGACCAACATTTGAGTTTTAAACAAATCAACGGGACCATTCTCAAATTAAAAATTAATTATTCAATTTAATACACTACGTGTCGGCGGTATGATTGTAAAACTTTTTGTATAGTATACTTACCTACCTACCTAAATTCCGAGGCATTTAGAGAGAATAGGGTGAACACCACTAATTTTAAAGTGGGCTTTAAATATTTATACGTTATTATAGTTGTTATAAATTCACAGTAAAATAATGATACGAATAAAATTTAAATATTTGAAAAAATCCTACTATTATTTTTGAAAACATACGATTATTTAGTGCAGTTCTATAAGTAATAACTATTTTGCTTATTTACAGGGTGTCTCATCATCGTGTGTGTCCTACAATAAATTAATTTTATTCTATAGGATATGTTTTAAATCTACTTATTTGAAATTACTTTTGTATTTAAGAGCCATATAAGTTATAATACTTTTTTCAAAACAAATGTGGGTTTTTGTAAAGAATTTTAATTGTTAAACCGTTAAATTTATTAAAATGTATTCTATTAGTCTAAATTTTTAACAAAATGTTAAATGTTAATTCAATACACATTTCGTGCAGCGTTCCATTATATTTATATTTTTCAATTAATAAAATATTAAAACGATATGCGTGTGTGCAATTTTGATTTAACCGTTCAAACATAATCGACCATTATCACCATTAGAATAATGTTTGAAATATATTTTAAAAAATCACGACTAGATATTTTCCGCTACGATTTTTTCGTAAAACAATAATGGCCCTTAAACACAAAAATAATTTCTAAAATGCAGAATTAAAAACACCTGTATACAGAAAAATTATAATTTATCCCGGGACACGTCACTCGCAATGATAGTGGTTATACACCCTGTAAATTATACCGTATATAATATTATATTGTTTGTTGTACGTACCTGTGTTTAATAATATTATACGCTCTGTTGTTTTTAACAAACCAATATTTTTGTACAAAACGGTTATTCCTGTCCGAACCGTCAAGGGAGGCCTTCAGTTGAAATCAATCGATAGCCGATAGCCGATAGCCGATTTTCAATTTTGATTGCGATCAACTCTCGGTTGATTCGTATTGTTTTTAATCGAAAAACGTTTTCGATCGATCATTTGTGAATAGACTTTCTTCAGATTATAATAATATTATTATTATTACGGTGCCGATAGTATACGGCGGAGCGACTGCACGGACTTCAAAGTTTATAGCTAGTGAGAAAATTGATGGTCGATACCCAATATACCACAATAATAATAATGATCGGTTTGGTTTTCTTCTCGGACGTTCGAAAAAGTTGTTGTTTTCAAAAATATCGAGACTTATAATAAATTAACCGACGCGTCGAGGTCGAGTAAACACTTGTATTTGTATACTCGTGCATACGATGTATAGATAGCATTTTCGATGGAGGTTTTTATCTTGTTTATACAGGGTCTTCCAAATTGTATGTAACCGTCAATTTTTACCGTAAAATAATTATTCGGTCGAAAATCGACAAATGCGAAAACTTTTTCGGACCATATTTAATCATAAAATAACGCATATTTAGTTCACTCTTGCGTTTTGGGGGTGAAACTCGATTTTCCTGATTTTCATTCTACAAATGGACGTAGTTTTAATATAATTCAATCGGTGTTGAAATTTTAACGGATTGCCGTGGTTGGCGGAAATTTAAAATATCAACTCCAAAATGTACTTTGTAAATAAAACTTCGTCTATTTGTGGAATTTTCAATAGAAATATACTAGGTTGCCGTTAGAAAGGCAAAATTTGGTATACAGTAATTTCGCTCCCAAGCTATAATAGAGGAAAATAACACGCAGACCATGTAACATTTTAAAAATATTTGATTACAAAATTATTTTCACACGAGTCGTTTTTTGGAAAAATAATATTATTACGCGGTGACATAAAATTTGGAAAACCTATATACTATCGTCTTTCTCTTATCATATTCTAATTATTACTCCCATTCGAGTACATTTATTACAACAATAATAATAATAATAATAATAATAACGTATACGTTTCCTCGAATTCGACTATTCGAGTGAGCATTATACTTCCGTTGTATGATACTTCACTTTCCGCGAAACGCTGATAAAAAGGGGAGTGGGGGAAACCGTGTTGAAAAAAAAATCCATCGTCGTTATCGTCTATGCTATTACGTACCCCCTATTGTCGACACTTATTTTGCAAATGCTTCGAACTATAGTGACTTTCAACGACAGTATAAGTACCTAATATTGTTATACGGAATATTTAAAATATATTGCCTTTATAATATTAACTAATAACGTCTTCCATTACATGATTTTGTTTACTTCTATTATTATTATTATTATAATAATTTGTTTGGTACACGTTCGCGTTTTGTCGATTTCGTGTCGTCGCATAGATTATATAGAGACTTTTCCATTTTCCTTTCCGCGTTTTCTTATCTGGCCGTCATTTTATATTATCACCTAGGTATATTATATTAGTTTTGTGTAGCTAACTATTAATTACATGATAATATTATTATTATAATCTTCACCGTATACGTATACCCATCTAATACAGCGTTATCGATCGGTTCCCGAAATCTCTCATTCGAAAACTTCTAAAAACGGACTTGGACGCTACGGACGATATATTATTATAACGACGCGGGTATATGAATAGCTAAATGCAGAAGGACTCTAATTAAAATTTTAAAAAAAAAAAAACTGTTCAAAATAGACGTCAGAAACTCCTTATCAAGATACCAATTTTTTTTAACAATTCGTTAAATGACTAGAAACGTTTATATCCAACACAATAACATTAGCTATCATTTTTTCTGAAAAAATAATTTATAGACAATTACAATAGCAATTATTCGTTCGTTTTAAAATGTTTAAAATTCGAACATTGTCGGGTGCCTCACTGCGTTTAACTATTCGTGTATATTTGCAGGGCGAAAAAGAGCAAAAGAAAAAAAGACGTTTACAATAGTCCGTAATAATAATTGTTGATTGTTAAAATTTGCCTAGGTTTTAATATTATATATATAATTACCTACACTCATTAACTCGTATTATTTCGTGACGATAATATTCGTATGCTAGGTATTATTTTTGTTCGCGTCGTTTTCGGAAAACGCCTGATGTTGTTTTTTTTTTTTTTTTTTTTTTTGTATTCAATACATAAAAATATAATAATATGTAGGTTATAATAATATTTATATATATTATATATCCGTCCTAATAAATAATAATAATATTGAAATAAAATGAAAATACCCGATTTTACATATAATAATATATATATATAATTGGTCAAAAAGGGTTAACATATACACGTGTAATATTTTTTTTTTTTCGCAGCAATAATAATATTAAAATATTATTCGTACCTATAAAATGTATAGAAAAAAAAAAAAAAAAAAACCACGAATAAATAAATAACGCTAGCGCCGCCGCGTTACAAAATTACATGATAATATAGGTGAATATTATAAAAATGTGATAAAACAACGATATTCAAATTATTTTTCATCAATACAATACCGTAATAAATTATTATAACATTGTAACTATACCTTAAATTATTATTATACATTATTATCTACGCAAAACGTTATAAAAACTAATATTCATTAAAACATTATTATATCTGTGCCCGGTGGCGTACCCAGGAATTTCTAATGAGAGTGGGGCTGAAAACAAATGAAATTTGGCTAGAAAAAAAAAAAACAACTCATCGCAAAATACCTACATAGGTAATCGTGTAGTATACGATTATTCGTAACTACTTAGTTGAATAAGCAATGCAAATATACAAGGATTATTATTTTATTAGTAATAATTTGTCAACGCCTCCTACAGTTCATATTTATTTTGTATTGGTTTTTTTTTTCCTCGTATTTGATACGACCAACGAAAGAGGCTAAATCCTCCTTAGCCCCGTGGGTACGCCAATGGTCTGCACCCACAAACATGGCCTGCCCACGGTCTGTATAAAAACGTGTGTATTGTGTATATTATCATGAATAATAACATCCGTAATAACATGAATTAAACTATGCCATAACATGTATAATGTACATAGCAAAACAATAATAACTATTACAGAAATCGTTACTGTAAAATCGCATTATTATCGAAAACTATATTATGTTATTGCAATACACGACGTGTGCAACAGGTGGCCTAAACATTTTGAAAAATCTTTACGATATTTATTTATTCAAATTTTTTTTTTTTTTTATCTTCGAAGTTCAAAAGTTACCTTCCAATGTCCTTCATAAGTACTATTTCATATAACATTATAATCTCCGAGAAAAAAAAAAAATCACTCGTTACTTTTATTTATTACGTGTTAATATTATAATAATAGTTGCCCCCGAGTCCCGCCCGCCAACCGTACCACCATACATATCGACCGATCGTTTCTTATATTATAAACTATTATTATTATTATTATTATTATCTATAATTAATATTATGTCGCTAAACAAAATTATTAATTATTATATTATATTAGTATATTATTATATTATTATATTATTATATTATAAATTATTATTGTGCCGATACGATATTGATATTAATATTATTATTATTATTATTCTATTGATAATTATTATTATTATTATTATTATTATTATTATTATTATTATTATTATTATTATTATTGCTGTAATCATGTTTGTAAGTTCGAGTATAGGGGCCTTTATTTTTTATATAATAATATTATATATATTATAACCTAGACGTTGAATATTTTAGTCGAATCTGTTAAACTTCGGTTTTTAGATATTGTTATTAACATAAAGAAAAAAAAAAAACGAAAAAAAAAAAAACATTTACTATATAATATCGACATTATGATTAACCAGGGTAAACGTATTAAGCAATGTGTTGTTTTTGTATTAATATTTTATTGTAATTATGCACTTATAATAATTTTTTTTAAATTTTTTTTTTATATATATATATACATACATATATACATATATATATATATATATATATTTATTTATTTATTTATATATATATATATTAATACCAAATTCAGTTTCTATATAACATGCAAACATTTATAAGAAAAAAAAAAAAAAAAAAAAAAACGAAAAAAAACCCGCATAACAATATCGATAATATTGTTTGTAGGTGTACCTACGGAAAGTAAAAAAAAAAAAAAATATTAAAATTATGTTATACTGCCCATAACGTGATTTCGGTGTACTTATGTGTTTTCAAACGGTGTCTATATATATATATATTTATACATATATATATATATATATATGGAAAAATTATTAACTATTATAATATTGTCTATGCTCCTCCTTTATTATCTTAGTCTTACATTATAATATTATTATTATACTTGATATATTATTATTTTTGATTTCATTCGAACCGAGTAAGTAAAATAATAATAATAAAAAATAATAACAAAACCGTTGTATTTGATATTTGTTGTAAAGATGATAATAACAATTAATTATTAATGCGTAATCAATGATAACACCTAATCGTCTATATGATATTTTAAGCTGAATAAAGTGCGCTTTTTGTCTATATATGATAATATATATATATATATATATATAAGTATACGTATATATATATATCTCCTAATATTTAATATAATTCCTTGTCGTTTTTTTTTTTTTTCGTTTAATTCATAAACATTTACGGTGTGGCTTAGTAGTAATTGTAGACAGGCCCTGATTTAGAAAAACAGGGGCCCGGTGCACTATTCGAGAGCCCTTATTAACTAAAAACGTTGATAAAAATGAAAAATTGATTAATATATATAATAGGTACGTAAATTTGTTACGAATTACAATACACATTTTTTTCTATGTTTTTTCGCAAATTCTTCAATTACGTCATAAAATGATAATTGTTCGGTAATATCTTGGTTGATTACAATTACTGAAAGTGAATCTAGTCTTTATCCAGTTAAAGGCGAGTGCGTGTTCAAGCGTAGAAAATAAAAGGTTCACTTGTACAATAATTCGTGTGTGGCATTGACAAGTAGGTATATTTGTAATATTTTATCTACGTCAGGGAATGTATATCGGATATACATATAGATATTTCGATATATCGATTATATTTCAAATAATAACTGGTATCTAGATAAGACTCGGTGTAGAAAATAATTTTTTTAAGTCTTAAAACTATATTAATTCACTTATAAAATGATCAGAATCTAAATCATCCGAATTTCTATTGGTGATCTGTCCATATTTTCAAAGGGAAACCCAAATTTGTTTTCTAATTCTTCGTAAGCAATATTTTATTATTATTTTTTTTTTAATTCAGTAAGTAGTTAATCACATATTATAACATAATGAACGTGTTTTAATTGTAAATGAAGTTTTCTTCTACCGATAAAATCACACCTGGATTATTTTTGTTATCTAAATGTTTTCTCCTGATATGTGCACCTCTTGCACATGCGTAAATCGGGGCCTGGTTGTAGATGTAATCAATCATTTATACCTACCTATTTAAACAAACATTTCAATTATTATTATTATTACTTACTTACTTACTTACTTATGTACCTACGAAAAAAACTTCACACCACACTCCACCTATCAGTACTCAAATCGAACAAAATAAAAAAGGGACTATTAGACTTAAAACAAATTAGCGTTCCTTGCAATTATTGAACTCAATTTAATCCGTGTAGGACTATGCCCTAACACCAATTTTTAAATATAATTCAGTAATTAATAATTTCCGAAAACAAACACTAATAACACAACAGCAAGCTAGCGTTTTATTTACATAGCAGATAATATTTATTTTTAATCTACCAGACCTAATGATTATTACTACGAGTTATTTTACTATGATGCGTATTTTTGTTTTTTTTTTTTTCTATGTATGAGTAAACAAATTTACTACCACAAATTAACTTTAAATGTAATGGTTTTTAGTAAAAGTGTTTCTCATTGGTGCAATGAACGGTTATTTCTTGATTTTCTATGTAGTATTCTTAATTATGGGAAAACTAAAATAAAACGCCAAGAAAAACAGGCCTACTGTACAAACTTAAACTTTTTTTACCTGCACCATATTATCTAATTATTCGCTCATATCTCGAAAACCGCTCCTATTTAATCCGATATAGAAGCTCATAGTCATCATACTTCTGCATTGAAGCTGGTGTACCCCAATGGAGCGACCTTTCTCCTGATTTGTTTAATATTTATACGGCTGACATACCTGTTACAGCAAGTACCACCATGGCCACTTACGCAAATGACACCGCAATACTTTGTACTAGTAATGACCCTGATGAAACATACAACCTTCTACAAATCCACTTAGATTCCATTGCCAACTGGGCAACTAAGTGGCGAATAAAACAAATCCAGATAAATCTGTTTATGTACCATTTACTTTTAAAAGAACTGACCCTCAACCTGTCTACTTTCAGGGTACTCTAATTCCATCATATTTTGATATCAAATATCACGGTATTACGCTTGATAAAATACTTACTTGGGGCCCACACCTTAAACTAAAAAGAAAAACTCTGAACAGCTGACTACATCTACTTCGTTTAATATTAAAATCAAAACTTCCAATTCATACCAAACTTATTATGTACAAATCTCTTTTGCGACCGATATGGGCATATGCAATCCAAATTTTGGGGCTGCGCTAAACCATCCCAAATTCGCATCATACAAGCTTCCCAGTCGATTACTCTCCATATGCTAACCTCTGCACCTTGGTTTGTATCTAACTCCGCATTCGGACTACATTCCTGCATTCGGACCTAAAAATTGAAACAGTTGTTTAATTAGCCACGAAATATTACAGATCTTTTTATTCCAAACTTCATTCCCATACTAACCCATTAATAACGCAAATCTCATCTAATACTCAACCCATAATTCCCACCCATCGATTCAAAAGAAAATAATACAGAAATTTATTAACCTAAAGTAACATAACACGTTGGGTTCCAGCACTGGTTGACCTCCGTTCTCATATCATTCACAATTAAAATGTATATAAATTATTGTATTTAAAATTATCATATTTGCTTATTGTGATATTGTAACATAGATTGTAAATATTCTTTTTTAATAAAAAAAAAAAATAATAATAATATTTAACTTACATTTACATAGTAACGATTTTTGTTAAAATATTCTATTTTATTTATTCAGTGAAAAATAATCTTCTGGAAATTCCACTGAATACTTATATCTATAGGTATAGTCTCTTCAGGCATGTAATTAAGGGGTGGTCTGGAGTGGCCCAGCTACCCAAAGTATTTACAGGCCACTCCAGAATCGCTCAACACAGAATCTAAAATTATTTTATAAACATTAAAAACATACTTATAAATTAAATTAGTACCTAGTGGAGGAAGAGGAAGTAAATTTTCTCCACCCTAATTGTATAATAATAATTACGTACCTGCGAGTCTCTTATATAAAACTCTTTTCTGACATGGTACAATTTTCAAAACATTCGGGAAATTTTTCAGTTATTCATAGCCCTTTAAAATATTCAACTGTTTTAGGATTTCCTTTGATTTTACAAGATTAAAATTGTTGTGGTCACTTGTAATTAGTGAAAAAAGTTCAACGTAATAATAAAGTATTTTTTTTTTTGTAAGCACTTGAAATTCAAATTTGAATAGAAATGTATTTTGATAATAGTTCAAAATATAATGTATCGTCCCATCAGTGTCGGATCCAGGGGTTGTTCAAGAGGGGATGGATTATATTAAACAAATTATATAAACAATTTTAGAACATAATAATTCCAAAAAAACTGCCCAATTAGGAAGGATGATTGTCCTATCGTTCACTATTGTATCCACAACTGCATTCCAGTTGAAAGAAATAGTAGAGAACGCTTAAATTTCTAAAAAATTAATTGATGTTTTCCGTCTCTGAGAGTCTCCACTCTCCCCAATTCAAGCACTTACAATATAAATTATATGCCTGATCAATATATATAAAAAAAAAAAAATTTTTATTAAATTATATTCTTTTTTACATTGTTTGGATTTCCTACATTACAAGAATAATAAAGTGAATAGTGCCCAGATGTGAAAATGTGCAAAGTGAACTGAATTAGATGATTCATAAATTAATATTTTTAACCAATACTAATTTCTCAGTAATCAATCAAATCTCAAAATCAATAATAACGATTTAACTAACAATAGATTTTAAAAACTATTATAATTTAAGTTATTTTTAATATTAACTGATAAAATAATAAATAAATAGGTACAATTTTATATAATATACCTAGGTAGGTATACTTACAATAATTTTCTATAGTTATCATAACTACACAATGTACAAATGTCTTCTGTAATTTTTATTAATTATTAAAACAAGAGAATATTTTAAAACAAAATTATAAACATTTTATCTACCCACTCTGCATAATTTGATTTGGACACTGTACTGATGCCCAGGGTGATGTAAACGTCTACCTAATTTGCCCAAGAAAAAAAAATAAATATATTTATACATTATTATAATTTGTGCATAATTCATATTGAAAATTTTTGTTCATTTTACTTTACTTGTTAAATTCATAAATTGAAGATTTTATTAAATACGATAAAATATTTTTTTTTATACAATGGTTTGTTCCTCGTGTAGCATTGATATTTTACCAGAAAAATGAAAATGTATAAAAAAGCTGATACTAGAAACAGGTGTGCCACTGCTGTGGATGAGTAGAAAGTTAGAAAAGTAGGGTAGATAAATAGTTATTTAATTTATATCTGTAAGCAATGATAAACAATAAATCGCTAACAAAAAACTATTCTAAGAAAAGTTAGGTTTATACATAATTTGGAAGGTCATAATATTTACAATTTTCATCAAAATATGATCTTACAACCATTATAAAAAATAATTTCTATACTACGCTATATCTTTTTTTTTTAAGTTTAACGTACAATAAACCTTCAGCCTAATTGGCATGCATTTCTATTCGGTCAAACAATTATATCCATATAGCACCTACAAATAAAACCTACGTAAAAAACTCGTAACCATAAAATGCCAAAATTTTAAAATAATTAACTGAATTACAACAAAAAAAAAAAATTTAAAAATAACAAAAACATTTTTTTCATAACTTCTCAATTATTACTAAGATTTTTCCAAGTTTTACGCAATTAAGAAAATCGCTTACAAAATCAAAAAACAACTTACTTACTTAAACTTACTAACTAGATTAAAAATGCAATAAAACAGGTCTTTTGATGTCATTTTTCGAAGAGAGCAAGTTTTCTGTTTTAAAAATTATTTATAGATAGAAAATAACATAAATCATGGTAAAACCAATAAGATCCACTCTGAATCTTAAACATTTTGTGATTCATGATTAAAATCACTTAATATAATATATCCAAATAATGATTTCACAACAAATTATTTTTTTTAAACAACCTACCTATGTTAATCTTTAAAATAGAACATTATTCTAAATGATTTAAATTTAAATTAAATGATATTTATTTTATTCAGAAAGAAAAAAATGGGAGAATTTTGAGAAGTAGATAACTTTTAAAATTTAAATAACAACCTTTATTAAAAATGCTATAAATAAATGACATTTTAGTTGAAATACTTAAAAATAGTAGGTAGTTGTATTTCACCAATGTCTAAATTGATGAAAGTTAAACATTTTAACTTAAGCTTCATCTAAATATTTATAGAATTTTTAATACTTGAATTTTAAGTTTATCCCAAGTTTATCCTTTTGAACAAATAAATATCAAATTTATTTATAGAATAATAGATAATAAGAAGTCCACTTAAGCTATTATTTAAAAAAAAAAAAACTAAATATATCATAAGCCTGATTATAGATACCTATACCTCTGATTAAAATATACATATTTAATAATGATTTATTGCATTTAGAATAAAAAAATAATAAACAACTAGTAAATAGAAACATACAATGTAAAAGATTATCCCCAAAAGCTTGTAGAGGTGATAACAATTATTATCTAGAAATTATAAAACATTATTAAACACTAATATATATATACATTAAAAACCTACATAAAATCCTTTTAAAAATATAATCTCAGGTAGAGGAGTTGTCCACAAAGAAAAGAGATGGTATCATTTTACTAATAAATTTTGTACATTTTCCCATTTGTTGAGAAAACTCCCAAAACATTACAAAACGATCTCCCATTTCCGATTTCCTTTCGAAAGAGTTGCTACACTTAAAAATCGGAGCAAGATTTCTGGTAGATAAGTGTTCCGCTGAAAAAAAAAAATAAAAAATAAAAAAAGAGCTGATACTAGAGATGGGAGTGGCCACTGTTGTAGGTGAGAAGTTGGAAGATAGGATACATCAGGTTATTTCATTTATATCTGTAAGCAATGATAAACCATTACTTAACGAAAGACGATTCCGAGGGTAGTTCAATAATACATAATTTGAAGTGCCGTCATTTTTTTTGCGATTTTCATTGAAATTTGAAAACGCTTATTTGAAAACGCTTATAATAAAAAAAAAAATTTGTCCTATGATCTTAGAAATTTTACGTCTAGGTAAGTCCAATATAAGTATTATTACCAAGTTTCAAGTCTCTACGTGTATTTATAACTAAATTACAGCAAAAAACTACCAAAAATTCAAATTCTAAGGGCTAAAAAGTGGCCCAAAAGTTTTAGCGATGATACCATAAAAAAGTAAATCACAAAGGCATCTTATATTTTTTCTGGTAGAAAACGTTGTCCGTGTTTTTATAAAATAACAAAATCGAAATTTTACGTTTTCCTAAGTTTTTCCCACTTTTATCAAAAAAATGGTGTTAAAAATCAAAAATGATCTCTTTAGTACAATCTAAACAACTTGAGGTTTCGGAAATGTTGCTACACGTAAAAATCGAAGCAATTTTACTAGGAAAAATCATGTACACAGACTAGAACAAAGAACAAAGGAAAAATAATAATAATAAACAGCATTATAAAACCAATAATAGCTCCCTCGCTACCCTCGGAATCTATACTCAACAATATTATTAATTTTCTGTTTTAAAATAAACTCAAATATTTAATTTAAAAATATAATAATGCACATAAATAATTATAAGTTAAACTATTTTATTTTAAGTCATATCACTACAAGATTATACGGAGTATATATTTAATCAATAAATAAGTCAAATAATACCTGATAAGTAAAAGTTAAATAAAAACAACTTGTAGTAAATGACTTTAAACACTAAAATTAAATTCAATTAATGATTGGTAACCATGTAGATGTTTAAGAATAGTTATTGATCTTCACCAGTCATCTTCTTTATCACCATCATCATAAGTATGCTATAAATAAATAAAATATAACTATAATTAGTTATTGTTTTTAAATATAATGATTGTTATTTTACTAAAGGTGTTACTAACACATGTCTGATATAACTAAAACAAAATGCATATTCAAAACATAAATGTGCCATTTCAAAACTCACAAAATAATGTGGTTCACTGCAATAGTAATTGAGAAAAATTGAATATACTCTGTTTATAAATAATGATTTTGAAAAATTATTTGAATAAATGTTTTCTGTTTGATACATATAAAAATGTCAAAAATTAAAAAAATATACATAGTTGTGTACGTTTTAGGAAATAAAAGAATTTAGAATTTTTAATAACTTTCTCACTTATCTGCCAGTATAAAAAATAACAAAAAAATATTGAAGTACAAAAGTGTATTAATGGAGGTCTACTTTTAAGGGGCTTGTAAACTTCATATATTTCTTATCAAAATAAACTATGATTTGTCTTGACAAAGATACTAGTAATTTCTAGGTATGTTTTAAAGAAACAGATTATTATTATCAGATATTAGGCCAACTTAACATAACGGGGAAAAGTATTAAATATTTCATAAGTTTTGTAATAGATAAAATAACATGTTATACTGTGTAGATTTAATAAAATTGAATCACATGCAAATACATTTTACTTGGAATCTGTTCTTCTGGAAATAATAGATTCAAGATTTGATAACTTATAAAAAGAGGTATAGTATAACATTTTGTTATAGAAAGGCAATTTATTACCCTTGCCTACTCCTCCAGTCTAAACTTTTATAACTCATAAATGGAAAATCTGATATTAGTGTAATGCATATTAAAATGTCTAGAAAAATATTCTCTATTCAAATTTGTGTTCTAAAGGAGGGAATCCTACTTGAAAATCAAAATATGTACTTATTTAAGGTATATGAAGTAGAAGTAAATAATTAAAAACTATTTTATTTTTATACAGTGGGTACAGTTTACAAAACTCACTTTGGAGAACAATTACAAATTAGTATTATAATCCAATGAATTTTTTAGACCAAGTGGGGAAATGGTAGGAATTTTTAAATCTTATAAGGGACTGAATCTTATAAGGCATTGTAAAAAAAAAAATTATAATGCTCTTTATGCAAAAAGTTTGTTGCATTAAACACTTCACACAACTGTACTTACAATATAAATTACAAACTAGTACTAATAAGTACAATAAAAAGTAATTTTAATATAGGTTGTACCAGTGTCGGCCTGGTCAGGGCAGCTAGGCAGCGTTTGATACCCGGGCCCCTAACTTTTTTTTTCTACCATAAATACATAGAAAAGTACATAAGTACATTATAATTTATAAATAATTGACACACCAACAAACAATCAAATTTTTCCCAAATAAATGAACAATACTCGATAAGATAAAGTTTGGGTTTGGAGTAATATAGGTACCTATACAGAGTGTTGCACAATAATTGTGTCAAACTTCAGGAGTTATTTCTACACCTCAAATGTAACAATAATATAATATATAAGCAAGTATAATAAATTTCAACAATAATCAGAAAAGTTCAGAAATAAACTGCCTATTCTATATAATATAACTGATTATATCATAACATAACATAAATTCCATGCACTATTCATTTTTTCCATTTACGATAATTGTTGTAATACTAACACTTATATAGTGTAATTTTTCTAAAAGGAAATTTGGGAAGGTACTTTAGGGAGGTCATTTTTCGATTTCCCTAAGAGTTTTCCAGCAAATGTGAAAAACCAAGAAAAAATATGGGAAAATCGGGAAAAACATGGGAAAATTGTTAAAACATTAAACAAGTATTATTAAAGAAAATATATAAAGCCTATTTAATTATTTTACTATAGTATGACATTATATATTGTTGACAAAGCATCACTATCAACTGAACTCTGCTCAGAATTGTTTTTTTCGTTAGCAATGGTTTATCTATATATGCCATGATATAGTAAAATAATTAAACAAGCTCTATATTTTCTTAAACAATATTTATTTAATGTACCTATTTTCCCAGTTTTCCTACATTCTTTCTAGATTTTCACATGTTTTATCCTGGTTTTTCAAATTTGCAGGGAAAACTCTTGAGAAAATCAAAAAATGACCTTTTTGAAGTACCTCACCACACCAATTTCCTTTCAGAAATGGTGCTACATATAGAAATCCGAGCAAGTCTTCTGATAGAAAAGTTGCACACAGATAATAAAAAAAATACATCTTTATAAAACTATAAACTTCTTCGCTCTAATTAGAATCTAAAATAAGTTATAACTAGTTTACATATATAGAATACTAAAAAAAATACTAAATGACAGTGGAACTAAGTAAAATGTTAGTAATATTTTTAAAAATGACAGACTTGTTAAGTTGATTTGTGTTAAAAGCCATACAAAATAAAATAAATAAATTTACGTCTAAGTAATCAAGAGTCAAGGTAGGGTAATCATGTAAGCGATTCTTTTTAAAAAATTTTAACTGAATAATATCAAGATCATAATTGTAAGTAGATAATGATTGAGATAAAATTACTGAGGCAAATTCCAATACGGATCGCACTATGAAGCAATAAAGTGTTTTCAGAGTAGTAAGTTTTTATTTAAATTTTTGGGTATTTCTAAGTATAATACCTAACATTTTGTAAGAATAGCTAAGCATATGATCTATTCTAAAAGATAAATCATAGCTGAAATGAACGCCGAGATCACTTATTGAATTAATTCTATTTAAAGCTATATTATTCAAAGAGTAATTTTAGGTAACAGGATTTTTACTACGAGTGAAGAAAACAATTTTGGATTTATCAAGGATTTCCTGTAAATTAACAATCAGAAATTGAGTTAATATGAGCATAAAACTTTGCACCATCCGCAAAAAGAAGAACTGTAACGCTGTTATCAAACAAATGAGGCAAATCATTTATAGATAATAAAAAAAGTAGTGGTCCTAAATAAGATGCTTGCGTACACCTGATAACGCTTGAAACTCATTCATCAATGTCTGAAGAGATACTTTTACAATTTGAATTCAATTATGCAAATACGAAGCTATTCACCTCTAAAACGAACCAGAAATTCCAAAGAATTTTAGTTTATTTAAAAGTAGTGGACTATTTTTTTTGTCAAAAGGTTTTTGGAAGGATTTTAAAAGGTCAGACTGATATATTAAGAGGTTAATTGAGATTTTAGGTAAAAATCCATTTTGAGATTCACAAATATTATTTGAAAGTAACATAGTTAACTTTAATTATAATAGCTTCAAAGATTTTTGGTACTAATGACAAATTGACAAATTAGTTATTTAATTTCGAACATCATTTCTACTACCAGATTTGTAAATAGGAGCAATAAAAGATTTTTTCCATAATTGTGGAAAAATATAATGAGAAAGTAAATGAAAAAAAAAATTAAAAATAATAAATGTAAAGGTTTAACAAGAGAATGTTTACAAGCTTTCAAAAATAAAGGTGGTATACCATCTGGCCCTACATCTGAGCAATCATTCAAAAAATTAGACATATCTAAGATTTTGTTTAAAGATATATTTCAAGTGTCAATATTTAAATTATAATCATAAGATAATTCAAAATCAAAAGAATCGGTGTTCAGATTAGTATCCACAAAAACAGAGGAGAAATATATAGGAAATAAATGCAAAGTATCTTCAATAGTTTGTTTTGAAGTTATAGCTATTTTCAACTAGTTCAGAAAATTGAGCATAAGTATCATAAGAATTAGGAATGATATCGACACAGCATAATAGTACAGTATCGTTTACAATTAATAAGATAAAAATATGTTCAATATTCCATATTTTATCTGTAATAATAGCTCACATTTATAGATGGGGTTAACCACTAATAAAATTCCACCACTTCATACAGAATAATCAGACAATCTATCAGATCTAAAAATGTTATAATTCACAATACCTAATTCATTATTGTTCATAAAATTGTTTAACCAGGTTTCAGATAAGAATAATATATCAGAATTACGAAGTCTAATTTAATTCTAAGGCCCCTAACATTTTGATAAATAAAATACAATTTCAAAATATTTTTGTTTCATGACTTTTTTTCTCTTGGTACAATTTTGGGAACTTCTTTAACAAATTTAATGGTTGAATAAAGCTCACTTGATACGCGTTAACTAAGAAATAGGGTAAAACAAATGTAGATAATTTGTTTGAGCAAATTTATGGTAAGTATTGATATGTTTCAACAAATTAAATAAATTTAAATTTAATAAATTACCACAGGTTGTCTAATATCATTGAATGTATAATCAACGTCTCCAAAACTCCCATCTCTCATTAAAAATGGTGGGACTTCTTGGTCAGCCTAAAAACCAATGCAGAATAGTTAAAAAAAAAAAAAACCTAAGGAAATATCAAAAAAAATCCTAGGTAAATCAACACACCTGTTTTAAGATTCTATTTAATTCCGATGCTAAACTAAAATCAGAAGAACTGTCATAGAATGAAACTGCTCTTCCTGAGTTACCCAATCTTCCTGTTCGGCCAATACGATGAACATATTCATCAACAGACGAAGGCATGTCAAAATTTATGACACAATTAACACCTTTTATGTCTGAAAAATAATAAAGTTAAATAATATTTCAAATCTATAATATGATGTAATAAATAATAATAATAATAATAATGACAATAAAATGTCATATTACAAACCCAAGCCTCTAGCAGCAACTGCTGTAGCAACCAATATTTTCATTTTACTGCTCTTAAAATCTCGCAGAGCTTGTTCTCTTTCTGGCTGTTGACGATCACCATGTATACTAGTAGTGGGAATATTATTTTCACTTAAAAATGCTGCAATAAAGTCAGCATTTCTCTTTTGCTGAACAAAGACCATAGTACCTTGACAATCACCTAATAAACATAAAACCACATATATTTGCTATTGCAAAATTCAATACATAAAATACATTTAAATACCAACCTAAAGATTTTAAGACTTTTAACAATTCCTTCTTTTTCTCAAACTTGGATACCTCTATGATTTCTTGAACGACATCTTTGCAAGCACCTCCAATTTCACCAACAGCAACAAAGATATAATTTGGTTTTAAATATGATTTAGCCAATATTTGAATTTCATCAGCCAATGTAGCAGAAAACATAATTGTTTGCCTATTATTCTACAAATCAAATTAATATAAATAAATGCTATTATAAAGCATTAATACTTATATATATTTAAAATCAGTACTTACATCAATCATAGTCGCATGATTCAAAATATATTCAATTTCTGTTTTAAAACCCATATCTAACATACGATCAGCTTCATCCAACACAAAGAACCTTAAGGATCTAAAGGATATTATTCCTCGATCAATAAAATCAACGATTCTTCCCAGTGTTGCCACGATAATATGAACGCCATTCTGTAAAACAGACATCAAGCATGTTAACAAATTTTTAAAATGATTAATAAATTGGTACTTATTTGTTATTGTCCCACCAATATGCCGTAACAAATTCACCGCCCCGTCAAACAATACGAAAAATAAAAGTAGGTATACATAATTAAATTGTAATTAAAAATGTAAAATTGTAAACAAAATATTATTAAATTAATTAAATTGTATATTATAATAGCAAAAATGATATTGTATGATATAGTAAAAATTATTTTAAATTAGGATGGAGGTCAGAACTCAGAAATATCTATTAAGATGATTTCAAACACATTATTCACCAAGTAGTATTCTCCACATAAATTCTGCCAAGTACAATTCTAGAACATTTATTTGGATTCCACTGCGCTTTTTATTTCCCCCTTTAGCAAAAACCCACATCGCAATGTTTTGGGTGTGTGTGCGCTTGAGTCCAGATCAAAAAAATTATGGGTGTGTTTAACAGTTTTTCGTATTGTTTGACAGGGCGAGAACAAACAAGAATAGCAGAGCAATACATTTATAACAGTGTACTAGCGGGGTGATAACAAGCAAGTACCAATAAACTAAACTAAGTTACATTGAGTTGATTCCGTTGGTGTGATGTAGCTGTGCCACCATAAAGAATAGACTGTTTAATACAGGTTCCCGATGTCAACTTGTATACAACATCTCGAATTTGTATAGCCAATTCTCGGGTCGGTGCCAGAATAACACACTGTGGTTCACAATAATTTCTATCGCAAATTAAATCTGAAGGTTGATTTATTAGGATATTAACTATAGGTAAAACAAATGCTGCCTAAAAAAAAAAAAAAGATTAAACTAATTAATTTTACTACACATTATTATCGTTAAAATTTTAGATAAAATTAAAAATCCAATGTTAATTGAAGCTAAATTAATTATTCATCATACTATATAAATGATAATTATTTACCGTTTTACCAGATCCTGTTTGTGCGCTTGCAATCAAATCTCGTCCACTGTTTATAATTGGGATAGAATATTTTTGAATTGGAGTAGGGGTGGTGTAATTACATTTAATTAATTTTTCTAATAATACTTCTCGTAAACCTGAATTCTTGAAGGATTCAATATGTCGAGGAACATCATCACCACTGACATTAACAGCAATTTTTTCATAACGATTAAAGTTTATTCCAGCTTCTACACCACAACAATCTTCATCAGTTATCTCCGGTGGAATATATGTTGGTCTAGGTTTATCAGATGCTGGAGGTTGTTGATCATCACGACCACCAACAGCAGCAGAATCATCACCATATCCCTCATCAACATTTCTATTATTTACCCTTTCACCACCTCTTCCCCTACCACCACCCCCTCTACCACCACGGGGTCTTGATGATCTTTCTTGGTCATTTTTTTGCATTTCCCAACCATAATTATCATTACCATTAATCTCTTCATCATTGTTTCTGTTATTAAAGTATCCTCTGCCGTGGCCTCCACTGTGACCACTTCTTCGGCTGCTTCCTCCGCGGTATTCTCCCTGAACTGAATCGTCAATTAATGTACTGTAAGACATCTTAATCCTATATATAAAACAAACTATTAAAACTAAAACCTAAAAACTATTAATCAACTTGGTTTAAAATTATGGTATTTATTTAGCATCAACACAATGATAAAAACACGAAAGGAAAATAAAATTGGAGTTTGGTAGTAATGCAGTCAGCTTTCGGTAATAAAACCACACTTCCCGTAGAGTTACAAAGACTAAACGCTAAAAAGAGACGCCGTTCAATCTGAACGTTGGTTTACAATTTATTATTGTGAAATTTACAGGCTAACCACTTACATAAAATAAATTGTACCGATCAAATATGCAACCACGTGATAATAAACAAATTTAAATTTGTATTTTTTTCATATAACCTATTTATTAATAACCGTAATTTTCAACTAAAAAAATATTTAAAAAAAAAAAATGTAATATAAACCTATAATTACATTAGTTTAAACCAAATTTTACCAAATTCACTCGAACTCCAATATCCATTTAACAATACTAGATCATTTTAAAATAAGTACTATTATGTAACAAAAACAAGTTTTAACTATTTACACAACTTATTACTTATTACTTTTAGTTGAAAATAATGTGACTTGTTTATACACAAAAACTATTTATTTCATAAAGCCATACAAACTTAATTTAAATTACTTATTTCTTTATAAGCCACATTTCATAGACAAAAACTATATAGCTGGACATTCATATTTTTTAAGAATAAAGTTAAATGAAATTAAAATAAACTTTGAAAAAAAATTTGGATCAAACTATCAAACAAATCGTAATCACAAACGTATTATCGTTTATCACATCTATATAATATATCGTACTCATAAATAATCAATATAAACCCACAGATATATACTAGAGTTCCTTAATAGAGCATTTTAATAGAAGCAACAAGTTGGCAACACGGTTTTTAAAAAACTGTTGTGTTTTATGTTAAATATGTTGTTTTTTTTTATAAACCTTGCTGTTGTTATACGTAAACAAGATAACGAGACCAAAGTTGCAATATGACGTAACGGAAACGACGTGGAGGGAGAAACTGCGCCGTAACGCGCGTTCCATACAAGACGGTAGACGTTACGCGACTTTTAGACACCTCTGTATACTAACTACACACTAGATGCCGGACTCTATTTCATCGGATCCCGGAAAAAAGAACAATTTTAAAATTTTGAATATAATAATTGATTATTATATTATTGATTGCCGCTTTTACACTTTAATGTCTTTTGACAGACTAAATTTAGTTCATTCGAATAATAGCATGAATGCATATTTAAAATTTGTTCGTACATATTTTACCCTTTTTGCGTCTTATAACTTTCAAGCGTTAGTCATAATTAATTAATATTTTTAAAATTGTAAAATTGTTTTTCTTTTTTTTCTGTTGTTCTTTTTTACCGATTACCATTTTACCTTGTAGGTATGAGTCTTTGAAGCCAAGTAGGTTGAGCAATGTTAGGTAACAATATAATATCAATATAATATTTTTAATTATTTTAATTTTGTTGGTTATCACTAAGATTGATAACATCGGCTTGTAAGCATTGTCCAATTAACATTATGACTGTTGACTACAAGTTTGTGATGCGAATAATCGGGAGTAAATAATCTAATGAAAAATCAATAATTACTAATTACTAATTAGTAGCTACTATTTTTATATTTACGAGTTTAGCAGTTGGTATTTACTCAAATCAGTATTAGTAATCATTCTTTTTTTTTTCTATTCTACTAATGGGTAATGACTAATATTACGGGAGCGCGTAAAACAACCGAAAATAATTCAGCCGAACAGTATTTCATCCGTGCAATATTTTGGCCGATCCGTATTTTTAGCTGAAAAATATTTGAGCCGATAGTATTTTATCCGAAAATATTACAGCCGACTGTAATAATAAGATAAGGTCAGATCTTCCAAAAAAAACGATAACGCATGATAAGAAATAAATATTATTACCAACTATATTACTGTCTAATCGCCATATCAAAATATTCAAATCAGCGGCAAAGCTGCCGGCCCGACAAGGACGTTCTTATGTCGCGCAAAGTGTATACAAATAAACAATATTCTATGAATCTATATAAAAAAAAAATAACTCAAATACCCCTCCCCCCATCATTCTAGTCTAGAATAATAAAAGAAATGGTTGCTAATTGCTATTGTTTCTAATTTTGATCAAGCGCGTTCTTGATGTGAGGTTGCGAGGAAACAATCGCTCTCTCGTAAACCGCGTGATGTCCTTTTTTTGTTAAACGAAATTTCCATTATTCTTAAGTACAAATAAGTTCAATATCGCAACTGGTTTCAAATGCCATAAAGACGATTCCGGATCTTGAAAATACTTTGATTGAAACAAGAATGAAACACTTCTTATTTATAAACTACAATAAATATTCTCCCAGGGGTGAGATAGAATTATGGAAAACTGAGTAGGAACAATCTATTTGCAAAGATATAATAAAATGATACATTTTTAGAATCAAAATTGAAAATTATTAATTTAATTTAAATTTTAGATTCTGAGGGTAGCAAAGAATGTGCCTTATGGATTTACAATGATGCATTTTTATTTTATACTGTGACAAAAATGTCTAACAGAAATCTTGCTTTAATATGTAAGTGCAGCACTTTTTTTGAAAGAAAATATCGTTATATTGACTAAACAGTACGTTAGGAAGATTATTTTTTGATTTTCCAAGCAGTTTTCATCATTACATTAATTCCAGAAAAATTCACAACAAAACGGGAAAATTACGAAAATAATGTTTTTATTATTTTCAATTTTGTTTTTTGTTGTGATTCAGTTAAAAATATTAGTATAGACTTGAAATTTTAACAAAAAACTTATATTTGCCTTTTTTTGACGTGGTAAAATTTTTGAGCAATATATAGACGTTTTAATTTGTCGAGTTTTCTATGTAATTTTTATTCGGAATGTAGGAATAAAAAGCCACAGAAAAAATAATCCATGGGAAAAATAAATCGTGGAAAAAAAGTAAATTTATTAATTATATTATTAATTCTATAATAATAGCAATAGCATTTTATACTTTTATAATAGTAATGAATGTATTATTACTGTTTACTGGTGCCTTGTAGAACAATTTTTTAATATTGATTGTATAGGTAATGTGTATTTTTTTGTTTATATTTTTAATAAAAACTTTATTCAACTTATTTTTAACTTCAGTAACTTTTCTAGTAGGAAAATTAATGATTAGTCCGGGAAAAACAAAAAAAAAATTAAAAGTACAAAGTATTCAGATTGTCTTTTTTTCCGTAGCTTATTTTGCCCGTGACTTTTTATTTCATAGCTCTTTTTTCTAAGCTTGATTTCCGTGGATTTTTTTTTTTAATTGCCCTAATGACTAACGTTATACAATATTTTTTTGATAAAAACTGCTAAATGGGTATAACTTGGGAATTTTACATAAAAGTCTACTAGGATTTTCATATTGAAAATTTATCATAAATAATATTACATACCTATTATTATATAAGTACCTATGAAATGTATTGTGTATTGAATTGGCATAATTTATAATTAGGTACCTGGTCAGAATTATTATTGTTGTTAGTGAAGTTATTTGTTTCATTTTTTCTGAATGTAAATTTTAGGACTGTTCATTTTGGATTCTGAGAGAAGCGAGGAATGTATTTGTTTTACAATAATGTTTTATTTTTGATTTTATTTTTTTAAACTATGTAAACAATTTCTACCAGGTAAAAAAATGCGTAAAGCTCCTAGACCGATTACATAACTCGATCATAATAGATTTATCTATGTACAGAAATAACTTCCCAGCGTCCAGTCAAGAAAAATTAAAGGTTTTAATTTTATTTCGTATAAAAAAGCGTATGTTGAATTTTTTTTTTTTTGGTTTTTAGAGCATATATTTCTTGAATTTTATAACTGTTCAACTTAGCTTATTTAATTTAATCGACGATTCTATTAATATTTTCCCCAATGACGTTCATTCAATAGTACAATTGAAATATTAAATTTTAGATTCCGATCGTAACGAGGGAGCTATTGGTTTTACTATGATGTTTATTTTTTTTTCTTTGTTCTAGTCTGTGGATACGCTTTTTCCTGGTAAATTTGCTTCAATTTTTACGTGTAGCATCTTTTCTGAAAGCTTAGTTGTTTATATTGAACTTTAAAGAGGTAATTTTTTAATTTTCGACGGCATTTTTTAAATAAAAGTGGGAAAAAACGTAGGAAAACGTACAATTTCACAATTTTATTATTTTATAAAAACACGGACGGCGTATTCTACCAAAAAAGTGATTTAATCGAAAAATCACAAGATACCTTTTTTGTTGCCTTTTTTATTTACTTTCTTATTGTATTACCGCCAAAAACTTTTGAGCCACTTTTTAGCTCTTAAGGAATTTTAATTTTTGGTAGTTTTTTGCTGTAATTTAGTTATAAATACACGTAGAGACTTGAAACTTGGTAATAATACTTATATTGGACTTACCTAGACGTAAAATTTCTAAGATCATAGGACAAATTTTTTTTTTTATTATAAGCGTTTTGAAATTTCAAATTTCAATGAAAATCGCAAAAACAATGACGGCACTTCAAATTATGTATTATCGAACTACGCTCGGAATCGTCTTTCGTTAAGTAATTGTTTATCATTGCTTACAGATATAAATTAAATAACCTTATGTATCCTACTTTTCCAACTTCTCACCTACAACAATAGACACTCCCATTCCCAGTATCAGCTCTTTTTAAAAATACATTGGTTGTTAACTGTTTGCGGACGTAGGTTTTTCTTCTAACCCGCGACCCGTGAAATACTGTGGACGCCGCTTACAAGCCCCACTCCGAGCCCAGCAAAAAGTGAGTCTTATAACCAAATAAACTTAATGAGTGAAGTGAAGAAAGGATAAAATGTATTTGGATATGTCCGGACCATTCCAATTAATTTTGAGTCTTATAAGCGAATACTGAATCTTACACCTATACCCTTACTTATATGTTTTACAGACATTATCCTTGACAAAACGCGTAATAATACTGTTACACGTGTAAATGTATATTATAGGTAATTCATAATTAACGTGTTAAACGTTCATATTCCAGTGAACGTGATAAACGATAAATTTGACGTAAAGTATACTTTTAAAACAATATAATATATTTTATATACCTAGTTACATATTATAATATATTTTAAATGAATTTCCAAAAATTTGGGCTGTCGGAAAATTTCCCGATGGGTTGCAGTGTCTAATTTAGCGATATGGCCTGTGGCGACTCTTAGAGTTTACAGGAGGTGTGACACAAGCATACTGGAATAATTTGACTTAACAAGTGGGAAAATCTGGTAGGTACTTTAGAATAAATGTCTTTCTCATTGGAATTTAATTCGTCGACGCGATTAATAACAGGATCATTGTTAGATAAGTTGATTAAACTCGAAACAGTTCTTACTGGGAAAATGTATTTTGAATTTACAATTGACATATCTAGCTATTTCTAGTTTGGAAAAACGCTTCAATATTTTTTTAAAACTTATGACCTATTTAGCATGTTTACATCTCTTATAAATTTTAAGAAGTTCGACAATTAATCGGAGAATTTACTTTTTTTTATGTATAAACAATATACTTTTGTGGCCACTATAGATCTAAATCCTGGTGACATTTTTAGTCCCAGACCGCCTCTGAATTTTCCATACTTAAATGAACAATAGGTAATTTCGTACATAATTAATTTGTTTTATTATTGTGCTATCGTATTAAACGATACAGGAAACTCTCAACCCTAAACAGATGCATCATATATCAGAGGCATATATAGGAATTTATTATGGAGGGGGATATTTTTAGAGCCTAATTTTTTCCTAAAGCCATCATAGACTTTCGAAATATTAAGTATTAAAGGTCCAAATGACATCTCAAAACTTAATAAAAGTCTTCCAAAAATATTGTAAATACTCTGAATGTTTTTATAACATCCAAAATAAACTTTCATCATAAAATCAAATTGGTTCTTGCTTTTGACTTGTTTCTCCCATGTAGAGATTTTATAACAATGACCATAGGTAGTATTCATATTCTGATATTATATTTTATTAATTTAAAAAATAAATTCAAGTTTTCTGTTTTTATATGTTACTGATTGAAAACTTCATCTGTCTTGACCTCAATTTCACTGTAACAAGACAGCAAAGCTAACCCATCTAGTATAGTCTATAATCACAAACTATCACACGCAATATTTATAAACAATTTAAATTGGGTAATTTGTTTTTTTTATAAGTCCTGACTTTTGACTTTGTTATTATTATTATGTAATGATACTCGTAGAATATCAAAGTGACTTAATGTCAGTATATAATATTATATATTTAACTGTTAAAAATATACAAATAGATTAGTATATCACATATAACAGATTACAGAATGTGTGATCTATTGTGTGTGTTTATACATAAAAAAAGGCAATGGAGATCTATCCCCCGTATCCCAGAACAAAAAATATGCCACTGTTATACATTATACAAATTTTATATGTACATAAATTTAATCAAAAACTATACTAGCCTAAATATGTCTTATGAAACTTCGCTCCGAATCGTTTTTCGTTAGCAATGCATAATTGTTGCGTACAGATATAAATTAAATAACTCTATGTATCTTGCCTTCCCAACTTCCCACCTACAACAGTGACAGCACTCATCCCCAGTATCAGCTCTTTTATTTTTATTCCATTGTTCTTATCAAATAAAATTATAAAATTAAAGTGCATATCATACTTTAGTCATTTAAGAAGTAAAATGCACTCAGAGGTGTTATGAGGTTTAAAAAATGCAAAATATAAATAAAAGTTTTTCTCAAAAATGTGCTCTATTGACCAATTGGTGTTTTTACTTACGAGGACAGTATAATAATATGATACTTAGTAACAACAACAAAATATGGTAAATGGTAATTGCTCACTCATAACTCTATTTACAGTGACAGTTTTATTAGTTTGCATAGTCAAAAACGATTAGTCTCTAATAGTTGCATAAAACACAAGATACAAACAGGAAAGAAAAAAAGCTGAACATTTCCAAATTCAAAATAAACTAGCATCACTACAATACTATTTTATATAATATATTATAGATAGAATGAAAATGATTTAACTACAGCTAAAACTACTAATATAAAATAATATAATTGTTTATTTTCTTGATACTACTCTGTAAAATGTAAAATCATCATTGTTAAAAGCATTTGCATATTTTTTTTTATTAAGTTAAATTATTGATTAATTAAAACTAAAAAAGGTAAATATTTTATAAGTACTGTAATTGATTTTTGATAAAACTTATGAGCCATACAATTATTTTACTAAATAATATTCATTTTGATTATTAGAAAAATATATTTAAATACCTACTTAAATTTATAAGATTTTACGAAATTGCAATACATTAGTGATTTTGAGTTAATTTAATAACAAATAAATTACAATCAAAATTAATATTCAAATAGTATTTATATTACATTATGGGAATGTTTATTTACTATGAAAATCAAATAAATATTAAATAAATAAATTGATAAAATTTGTTGAGTTTTATTGTGAATTTATTCGTAACATTACAGTGCATTTAATGTGTATTTCAATTTTTATCGAACAATCAATGGAGTAAAAACATTAATTTACAGGTATTCTTTATTTTACTATGGGAAAATACTGGAATGTAACTTATACCTATTCAAAAACAATACAAAAAGGATGATTGGACAAAATTTGTTTGCAGCACTCCAATAGATATACAACTATATCAATTAAAGAAATACATACAATTTACAAGATATATTTTGTATTAAAACTTTGAGTTGTCATTAATATTGATTATTTATGCACAAAATTTATGCTAAATACAAATAAAAAAAAAAAACTAATGTACAATGTGGAACTGTTGAATGGAGTTAGGATCTTGATAGAATATAACGGGATCACTTTGACTATTTTGACCAAATATTTTTGAATAGTTTGCATCGTTGGCTATAAAACAAATATATATATATATATTTATAATGATAATATTTTTATTAAAATATATAAAGTTAGAGATTTAAATTAAATTACTTACAAAACACATCATCTGACAGTTCTTCAATTCCAATTGATTTGTCTCCTTTTGTAGCCTTTAAACATTTTGAGATATTAGTTTTTTAATTTATTATAGACTATATATACGAAATATGGAGCGCATACAAATCAGGAAATAACTTAACCAGAAATGTATTTATTATTATTATTTTTTAATGTTTTTTGAATTCAATTTTGATAAGGAAAAATATTTTCAAAGAATAATTTCATTGAAAGATTAATATTAACCCTGTAAATTAATAATAGTTTTTCAGAAAATATTTCTAAGGAAATCACAAATTACAAAGAATATTAAACAAGAAAATAAAATAGGTACTAAAACTATACTGTCAGAAATTATTATTAACTAATTAGTAGAGTACTAGGTACTATATATTATTACTATAGCAAGACAATGGTATTATTTTTTTTTTGCAAACTTATAAAAATAAGATTAATAGGTTTTAAAACGTTTTTATGCACAATGTAGCAGTGCTCTAACAACCATATTATAAACCCCTTTCCCTATCAGTTTCTTTTTTGGTTTAAATAATTTTAAGCAACAAACAGAATAATAAACCATATGTAGACATGGTTATCAATTGATAATAGTTAACTATTATAATAAATACTATTAGAGTAAAATCTCTTCAATCTGGACTAATTGGGGCTCTACATTGTCCAAATTAAACAAATTAACCAAAAATCGTACATTTTAGAATTTTTAGAATTAAATTTAAGAAAATTGTATTGGATATATTATACAAATTGTAACCTAATATTAATATGTATGTACATTTATTAAACAATATTAAACCTAAAAACTAGTATATATACATATATTAAAACTCGTTTTCTTTTTTTTTTTATCTATGGCATAAACTAGCGTAATTTTTGGGTATTAAACAGGTGTCCGGTTTTAACAAAGTCTAGGCTAATGCGAACTAATTAATGAGATTTTACTTTATAGAAAAATACAGTTTTAATGTTTTATTTTCTTATTTAATATTTTCTATAGTTTACTTTCCACAGAATTGTAATACTGTTATCTTAAAATATTATTTCACGATAGTACGTTCCTTTGTAAAATTTTCCTGATTAGGGTAGTATATTACCTCTCTATATTTTTGCAAATACAATTTTAAAGGTTCTACATAATTGTCAAAACCTAAAGTGGACATTGCATAAAGAATATCTTCTCCATTAATGGTCTTCCTTTTTTCTTGAAAACATCTGTCACTAGCTTCACTGGTTATAAAACTTATAAACTCAGAGACACATTCTTGAACACACTCCCTAGCATCTTTTGCTATCTATAAATGTTATTAAACAATATCAAGTTAGAAACACAATAACATCTTAGCCAAGTATAAAGGTTTTGTATATAAAAGTTGTTTTTTTTTTTGTTTTTGGGAGTGTTAGTATATATAGAACATCTAATAAAATGATCAAAGCAAAATTACAAATTAGCAAATAGTAAATAATTATTCATTAGATTTATTTATTTTAATGTATTTACTTATTTTTTTACATTAATAATAAAAATTGCAAAGTAAAATAGTTATTTTATAATCTTTACAGTAGTTACACAAGTTCAATTGTCATGTTGCATTTATTTACATATTTTTCAAAACTATTTTTTTTAAGATCATTTTTTTGATATAATTAGAGCATATTCAATTCAATGTAGTTAGGTTTTTTTATAATATTTATATTATAAAAATTATAAGAATTATTTAGCTTCAATCAACAATAAAAAAAATCAGAAGATCATACTTATTTTTTAAGTTGTGCAATTATTTAATTTTGAATACATACATCTACCCGCTGTTAACATCAAGTTGATATTGGTTAATATGTTAATGCGTATTTTGATATTTTGTCAACAAGTAATGTCATTTTTTAAAGCATATAATTAAGCATATTTTTAATATATTTTTGAGCGTATATTAAGAACATCAAAGTCAGTCTTATAGTTATTAATTTTACCTATACGAAGTTATAAGTTAATGGAAGAACAATTAATCATACAGTTTTTACATTCCAATATTATAAAAAAGTTTAAAATTCTATAGTTATGAGAAATATATATACTTGATATATTTATGATTAACATACCTTTCCACCTTCTGGAATAGATTTTTTCATTATTTTTGCAATATTTGCAATAGGAAGAAATCTGTCTTGTTCACGAAGTGGTTTTCCAAATTTTAGTTCATAAACTTCTCCTTGATTTGATGAATCATCTGTATTGTCTAACGTCACTAATTCCACATCCTGAGAGTCATGTCCTACAAAAGAAATGTATTTAATATTGTAGACCAAAAATTAATTTTTATAATGTTACATTAAAAATATAATAACCCGGCTTAAGATTTTATTATCATTAAATGTATTTCTGTATTCGCAAATCTCAATATTGATCGGACATAATAATATTTCAGTTTATTAAATGTAAATTACAAGGTGATTTTTAAGAAAAATAATATTTTATACATAAGTTTCTATTATATAACATAAAATAGTTTATTTTTATTTTCAATATTCCTTTTATTATGAGCTCAACTCTATAGAAATATACTGATCAAATAATTGTACGAGTAGTAAAAATCAAATTAATCAATGGTGATATATATTTTATTTAGTAAGTATCTACTGCTTATGTACACTGTATGTACGACAATAAGTACCAATGATTGTTTTAGATTCTGAGCGAAGTAAAGAACGTATTGGTTTTAAAATGATGTTTATTTTTTTTTTTTTTTTTTAGTAATTACTTTTCTACCAGAAATTTTTCTCAGATTTTCAAATAAAACAGTTTTTCTGAATGGATATATGTACTAGGGTGGTACTTTAAGGATGTCATGTATTCATTTTCCCAGGAGTTTAAAAAAAATTGGAAAAATGGAAAAATGTATGAAATGTATTTTTTCAAATCGTAAATATTATGGCTTTTCAAAACATGTATAACCGAACTCTACTCATAATCGGTTTTGGTTTGCAATGATTTATCGTTGCGTAAATATAAACATTAAGTTTCCCCTTTACCTACCCAACTTCTCACCTACAACAGTGGCCAACCCATCATGCGAAGATTATCCTCTTGTTTTTTATACCTATCCAAGTACCTACTTTAAGGTTAGGTTAATTGAAAATATATTTTTTTTTTGGAACTATGAAAACATTTATCCACTATTATATTAATAACTTTCTAAAATAAAATACAAACAAAAAAAATGCATTTCATAAATTTTAAAACATGTATTTTACAAAATTGTTTAAAATGGCATTATTAATTGACAAAGATACTTTTAGATAGACCTATTCATACAGACATTTTTAATCATAAAACGGAATATAAAAAATTTGGTTGATGAAAGTTGAATAAACCATAAATCAGGGGTATGACTTAATAATTTGTAAAGCTATATCAGTAAATATATTATACTAACCTTGAGTTAGAAAATTTTGAGTATCATCCGTTAAGAATTCCTCAGCCAAATCATCACTGTCGCTGCTATTCATTGTTAATTATAAGACGAAATACACGCGATATTCACTATTCAGTGAAATATGTTAAAAGTAAATATCTGAAAATGAGTTATTTCCAATATCTTTACGTCAAATACTGCAACTTCGCAATCGCAAGACGCAAATTCGCAATTGGTACTTACTACTTAATAAAGTTATCAACAAAACAAACGATAACACTGTATTTATCGTTATTAATTTATATATCTATAATGTTAATATAACAAAAAACAATTTTATCAGTGTTTTTATCTGGTCTTAACCATAGATAATAAAAGATAATAGACGTATAATTGACTAACAGTTTTAGGTGGTATTTTGAATCATCACAGTTTACAAAATACGTAATCTTAAACCAATAAAAAGCTGTGAAAGACTAACGCCCTGTTAGTCTTTGAAGTGGTAGGTCGCGGATGAGGCGTTTCATTTATTCTGTGATTATACCCACGAATTATATTATATACAAATTACAAGATATCGAACGAACGTATGATAAATGAAGCTCACTTTTGACAAAGCCACTAACACCATCTAGTGTACTCTTTACAATCTATGTCAATATTTATTATAAAATAAGTCTAGGCCGTGATAAAATAGATATGAAATTTATTACCCACCCTACTCCTCCAGTTTAAACTTTAAACTGGTTTTAGTGGATTTTTATACTAATTTTGTCTTAAAGCGCTAGCTGTCATGCAAACAGTGAAAACCGGACTCAGAAAAACATTGGTAAGACTTTTCCGTTCGGTATGCTGTATATCATATCATTGACCTTATAGTGTAAAGTTTACGAATCATATCTAGTTTATTATATCATAATCACAGTCTCAGATCATAATAGTAACTATTTGCTTAACATAGTTAACAAATTTATGTAAAATAAATTATTTATAAATTTGCAATTTGTTGTTACGGACTCTAGCTTCCAACATAAAAAACATAATAAATATTATAAATGTATAGTATAGCTACAAGTATAACGACTACCTGGGAGTAATAAGTTCAATGAATTATTTGGAAAGTACGGGTTAAACGTACATTATAATCGATTAATCGATACTATGTTCATACGCACTACACCCCGAGTAATCATGACTATAAATACATTTACAATTTACGTACGTAAATCAGCCGACTATATCTATAGAGGTCAAAGAGTAGATATGAATACTGGATAGCCACAAACTCCAAGAACACGAAGTAGCAAAGTGCTATGTAAAAATGGCATGTAAAATAAGATTTCGTGTACGGGGAATATTATCACATTGTTTTTACAATAACAGGTTTTTATTAAAATCATACAGTAAACTTTATTGCCGAGGGATGGATCTTGGGTAATATATCATATAAAAGCGGTTTACAATGTTAACACTTTTTCTTAAAGGATATCTGATTGGGGAGGTACTTAAGAGAGGTCATTTTTCCATTTTACCCAAGAGTTTTCCCAATAAATGGAAAAAAAAAACATTGAGAAACCGTAAGAAAAACAGGAAAATAGATACAATATTAAGCACAATTTATTATTAAAAAAAATATATAATGCCTATATGTAATATTATTTTACCATAATATGGCATATATAGTGTTGACAAAGTAAGACTGTCAACTTAACTCCGCTCAGAATCGTTTTTTCACTATGGTTTATCGTTGCTTACAGATATTCATTAAATTTCCCCTCTATTAACTTCTCAACTTCTCACCTACAACAGTGGCTGTACTCGCGTGCGAAGTATGTCAGTCTTTTTAAATTCGGATTTTTTGTCCGTGGATATTTTGGTCTAGAATAGCTCGCAATATACCTGCTGTAGCATTTAATTCCTGTGGTTGCCAGTTATTGCTACTAATTTTACTAATTTATGATGGGTATACGTTATTATTAAGAAGTATAAATATATTTTAGACAACATTTACATTCAAATTATAATTATTTTACCAATGCAATTTTGAATAATTAATAACTTTAGGAGTACGTTTTAATATAAACCGTATACATGATTCAAATGTTTGCATCCCTATTTAAAAATTGAAATGACACCCTCAGCTGAATATAAATAGGTAGGTGTTATAATTTAATTTAATCTAATAAAAAATACCATAACGTTACCAACAAAATCTATATTAATTAATTATATATTAAGTAACTAATCTTTATTTATATAAAATCTATATCCATATAAAACACATCATAAAATAAGTTACATGATTATTTACAAAGTATATATTGCCCAAATTGTGTACTTTGTCCTTAACATATATTATGTATTTATGTATAATTAATATATTTTATTTCTATTGTTTTTATCTACTTAGTTATAATTAGTCCGGATTTTTTATATTTTTACCGATTAAGATTAATTCGTGGTTTTTACATATTGCAACTGATTGTATACAGTCTTATGAGAGTAAAAAATATGGACGATTCATTCAACGCAGAGTTCATAGGAAAACATTTTTTTTTTCATATTTGAGAATATTTTAGGGAGATATAAGAAAATATTTAGCATATTTTGGAATATTCTGTCCATTGTTGGCAAAAAAAAAATTAATTTATTATAATTTTAAATCATTATATTAATATTAATTTTAATTATTTTCATATACGTTTCTAATTGAAAAAAAAATCATTTAACAAACATTATAAATTATAATATATTGATATACATTGATTATTTTAGCATGTTTTCCTGATTTGTATGAGAATGCAGGAGAATTATTGTTGTCTGCAGTTTTACAGAAAAACTATTTAGAATCTTAAATGTACAAGTTTAAAAATAAACTTCTAATTTAGAAAACATTTTTTAAACTAATTTGGACTTACGGTCTCCAGCTGTGGGATGCGGCAAAAAAATCGAATCCAAACAAAATTCAAACTTATTGAAATATCACTTTACATCAACTTATTAATGCTGCGTCATACATTTCAAATCTAACGTTCTACAATAATTTACATGTTAAAACTATGGAAGAAAAGTTTGTTATATTTTACAAGCACTTCTTCTTACTTTTGGCAAACCAAAATAATCCACTAATCAGTAACATATATACCTTAACGTCGTCTATTAAAAAAGAAATGATGCAGAGATCTTTTGCATTAATTTTTTTTTATCAACTCGTCCCTCTTTTCCCTCACTTTTTAAGCAGAGTCACTAGTGGGTGACTTCTTAATCAAGCATATCATGTTTTTCAGTCTCTTTTCACATATACATATTATGCTAAGTAGTATAGATTGTATATTTATTATTATATTATAAAAAAACAATGAATCTAAAATATTTTTTCAAATAAAGTAACCACCATTGGTCGAAAAATCCGGTTATTTTACAATACGTAGTAATCATTTAGATTGTTTTCATTAAAAAAATGTATTTCAAGAAAAAGAAATGAATTTTAAAAAAAACCAATGGCTTCTACTGGACTACACTTAGAATTTAGAAAAAAAAAAAAAAATTTAATAATATGTGTTGTTTAAATTAATGTGTTTAAAAAAATGCTGATGATATTGAAGCTGATGGATGTGTCACTATTGTACGTGAAGAGTGGAAAAGATAAAATATATAAAATTATTTAATTCATATTTATGTATGTAATAATAAATCACTGTTAATGAAATACGATTCTGAGCGAAGTTCGGTTAAACATGTTTTGAAATGTCGTATTTTTTACGATTTTCGTCGGAATTTGAACTTAAGATGCATGAAAACATAGTTTAAAAAACATTAAAATGTTTTATATTATTGAAAATATTGAAGGAGGTATACAATAACCCCGACTTACACAGAAAAATAATAAAAGGGGAAATAAGGCCCTCCATCAAGGTTACCTGACTAGATAAAATTATTATGAGGAACATGGTGCAATATTTTAGTGAACCGATACGCACGTAGGCGGACTTATAAAAAACGGAATGCCGTCTTTTAGCCGCCAGAGATTTCGATGTTAAAGTTGGAAACGATGACGAAAACGCGCGTAGAACATAAGAAGCTGGAAGTCGGCCAATAAAAATGTTCGGCTTGGTCCCCAGCTGGCCGTTTCCAGTGATTTTACAAACGCCGGCAACGCTGCTATGATAACCGGTGGAAACCATGCGATAAGAGGTTAAACAATATCCCGGTGTAGTTGTATAAATGTACCAGACACCAGTGTAGTGTAAAGTTACAGTTACATGACCAAATAAAGGAATCCGTGCGCGGTGGCGGGGTCACCGTGCCATCTACGAATCGCGGGACGGCAACAACTGCACGAACCGGCAAAACGTCACCGTCATTATCGTCGACGACGCTGCTATTGTGGATGTAGTGGTTGTCGGAGAGAAATGAACACGATGACGGAGCCAGAATGAGCGTGTACAGCACGGTGCAGCGGCTGCGGCAGCGGTGGTGGCGCTGCGGATTATGACCGGACGAGCATTGCCGCCGCGGCCGCGTGTGGGCGCTAGTTACGTACACGCATACACGCACGCAACGCACAAACGTGCGCGGCGGCGGCAACAGCCAGCACCGTCAGGTTACGACGTCGGTGGCGGCCATCTTGTTTATTACACTGTACTGCACTGTAGTAGTACAACACTACTGTTCTCTCTGTTTCCCCCCACCCGACACTCATGCCCCCATCCCGTTTCTCTGATAACCCGCACGCACACACAGACAAGCGCACTAACACGCTAGCGACCACTCACGCACACACACGCCGACTTTACCTTATGTACGGCAACGTACACACGCGCATTTTTACTTACTCACGCACGCTCACACACACACGTACATACGGAATAATTTTCGTGTGCGCGTTGCTGCTGCTGCTGGTGGAACCGAATCTCACCAGCTCGTACAACACTCGACGATAATATACAACACACAATACTAATGCAATATATGTAACAATATATTGCATTTTATAATTCACAAGTTATTAATTTAGTAAATATACGCGTTTTGATATCGCACGTTCGCCAATACCGTTTGGGGTGTAATATTGTTTTTTTCCCGAACACGCGATATACCTACACTTTTTCTACATTCATAAATATACGCCGAAAAAATGGCGTTGAAACGAATCAATAAGGTAAGTGGTTATTCGTAAATCGCGTTCATTTTATTGTTCGTCTGTCTGTACTGTCGTTCGTCTATCGCGCGACAAGACCCGGTCCAATTGACGTATGATTTGCGAATTCCGTTTTGTCCCGTCCCTGACGAGATTCATGCGACGGCGGCGATGGATCCGTTGAACTCGTCCCTCCTGACCCGCGGCCTCTCGAATTTGAACCTCATGACTTAAAGTTCGTTTGTAAAACTGAAGTCATTTTGGATCATTACTGGTCTTTAATATCTTCAGTACACCCGAATTGTTCATCATCCGATAATTCCTTGTTTTTATTATCCTTATTATTATTATTTTTTTTTTTGTGTGTAAATTAGGTTTAACATTCTTTATTAAATGTTCTTAGTCCAATATTTGTTTTGTTTTTTAATTTCCATAAACAATTATTTTTATTTTCTAACTTTTTCTTGTTTATTTGTCATAATAGGTTTTAGGTACCTCTATCAATTTTATACATTCATCTTTTTAATTATTTAAACTACAAATATTGTGTTATCACAACACAATCCAAATCATTCTGAGGTACCTAAGTATATGACATTAGTACCTGTTAAACTATTTTTGATTGTTTTGTATAATGATCAAGTTGCCAATTTAATTATTGAAAACCTGTAGGTATATAAAAGTTACTTGTACTTATAGGCTAAGTTTTTTTTTCAGTTTTTCTGATACTAGTCGCCATGTTTTTGATAAAATTCATACCAATTACTATGCAATTTTATGTTTCCTGTACTATCTGTACCTATTAACTTTTAATAATAAAAGAATTATCAAATCTCCTTAAGTACATTTATAATCTATAACTATAAAACCTTAACAATGATTCATAAATTATTTGATTGTATTTAATCAATGATTATTATGAAAATGATAACATTTTTATTAGTTAAGTTTAATAACTAGGTACATAGTATTATTTATTTAATATATTATGACAATTTTGATTATTCAATTTACAGTATGTAATCAACAATTTTTACTTTTAATTTTATAAATCTTACTGGAGGTAAATCTGTATAGTTTTATGAGTTGTATAATTAAGCATTAAATTCAGGCATCCAGATATCCTTTTTATTTATTATGTTTTCTTATCCTTTGGTGTTTATTATTTTCTTTGTAATTTGAAATTGTGACTTCTTATATTATTTTTTGTGATTAGTAGAAATTTAAAGTACATACCTAAATAATTATCAACTTTTTCTCTGGTAGTTTTCAACAGTACTATAGGTATCTAGGTAGGTATACCTTGAAGACTTTTGATAAGTTTCATCATGTTTTATTGTTACTATTCACTTGATGCATTTTTCTATTTTCAAAATAAAAAATTTTAGGTGTTTACCTCTTTGGTTATCTTGACTACCATAGGTAATTATTTTAGTCTTAAATTACTGACTTGATGTGTAACAAATCGTGGTTTTTTTTCTTAAAATCTGACATGGACTCGCACTTGGGTAACATTTTTTTTTTGGCTGATGGATGTTTGCACGTTAAAAGTATTTAGGACTCACTACGATTATGAGCTCATCGCTTTTAATTGAACATATACCTCAATTTGGGTACCTACTTAATTAGGTAGTCGAGATAACCAAAAAGTACCAATAATAATAATTATTATCATTGCTTCAGTCACTCAAAGTACTTTGTGTTAATATTAATTATATATACCATGTTAAATTTTAGGGAGGGGATGAATGGAAAAATAATTATTTATGGTTAATTTTATTTCTATTTCAAAATAACTGATATTTACCTTATAATAATGTATTACACAATTATTTATTTGTGCATATAGCACTCAGCAAAACAAAATTATAAATTAATATCAGCACAAAACCAACTGTCAGAAGTCCTTAGACCTCCTGGTATATTTGGCAAAAATATCCCTACTTAGGACTACCCTTACAAACATGCCCTTCATATAAGTTACAGTAAGATATTCCATAATTAAAAGTATTTAATATCTTAAGTTTTGTACAAAATTTTGGCAAAAATAAAATGCAATGAACTAAAGTTAATAAAACAAATTGTTATACTTTATTAATTTTAAAGTGTAGGATTCTTGAGTTTTTAGAAAATATATTAATAATTAATTACTAACGGTAATTTTTTTTTAATACACCTACTAAATTGTTTAACAATGTACTTGTTTAAAAAAAATGTATTTACTATATACATATGGTTATAATATAATAAATGGTCCATATGTTGAAGGTATTATTTTTTTCTTGTACAATCTACCTAATATAATTTAGTATACTTGACAATTAACATTAACTATGTTACTTTAATAATTTATATTTTTCACACAACTGATACTTTAAACACATTTAAGGATTAATTAATAAAATATTTTTAATTTTGATGCTTTTTAGGAGCTTCAAGACTTGGGAAGAGATCCACCAGCACAATGCTCCGCAGGACCTGTAGGAGATGACTGTAAGTGTACAAATTAATAATTTAATTACTAACTTACAATAATTGTGTATCTAAATTAATAGTAAAAAGCATAATTATTTTTGTTAAAATTAATTGTTTGGTTTAAAAATATTTTATTGTAATATTATGCATTTTAAAATTTATATATAGATAGTCAGTATAGCTATATTATTCTGCTATATTCAATTTAAAATTATTAGTTGATAATTGAAACATTTCCTAAGAAAAATCTAAATACTTTCCATAATTTTCAGAGAAATGTAATGCCAATTTTGTCTGTTTATTTATCTTATATCATTAATCATTCATCAGTAAAGACTAAAATTTAAATACTAAAATAAAATTATATGTTATCATTGTATTATATTAATATTTAAAAAAAAGAAAAAGTAGTTATAATATTATTGTTAATTTATAAATTGTATTGAATAAAGTTGGTATAATATATATTTTGAATTAAATTTTATGGAAATAAACTCAAATTTTTAAAAACATTAGGTATTTCATTATATTATTTAGTTTCCTTTATTTTACACAATTTAATTTTTGTGAATATATTTATAAATACATTAGCATTTTGCTTAATTTATATACATATATATATATATATATATATATATATATATATATATCACCAATATGTACAAATAGATCAATTGCAATAAATTATGATACCAAATAGTTGTTATAGTCTTCCTTCAGATGTAGAAAAAATACAATTGGAAATATTAATTATATACACATTTCAGTGTTCAGGATTATTATATTTTGACGAGATGTTCTGGGTAGATTATTAAGTAGTTGGGTACCAATTATTGGCCAAGTTCTAATTTTAATTTATATAAATACTGGATATCAAGTATTAGTTGTGTCATAATATCTATAGAACCTCCATGTCTTGTGTACAGACAAGCTTCTAGCAGTCAAGTAACAATATCAACTAAAGCCGAGATCCTGTGTATTGTATAATACTGTGACAAACAATTAATTAATAAAAAAAGAAAATGAAAATAGAGTATCTAGTAGCCATTAGGTAGTCAATCTATACAAATAAATTTTATAAGTTTTGTTCAATAAATAATATATTATTTTATTGTAATAATTATTTTTTTTTATATTGTTAAATTAGACAGTGAGTCGTGTACCAGGTATAGCCAGGGAAAGCAATATTATTATGCTAAGTTATTATTATGCTAAGTACCGAGTAATAATTTATATACCTACCAAGTATTGGTCTAGTACTGAATATGTTATATCAAGTACCCGGTTATATTACTTAATGGCAGAATACACCCAAAACATTTAATTTTTTGACAGTGTCAATTTTTTATACACTTGTAAATATTAAATATTAGTTTACTAAGTTCAAATTTCACTTTTTACATTATAGTAACAACTCAGGGTTTATCAAATTTCATGTTACAGCCAAATTGTCTATGAAATACTATTTTTATATAAATGATTTATGTTAAATCTTTTTTGAATCATTATTCTAAAATATTATATTGGCCTTATTTTTGGGGATGGAACAATTATCTACTTTTAATTTTCAAATGGTAACTTGTATTGAAAATTACATAAATAGATATATTAGATAGAGTATTAGTTAAAGTGAATTTTGGTATTAAACATTTTTTCCGTAAACCAGTTGACAACATACAATGTATATTTTATTTTTAAAATTGGGTATAGAGAGAGTAGTGAATTTGATAAATCTTATATAAAATACAAATTTTCAATACACAATAGTTATTTAGCTTATAATATTAATGTGTAATATCAGTGTACTTAAGCTTGAGAACACGTGATACTCCTATTGTCTGTCAAAATCTAATTAACAGACAATATAGTTAACTTGCATTACTTAGAATATAAATTGTGGCGTTTTGGTTGAAATTAAAGTTTAAACACATAACAAAATTTAAAAAAAAAAATAATAATTCTGAGTAGTGTTTATAAATTTTTTGAAAAAGTTTGTATTAAAAAAATGTATAGCTTTGCTAGTTTTTGGTTTTGTTTTTAGTGGTTAACTTGTATGACATTAAAAAAAAACAACATACAGTCCTCAAAAATATTCTCCTCTTAACCTTTAACTGGTATTGGTACTAGTATTATTAATGACCCGATTAAAATTTTTTTTTCATATCATTATATTCTATGTATTCAAGTTAATATTTTCCATTTAATTATACTGTTTGTTTTATCAAATATTAGTATTTTATACAATTTTTTTTATAACTGCAATTTTCATATAAATAAGTTTCTAATTAATTATTTTTTATAAACATACACATTCAAATTTGAACTACTTAAGGGTTTTTATTTTAGTTTAGACATTATATCCACAAAATAAAATAAAATCATAAATATGATTGTAAATTATTTAATTCTAAAAAAAAAATACCAACACTTTTTGTACCTTTCAAGATATTTTTTTTTATATATATCAAATTATAAACAAATTTCAAAGCTTAAATTAGAAAATAGTATGAATATTCACTATGTGCTATGTTATTGTCACCCTTCTCAGGCTTAAATACTAACTTGAGATGAAGTTTGAAAATAATATAACTTATTTTTCTGATGAAAAGATATACAAAAAAAAAAAATATACATAACTTCTATCTTCTTCATGTTATAAATGATTCGAAACAGCTTTGATGATATCAGCAACGTATTATTGTGTTTGATCAGGAAATACGAGAAAAAGTGGAAAACAAAATCTTTGGGTAATTTTTGATCTGACAATACTAGTTAAGATTAAGGTTAAAATGTTTTTTATTTTTATTAACTCTTTAATTTTAAACTACACACCCGACATGTTCTCTAAGGACCATTTTATTAATCTTCAATTAAATGTCTAGTTAACAAATCTTGTATTAAAACTAACTGTTGATTAAAAAAATAATGATTTTATTAATTATTTTTATTCTGAGGTTAACTAATCTAGATTTAACTAATTGAAATACAATTTACTATTGAAATGCATTAATTGATGTTAGTTACATCGGTAATATGAATGTTACCTACCTCATCAATGAGTTGTTACTTGTTATCACAAAATATTGGTTTGCCAAATCTATTCTATAATTTTCATGTTATTTTACAATTGCAGAATTTTTTTTTATTTTTTCTGTATAAATAATGTTCAAAATTGAAACTAATATTATAGGAATATACATTTATAATTTCTTATTGTTTTATATTTTTATTATATTATTCACAAGGAATTTCAAAATAAAACGAGAGCATTCTACCAATTTTATCATCTGTGAATCGGAACTTCTAGTTAACTTATTTTTGACTTGACAAAAAAATTGATGCTACTACTGCAAACATTAAAAATAAAACATAGACTGTCGAAAACATTCAATAATAAAAAATAAGAATCTAGAATTAAGTCAAGTTGATTTTATGTAATGTTTAGACAATATCAAATAGGTAGGTTATAAAACAAGTTAGATAATTTTGAAATTTAATTTGTTGGTACTTAAGTTCAATTAATTAAAAAAGAATCAACGAAAGTAAAAAACCTCGAAATTAATTAAACACAAAATATTATCACATGATATTTACTGATAACATTGTACCTAATCTCTAGTTAAACTCCTAACTGGGCAAATATCTCGGATTACCTATTCTACAGTTGAAGTCCGGTTAAAATCTTATCCATGTGATGATAATAAAATGATACAATTTTCCTATGTTGCCTGTTAATTAAATTGAGACAGAAATGCAGGTGTAACATTATCATATAACTATTTTTTTTGTTTTTCTAATTATTTATTTTTACATTTCAAATACACCATGATAACTTCTTAGAACTTAAGTTAAAATTAAATCTACTTTATTGTGTAACTAAAATATTAATAACTATTTTTGATGTCAGATAGGTACCTATTATTTTATGAAGATTTTTAACTTTAACTTATACTAATACAATGCACAAAACTAGTGTCATATAATATTACAGTGCCATTTTTGCTATGCCTATTTATTTTAAAAATTATTTACTGTATTATACTGGGGTTTTTTTATATTTTCAGTATTTCATTGGCAAGCAACCATTATGGGACCAGTAAGTTTCATTAGAATAAAATTATTATATTTGCTCTGTTAAATGAAAATATATAATTCATACTAAAAATTATTTTTTAGCCCGATAGCCCATATCAAGGTGGAGTGTTTTTCTTAACTATTCATTTTCCTACGGATTATCCATTTAAACCTCCTAAGGTTGGTACACTGTAAAAACTTATGTTAATTTATTTACTTTTTATTAATTTATTTTTCTTTTATTAGGTTGCTTTCACAACTAGAATTTATCATCCGAACATAAACAGTAATGGTAGCATTTGTCTTGATATTCTACGGTCTCAGTGGTCACCAGCATTGACTATATCAAAAGGTAAATAAATATTCCATTTATACTAATTTTCATCAATATTTATTTAAAACAAATTATTTCAGTTTTGTTGTCCATTTGCTCTTTGCTGTGTGATCCAAATCCAGATGATCCACTTGTTCCCGAAATCGCTAGGATATACAAAACTGACAGAGAAAAGTACAATGAGCTAGCCAGGGAATGGACCCGCAAATATGCAATGTGATGTTTCAAAATATATTGCCTGTCCATCTATAAGATAAACATTCTTTTTTTTTGCCCTGTACAATTAAAAAAAGATCAATAATACAATTATTTCAATCTCCAACTCTGGTAAAATAAATATGACGGTCACACTATTGAAAAGTACTTTATATAGTATGATTTTGGAAATATTTTATTCATATTGCCTATACATGTTTTTTTTTTTTTTTTTTTTACTTATCACTTTGTCTAAAAGTTAAACATATTTAAGTGTCTCATAATATAGAGAACAAATTTAAAATAACATGGTGTTTATTTAGTAGTTAACTTTAATAATTATTCATATATATTTCGGGATAAAAGTAAAATATTCATGTGCTGGTGGCAATTTATATAACTGTCTTAACACATTCAATACATAATTCTAATATCATTTATAGTTCTTCATTATTATTTATTTTATTGTAGTTTTAACAAATTTTTTTAATAGTTGATCTACTTATTTCAAATTCAATATTTTGTATGCGGCATTGTTGCTGATATTTTTATTAAAATATTACCTATTACATACCATGAGGTACTATTCATACTTTTTAGACTTCAATTTTTTTTTATAAGTCAGTTCAATAAATTCAACCCATTTTCAATATTACATTTTTAATGTCACTTGGATTATAATTTCTTTTGTGTTATTTAATATCTTATAACGTTTAATGATATATTAATTTTACCACATTCAATGATACTTTTACCATTGCTGTGATAATTGTGATAATGATACATCAAGGTTTCAGAGGTGTATACATGAGAAGAGGATTTAAAGATCTAATCCCCATTGTTTTTTTGTTTACATTGTATGTAGATTAAAAAAACTTGCTCATAAGACAATTATTGTTGGATACTGATATCCCTTTATACAAAAGTTATGTGTATACCACTGCTAATTTACAAACATTGGTGGTTATATTAGGTATGCAAATTTAAAATGTTATAACTGAAAATGGTGATTGTAGATAAAAATAATAATGTATTTTTGTAAAATATATTATTCTAAAAATTTGAATGTATCATTCATTCATATTCGAGTAATAGTTTGTTTGTAAAAGTTGTTGTTTCAATTTCTATAAAATTAGTGTGAGAATAATTAATTTTCAATAGAATAACACGTTGAGCCCTGATCAGTCAATGTGATTGACCATCAAGACTGACAATATTCAGACAATTATTATTGAAATGTGTATTGTAGTAATTGTTCATTTAATATTGTTAAAGAAATATTTGCATTTTAAATAAAACTTCATCAATTTCTTTTAATTTATCAGTTATTTTCATATAGCAGTCATGTTTTTTAATTCTATTTTTGTACATATTACTTTTTATTTTCTATGTAGCATGTAAACACTACAATATAAATGATATTTAACTTCCAACAAAATTTGTGAGTTCATTTTTGACTAAGATATAAAATTTACAAGACCAAAAAGATATTACTTGCCCACATCGTTCGACTCGATCAATTGATATATATGTTCATTCATATGCATACATGGTTGGTTTTGAATGACAATTGGGTCTTTACACGATAGTCGATAAGAAATCACAATCAGCAAGGTATATCCTTGTTTTCTATTGAATATTAATTGTTTTCACGCCTATTTTCTAGAAATTAAAACTGCTTAACTAATAAACTATTAATTCGATTTAAATGTATGATACATCCAAATTTTTAGAATAATATATTTTATAAAATGGCTATCTTGAACATTTTTAAAAAGTGAAAAAATAAAAAGTTTTTTTCAGTGAGAAGCGATAAAAATGAAAACTTAATTTTTCTCTGCATTTGTGTCCCCTTGTTACAAAACCTAATAGAAAAACAAAAATTAATATTGACTAAAAGTTATTGGCATAAATAATACAGTAGGACACCTTTTATATATAATTTATGATCTGGGAGAGTTAATGAGTATATAGCTCTGAAATAATACAAATTTTAATTTGTATTATTTTATTATTATATACTATAAGCTAATAAATAATTAAAACATATTTTTGTTAAACCTTTTTTTTAAAAATACCATTAATTGTGTCAATTAACAATATCTAATACCTAAAAAGATAGCCAGACATTATTATTAAAGTAATTGTAAATCAATTAAAGTCTTCTACATTTATTATTGTAGATAGTTTTAGGTTTTTTTTTTTTTCAGACTCTAGCAAGTTTGAAGAAATATAATTATATATCTGATATCAGATATTCTGATATCAAAAAATTAATTGATATAAATTGATAAATTGATCAAACAATTATTTTTCCAATATTTATCAATAGTTATTTTGAATCTTATTGGAAATGAAATAATTACTGCTCTAGTATAATTTTATCCTTCTCTTAATTCTACTTGCATCAATTTGTTTATAATTATCAAAATAGTTATATTTATAACCAAAATTAAAATACTTAATATAAAATAACTATATTAAATAAATAAATCACATCATTCAAAAAATAATAATCATAACTTTATAATCTAATTTTACCAATTCTAAACAATACATACCACTAAATACATACTACTAAGTTTTTGCATTCAAATATTTGATTTTATTTTGGGCATAAAGTCACTAACATTACTTGCTCATTTATTAACTTACACTTTCAAACTAAATATTTTACAGTTGATGAATTTTTAAAATATCTAATTATGAAGAAGTCTGTCTAATTTTAATGTCTCTTTCAAAGCTGTAGAGCATTTATTATTATATTAAAATGATTACTCTAGATAGTGCAAAAATCTGAAAATTGTTAAATTTGTTGTTAGTGAGTTTTTGTTACAAGCCGACAATAAGCATTTAGTTAAAAGATGTAATTTGAATATACAAAATAAACCGGAAAATTATTATATAGAAATCAAACAAATTATTGCATAAGTTTTTTTTACCACATGTGGCTTTAGAAATGAATATGATTAAACTATAAATAGTTTTAATTAATTAATATTATGAAAACTATTTTTTATTTTTTTGAAACCTTTACAAAATAATACTTAACCATGAGTATTATTATATTCACATAAAGGCACACCTTTCTATAAATATATTTTTTTCCCATGCTTTTGATAAAATTGATCATGAGAAATTCATATCCTATAATATTTATAGGCCACAGGTTTACATTATTATTTTTGAATGTATCTTATTTTTTTTTATAAAAAGTATTAATTATTTAATTTTTATCATTACTTTATAAATCCTGCTGTTTTAATTAAGCCCGTGTTCAAGTTATAGTGATTAGTGATGTGTTATTTATTGTATGTTCATGCAATTTGTTTAGATGTTCCTTATTGTACTTAATATAAATTGGCCAATAAATCAATAAGACATTATTTTCCTACAAATATTTTAAATATTTTGTCATAGTCCCAATTTAATACATTTTGTGTATTGTTTAAATTCGCCAATTCTATCCCCATTTGAACTAATAGAATAAATTACATTTAATGTCGTATTACTGAGATTTTATAAATTATAATTTAATTTGGTATTTTCTAAAACTATTTTTTTTTAATAACTATACGGTTATCCATAATACCTATATTATATATCTATTTCATAATAATACGATAGAATCAATTTACATATTTACATTATTAATGAATTTAAATTCTTATATGTACATATTTTAATATTGAAAAAAAAAAATTGTGGGAAATGTTAACTAATATTTTATAGAAAATCTTTTCAATGTTCATAATATAATATATTATGGGAAAAATGTTTAATGTTGGTATTCTATATTAACTCTGGATCTGTAAGAAATATATTAAATTATATTTTTTAACTTAATTATTATAATTATTATTATTTTTGAAGCAATTCAATTATTTTCTGTTAGTGAACAATCTTGTTATATTGTTCAAAGAAGTGAATTGTAAAGATCAGTCTAACTTTGGAAAACGATTGCCACACTAAAGCATACATTGACTTTCAAATAATAAAAGAAAAAAAAAGAAAAATTGCATTGCTTAAGTATAATAGTCATTGTAATTATATACCATTCTACTTCATATAGCTAAAGATTTTGTTTTACTCATGGACAATTTATCCTATAAAATAGATACTCTATAACCCTATAGGTATTAATTATAGGTAAGTATATTTACATAATATGATTTATTCAAAAAATGCTATTAGACACTTTGTTACCAACATAATATTAACTGTATAAAAGAAATACTCCTTTTTTGAGTAGTCAACTGAATATGATATGATTTTATACAAAAGTTACACAACTGATTATGATATGAATATTTAAATAGTTTCCTTATGATATGATTATACAATAAGATAATTTTAGAAACTGCTCATTTTCTAAACACTTTATTTAAAGTAGTCATTTTCAGAACACAGAGTTGCCCAAAATACATTGAAATAGTTCTGCTACCCATACTGTTTTTTTAGTATTCTAATAGCGCATTTGTTTTATTGAAATTTTATCATTTGTTTTTTTTGAAAGGTTTTTAAAATTATTTTGCATTAATATGATTATAGGTACCTATGTTATTTTACTTAGGAAAATCAAATAGCCTTTGTAATATTTGTCCACATATGATTGCTTTGTGCCAGTGTGTCCTTCAGTGTTTTATTACTATTTGGGAATGAAACAAAAAAAAAAGGTCACTTTAATATTATTATAGTTTTTAATGATAAATGTCATACATCATTATTTTATAATAACCAGACATGAAATAATTTGTATTATTCTACCATTGTAAAAAAGTAGACTATGATAAATACAGAGCAATATTTCAGGGTTTATTATTCATGAGAGCGCCACACAATCGTGGGTTAAATTTAGCTCGACAACTAACACTCGCATACAGTTTGTAAAACCGAACACGCCGTAAATTCAATCTGTGAGTAAATATTATTTTTAAAAAAATAAGTTCAAACCTATTTTTAGTTTTTTTTTTATACGAAATCGAAGTAGTTTAGTACATCACTACATCAGTGTTATTAGTAAATAATACATCTACATATATAGTTATAATATAATTAAATTAAATCTACATATATAGTTTTAATTAAATTATATTATAACTCATGGAATTTTTGTTAAAATTATGGTTGAATATACAAGGTTATTGCATATCTAAAGACTGATTGTTATCATCAGATGCAAAATGGCTTTGTAAAGGAAAATCACAAATATTCAGTCTCACTCAATGCAAATATCAATTTTCTTATCATGAAAAATACGCTATAGCTCCCTTTACGCTCCCATTTTGGTTTTTATCATCAAATATTTGATTGTGAAGGGCTATATATGCAATAACCTTGAATAATTCAACCATGGTTAAAATTAAGAATCATGATTCATCACAGATTGTATTTCATTTAATTTGTGATTTCATAGAAAAATCATTGAAAAAATGATAAGAATTAACAGGGCGAAAAAGCAAAATCCTGTATGACAGTATCCCAATAGTCTAAATACCTACCATAGACATATTAAGATATCTTAATATGTACCTACCTATGGTACCTACCCTTTTAGGTTTATATCATAGATGAAAATATTAGATATTCAAGTCCATGATTGTATATACTTACCTTTAAATTATATCATAATTCAAATCATATTAATGAAGTACATGATCGAATGTTTATACTAGGTCAGTGGTGGATTTTCAACATTTTTCTTTGAGGGGTTCTGAAAAATACTAAATACGTATTCTAAAAGTGTTATTAGATTCCTACCTCTTTTTAAGATGACATTTTATTGAAGTTCTGTCGGGGGGTGGTGGGTCTAGACTCCCTGAATCTTCCCTTGTAAATACGTTACTGTACTAGGTTATGAAGGGGTTTAATGAGACGTTCATTGGAGGAACATATTTTTCGTTTTATATAGGTTTGGAGATGATAGATAATAAAGAAAGTGCTCAACTCGCTGTACCATAAAATATGATATTATAATATACATATTTGATATTTTGATAGGAACTATATATATATTTAAAAAAAAAAAATAGTGGTAAAAGCAGCAAGCACAGAAATCTATTCTGTATATAGATAATGGATAAAATCATGTATCATCTATGGATATCATGCATAGAAAATAGATAATACCATGACCAAATGATGGATGAATTGTCATAGGTAATACTTTCAACCAAACAGTAGTCAGTACGTACAATAAATATAATATTATTATACATATCTGTGATCCATATAATTATCAAAAATATTCTCTCAGAAAACGTAGGATTAGAAAAATGTATTCCTGCGAAGAACAATTCATAGGGCTTATGCCTGTATCACAAAATTTGGCATCTCTCGTTATCACCAGTGGTGCCAATGGTGATAATTGTCTTATCTGTGTCTAGCGCCTAACACCGACACCGATTTGTTCTCTTTCTTTGCTAAGGATCCACGGTGGCGTAACGTGTTATTTCTCTGTTTTCAAATATTCCCATCTTTTAAATTACATAAAACTTTTTTTTGCTGTTCAGAGAAAAATTGTATAATACACAATGACAGTTGTGGATTTAAAAACTGCAGAAGGCGTACAGTTTCTGGAAAACTACCTAAGCCAAAAAAGTTACATAGTTGGGTAAGCGCTTAACCTTAAAAATTGGCATTGGAATACAATTTTTAATAAATTGTTCTCTTATATTCTTCAGGTATGAACCATCCAAAGCTGATGTTGAAACTTTTTCGGCTATTCAAGCACCCCAGACCAAGACGCCTAATGTACTCCGATGGTATAACCACATTAAGTCGTTCTCCGACAAAGAGCGATCTCAATTCCCCAACAAGAAAGCTGAATTTTCTACAGGTGCTTCAAAGCCAGCTGATGACGATGACGACGTAGATTTATTTGGTTCTGACGATGAAGAAGTAATTAATTTTATATACTTTATTACTTAAAATTTATTATTATGACCTTAAGAATGTTCAACTTGAATATTACTCAAAACCTGTTATATTTTGTAGACTGTGGTCTAACAATTGATATATTTAGGTTAAATAATAATTTCCCAAAACACAACTACCTGTATACAATTGATCCTCATTTATACGGGGAAATTCTTTCATCATGAACCACCTATTTTTTCTGAGGATTTTAAGTGAAATTTATTTCTTTTTTTTAATTAGTGGAATTGGAACAAGTCTACTTTAACGGACAGTCTTTGTTTTCCAATTTTTTTATTTTATTCAATACTTGTTTTTCGATGCTGATTTCTGATCTGTTTAAATTTTTTTGCGGAAATCGTTAAAGAAGTTATGGAAATTTGAAGTTCATTGTATTAGCATTATAGGTGCACCTAGAGACCTATTGTGGTCATTCGCTCGAACTGTTTGTAGTAATACAGAAAATAGGAAAAATAAAAAAGAGGGGAGGAAAAATATGAAGTTGTGGTAGGGTGAGATAGTAATAGACTAAGGACACTAAGTATTGTAATAGAAGACAAAAATATTTAAAATTATAGGATATTATGTAGAAGTACCTACAAAGAATAAAGTATAGAGGAGTAGATATAAAAATGTACCTATATAATATAAAATAATTGATCTACTTTTTGGTATTACAAATAATGATTTATCTTTAATCATAATAAAAGTTCAGACTACTAATTATATTACTAACTTCCTGTCCAATGTTAGAAAGGGATTCGGAGTCGTGAATCTGAGAATGGTGACGAAATCAATAAATAAAGAAAGATATAATTATTTTACCTGCCCACAGTGTTGAAACGCTAGGGCGTATACGTATGGATAACCTCACGTGATCTGGAGTTGTTGGACGGCAATCACAATTTAATTAAGATAGGCTAATTTAATTAATTAACATTTAGCACCTGTGTGCACTCAGATAAAAAATGCTAATCTTTAAATTAGAAAAATAAAAAGTTGAATTACAAAGTAAATTAATAAATAAATCGAACATGAGTGATTATAGCTGCTAAAAGTTGGAGCTAGCTATTCGAAAGAGGTTGGTGGAGCGTAGGTGTTGCTATGTGCAGGATTCTCGACAGAGTGATCGTCTTAGGATTTCTTAAGGGGTCAAGACACTTTATTTTCAGTTGAAAAAACCGTTAAATTTTATATGTTTAACAAAGCCAAAAAAAAAGGTCAACTATAAAAAAAAATAGTGTATTATGTTGGTTTGAAATTTGTATAGAAATAATTATAATGGTATATTGTGCGAGAGAATGATGACGGCACGGCAGTATCATCAAAGGGCCGATTGATGTTGTGTACCTATTGCTTAATTTTATTTGATTTATATTTAAATGTTTTTAATGAAGGTAATGGATCAGTGATGGATTCTTCTCAAATGAAAAAAAAAACCATTGGACTTTGTGGGCTTACAAAGACTGAACAGATAGCATTCGCGTCAATGTCGATATAAAATAATTAATAATCAAATTGTGAGATAAGATAATATACAATAGTATGACTGAGGCGGCAGATTCCTCAAAGGGCCGCAGCAGATGGCATGGAATTTTATTATATTTGACATATTTGAAATTATTTTGCTTGTAGATAAGCTTGTATCCCTCTTGAATGACGAACGATCCATTATATTTATTAAATTATTTACCTTTTGTAAAATACCAAGTACTCGGCCATATTTGAATCTTTTAGTTACATTTTTGTAATGGTATAAATTATAAATAATTATACAGTTATAATATTATGTTGTGTGAGCATAATATTACATGTTATAATTGATAATAACCCTCGATTTGTTGTGCAATATCGACATCGGGTAAGTAATGGGCAAAAATCGATTGGGGTGAGCTTCTGGGCAAAATAAAAATGTTTAAATCACAAACAGAGATTAGAAGCTTGCGTTTCTACAAATAAAGTACCACACCGGTCAAATGTAAATAAATAAATATAAAATAACTAGGTATTTAAGTGAACATTACACTCGCATTTACAGTCTTAGTCCAACTATCGGGTAACATGCAAAAACAATGCTTACACAGAATAAGTAAAACTAGCTGAGTTTTAATTTCAGAGTAAAAGTACCTATTATGAAATTTATGGAGAACAATATTTTGGAGGGAATGTTTTAGGGTTTTTATATTATTCAAAATATACAGCTCAATATAAAAGATAAAAACCCATTTTTAATTTTAATTGTTAATAATTCAAAAAACAGTTTTGTAGTCTGTCTTTAAATTAGTGTTGTCAAAATAATATTAATGTATAAATATAATTGTATGTTTTTAAGGACGACGAAGAGAAAGAAAGAATCAAACAAGAAAGACTTAAGGCATACAGTGAAAAGAAAGCCACCAAAAAAGTTATTATCGCCAAGAGTAGTATTGTGTTAGATGTGAAACCCTGGGATGATGAAACCGATATGAAACAACTAGAACAACAAGTTCGAACTATAACCATGGACGGTCTTGTATGGGGAGCTTGTAAGTACTGCTCTTAATTTCAAGGGATTAACCTTAAATGTTTTCGACTCGTAATAATTTTAATTATTTAATTTTAGCCAAATTAGTAGAGATTGCTTTCGGTATCAAGAAACTCCAAATTATGTGCATTGTTGAAGATGATAAAGTATCTGTCGACGCACTTGTAGAAACAATTCAAGAGTTTGAAGATTTTGTCCAATCTGTGGATATTGCTGCGTTCAACAAAATTTAAACTTGTATTGTTGTTAAATTTTGTCAATTTATTTTAAAAACAAAAATATTTAAAAAAAACATACTTATTTTTACTTAATGGAAGTTGCTATTTATTTTTAATTGATTTAATTGTTTTACAATAATAATTTATAAGTTAGTGTAGGTTCAAACATGATATAAACAAAGTGTGATAGTAACCTTTTGCTAGTCACATCTTTTAGTAGATGTATGACGCCGTACAATATTTAGCATAGACATATGGTATTTAGTACAACAATTAATAAGAAATTTCATTATTGTTATTATTAATATGGATAGATGCGTAAAGATATTGCGCAGATCCAAACCTAAACTTCATTTTTTGTGATTGCTTCATGCAGTTTATATTATGGGTTTAACCACTTTAAAATATTGGTTCTATATTGAAATTACACACAATGCAATAAAAACATTTCACAGACAATTTGAAAAATGATTTTCATTTATTCTGGATTATGTTTTAACAGAAGAGTACCTTCTTATAGAAAAATTAAACTATTTTCAATTTATCAAGTAAACTGTAATCAAAAATTCAAGTTCATATTCATAATTAGGATAATTTTTTTAAAATGTATTTAAACCTTTAAATTACATTTTTTCAATCTGAATCAAATCTCACCATTTTTTCAAAATTAGTATGAAGACAATTTATTTATTTTGATCACGTATTGTAATTTGAGATTTGAAAAAAGTATTCAATGAAAACTGACAAACTTTCGGCGTTACAATTTCATTATTTTAAATTTGCACACTTTGTTTTTGACCAGAAATTCTCCAATAGAAAAACGAGATCTTTTTTTGTTGAATTTTTAATCTAGGTGGTGACTAAGAGAGTTGTTTTTGATTCTCTTTGTAGTTTTTTTAATAATGTAATAAAACCAAAAAAAAGAACAGGAAAATGTATGAACATTTTTTTATTATTCTAAATTTTATTTTTTAATATAATTCAGTTGAAAATATTTGCAGACTTGAAATTTAGACAGAAAACATTAATTTTTTTCTAGGTGTGTTCAATTTTTCAAAACATTTAAGCCATATACATATAGATATTTTAAATTTTTGAGTTATATACTCTATGGATAAAATTGTTAGACTAAACAGATATGCTTGGAAATTTAACAGGAGTTTCATTATAAGTGATACTTAATGGTCAAAAAAAGTCTGTAGTTAAGGCAATGTTTTTTTTTTTTTTTTTTTTAAGAAATTAATTTTTGATGAAAATCATATATAATGGCTTTTTAAACCTAACCAAATTTTTTTTTCTGAATCGTTTTGCGTTAGCCATGGTTGATTATTTTTTTACAGATGTAAATATAATGACTATCCTGCCTTCCCAATTATTCATCTACAACACTGACTGCACCTGTCCCCAGTATCGGCTCTTATTTTTTTTTAAATCAACACTGACTTAATTAAATGTGTTTACTAATAGTTTTATTAACTTTATTAGTTTATACTATAGCTATAGTTTTATTTTTAAATATTTTAATATTAAAGCTTATAAAATATTGATGAATTTCATTGTTTTCTCAAGAATTTGTGAGAAAATTGCTAAGAAGTTTCTGTTATGCATACATATTATGTATTGGATTATTTTTTTTAAATTGTATAGTTACTACTGGAATTCATAAATAATAATAATATGTGTAGGCCATCTTTACGTTAGCTATTATTGTTTCAAGATTGTTAAGTCCAATTGTCTAGGTAAGTCCAATATAATTATTATTACCAAGTTTCAAGTCTCTACGTGTATTTATAACTAAATTACAGCAAAAAACTCAAAAGTTTTGGCGATGATACCGTATGAAAGTGAATCAAAAAGACAACAAAACAGGTATCTTATGATTTTTCGATTTAATCATTTTTTCCAGTAAAAAACTTTAGTGTTTTTATAAAATTACGAAATCGTGAAATTGTACGTTTTCCTATGTTTTTTCCACTTAAGTGCTAGATCGCGTTATTTGAAAGTAAATTGGCGTAATCATTTTTATCATTATAAAAATCAAATATAATATATATATATATATATATTATTATATAAATATTATGTGTTATATTTTTTTTGTTTTCTGAGAGTATATAATATGAAAATGTTTAAATGTTTGCCAGAACTTTATAGGGGGGCTTAGCTGTGGCGTCGGAAAAGAGGGGTCAATTCACCCCTCAGGGGGCAAAAGTATACTTTTATTATTACTATTATTATTATCGATTTATTATTATTATAAAATGAATGCATATAAACATAATGAGTAATTCTTACAGACGTTTTCTGTCAGGCTGCTTTTGCTTTATCAAATTATATTGAGAAATTCCACCAGTCCCTGATAGTGTTCTCACAACATAGCATATTATTTATTATTCCAATATCATTAGACTATTTATAGGTTTTAACAGTTTACGTTGTTTACGATTAGGTTCCGAATGGCGATTAGTGATTACTGATTACGGTTATTAATTGAGTACGCTGTTGCGTAATACAGTATAAATGTATAATTATTAACTTTTAACAGTTTACAGTAACATTGATAATGTATAATGTATTCATTATTGTCATATTTACTAAGTTCATTTGTTTAAACACGTTACACGTACCTGCAATGGCTGTTCCCAATCCTCAACAAAATATCAAACTTTTTCAAACCGAAAACACCGGGGATAATTTAGGAACTTATACCCAACGAGGTAAGTTTATGACATACTCTCAAGTTTTAAATAAATTTGTTTTATTAGTTGTAATTAAGATTAATTACAATTAAGATGACAGATGCCCAGTAAAATAAATTTTAATGAATATTAATATTAGTAATATATCAATCATCAATATAAATCAAACTAATTTCGAGTTGACAAAACAATATTTTTGTTGAACGAATAATAAATTTTACTTTTTAGATATTATTTTTTTATTTCCTACAAAAATATATAAATTAACAACTTATGTCGTTAATGAATATTTGTAGACCGTAGTACAAAATATGTTATAGGCACCAAACTGGATTTAATTAAGATAATTAAATATAATGATTACCTACTTGTACATATTATATTATGGTATGGACATGGTTACTATGGTATTGTAATTCATGGTTAAATTTAATTTAAATAAAAGTAAATTATAATTTTTAAATGTTTTTAAATCATATAATAATGAGGACTGTTATTCCATAGTTTCATACTACTAACTGTAGTATATGAACAACATTGCCATGTTACAATTCCTCTGAATTGGATAGTATAAAACAAAATCTATTTCCATTTTGTCCAACTAGATGGCCTGTAGGGGTTAAAATTTTAACAAGATTTTTAGATAACTATAGCAGAGTTCAAAAACATTAGATGAAACGCTTTCAGGGAGTGTTTGTATAGCAGATGATAGAAAATCAACACTAAGAGGATACATGAACAAATTTAAAACAATGTATTTTTTTACTATTGCAATACATATCTTTGGTCCTGTAGAACAATTAGCAAAAGTGTTATCAAATCTTAAATTGTGTGCATCTGATTCAATTAAAGCTACAAATATATTAAAGAAAACATTACTATCGTTCAGAACTAATGACAATTTTGAAAAGATATTAAATACCATGAATTTACATGCAGAAATATATGTATTAGAACCACAAAACACCAGGCACATCCAAAAAACACCAAAACGACTTCAATACACAAATAAACCATCTACAAAATTATCACCAATATGTGAATTGAATAAATATATGTATTAAATAATTGACTATTTGATAAATGAAATTGATAGATTTAATAGTTTGATAGTTTTAATCAGAAGGTCTAAACAACTTGGTTAAATTAGAAAACATAATTGTAGATAAAAATACAAATACTCACCAAATTACTAATTGTTTAAATAATATGAGTAAGGATTTTAACATAACTAAGCTTCATGCACAGCTTATTATATTACCATATAGTATTTGTCACTAGTATTTTAGATATTATTAATAATTTGAGAAATTAATATTGAAATGTAAAAGATTCTTTGTTTTCTGAAATTACCAAATTTATTAAATTAATTTTAACAATACCAGCATCTACAGTGACTGCTGAGCGTTTTTTTAGTGCATTGAGAAGACTAAAAATATATTTGAGGTCCACAATGACCCAAAAGAGATTAACTCATATGATGATTTTGCACGTTTATAAGTCTATGACAGCATACATTGATTTGAAGGTAACTGCTAAAGAATTTGTTTCCAGAACTTCACAAAGGAAATCAACATTTGGAAATTTGTATTAATCTTACAGCCAACAATTTATATATATTTATTATTTTTATTTTATATTTATTTATATATTGTTACTTTTGAATATAATTTCAGGTATATACTTTTTAGTAAATATAATACTTTTATATTTAACTTGTATTAATTTTTATATTGTTACTTTTGAGTATAACTTTAGTTATAAAGTAAATATGTTTTATGTGTAGTTTTAATGTATAAATGTATAAATATAATGTATTTATACTTATATAATACTATAATTATATTAATGCATTCATATTATAATATAATATACTACCTATATCAACATTAAAAGAATAAACTATTAAGAAAGGTTTTCTATTGTCAATCAAAAATAAATAAATAATAATTATTAGGTTTATATGACCTCCCTTACCCTAATAAAAAATATTTCCTGCGCAACTGGGGTTTAGTGGGCTTTTTGGGGGATAAGCCCCCGCCCGGTTTTCGCCAATGAATTGGCTGCAGTGACGTGAGAGCAATAAATAATAAATGTAAACAGAGCACGAGATAAAGTTAAAAGCTCACGGTATACAAATATGAAGGGGGATACGCAAAAGTTTGAGCATCTCTAATGAGATATCTGATTTTTTTAATTAGGTCGATCTTTCACGTCTATTAAGTATGCAATATACATACAATTATTGACCCACTTATTGACTTCACTACAAAAAAAAAAAAAAGGACGGGCTATTTTACACGTTTGTACAGCTACTGTTGTAGGTGGGAAGTTGGGAAGGTTGGATACAGACAGGAATTTAATGTATATCTGTAAGCAACGATAAACTATAAGGAAAAAACGATTTTGAGTGGAGTTCAGTTGATGTTGTTGCTCAGTGGCACTGAACTTGGGGTACAGGTTGGGCGACGAAATGTATTAATGATGGGCGGGTGGGTGGTGCTAGTGGAGAGAAATACACATAGTATGAGTGTTATTTATAGAAAATATAACTATACAAAATAGTACTATGAGTAATTAATGTAATATATTACATTAAAAAAAGACCAGTATAATACAGTATTGCTTTGTTTGCCCGAATATTTTTAAATAACTCGGCGCCATTCGTATTTCGTTGTCAACAATATATATGTAATATTTTGGTAAAATGACTACAGCAATCTGCGTTTCCATGACAACAATGATTAAAATAATAAAAACTTAATAATAACCAAAAATAAATAAAAACAGTTGCTAATGACAACTTTATTTTTAATTTTACAATCTTTTTAACCTAAAGAACCAGGCTATTCTCATTATCTTGAATATTAATGAGAATTTTAAAAAATGACTTCTTTAAAGTACCACCTTAAGAACATGTCCTTTCAGAAAAGGTGCTATACTTGATAATCGGAGTAAGCTTTCTGGTAGGAAAAATATTCATATAAAAAAATAAAATAAAATAAACATCATTGTAAAACCAATACATTCCCCGCTCCACACAGAATCTAAAAAGGATTGTAATTAAAATTAAAATAATTTTTATATGTAATAATAATACTAAACATATATACTATTTTTGAATATCGGTAGTAATTTTTTTGTTGCATACCTATTTATATATTTTCTATATTTTGTTGTCCAACTAAAAAAATATCTATCTATTGTTGTACACACACGGTGTTCTTGTGTACCCATACGACAGTAACCCCAAAATGGACTCCTGTAACCTTCTATAATTAGTCTTAATGATCAAAAATAGTCGAGGGGTACTTAAAGCTAGATGGGTGTCGTCTAATTGTGTCCAGTTTTGACCTTTTTAACTCTTATCAAGTTTTGACTGCGAAAATCTAACCTAACCTAATGTATCATTTGTTTTTTAAATCCTATACCTAATTTACTGTGCGCAGCATTAAATGGCATGCGCTAAATCGTCATAAAGTAAATAAATAAATAGATATGCGATAATTAAAATAAGCGTTTGTTTATTATGTCTTCGAATGAAATGTATTTGAATATTGAATTTCAACGTAGTTAATATTTATAATTTTTTTTACAGATCTTCTTTTGGATTGTTTGGTAGGAATTAATTGCAGATAATTAATGCGGTTAGTTATTGAAAAAAAACTCACCGTTGAATTTGATTTTATACGTATTGAATTTGTATGATATTTTAATTTTAAATATCTATAATTATGGCTTTACCCCATTACGGGCTGTCTTGAAAACTTGATTATAAATTAATTATTATCTACCAAAGGATAATCTTAATCAACCGAATAGCACGAACGAAATGAATGATTTAAAAATTCACGCACTTGTGAAACTAAATCAGGAAAATGTACGATTCTCCCCAAAAATAATGAAAAATTTAATAATCGTAATTCAGTTCCCGAAATATTAATTGTCGAAAACAATACCATTAACAGTGATTTTTGTAGCTCCATTGCTATATTTTCTTCAAGCTCTAAGGTTGAAAGCTCTTGGTTTCAACCAAGGCTTCAAATAAATTGAAAAAGAATCAATTGAAAAAAAGAATTCGTAAAAATAAAATACCGCATAAACCTATTAGTTACACCACGTTATTGTCAATGGCACAATACACAATTAAATGTAATACAAGTCGATAACGTGGTACTTAATGAATTCGATAAATAAAAACAAAAAAGTAGTTACACCTTGTTGAAAAAATTGAAATAATAAAAACTTGACTATGTATCCAAAAATTGTAATAACAATAAGTTTAATTCTAAAACATTGATGATCCAAAAGTTAGTTGAGAAATCCGCAAAAGTTATTATAAATAATGTCAATAACAAACCACATAATAGAGAATCTGGTAAAGTGGCCAGTACTGAACTTGCAGAAACGTATTTAAAAATAATCAAACTAAAATATCTCAGAAACGTTTTAATAGGATCACAAAATCGTTACATTTAAATGTAAACAAAGACGATGGCCTGGTACCTAATAATAATAATAATAAATAATAAACTCGACGAAAAAAAACGAAAACGTGATAGTGACTCGTTTGAAAAATTGAAATTAAAAAAAATTGACGATGTAAAGAATATCAGTTAATGTCTCCAAACTGACGATTCGTGTAGTACGGAGACTAAAAACAAACCGGAAGTTTTTGTAGACAAACCTATTGCACCAACAGAAACAACTTCTACAGTGAGCGCTGAGCAATTGGCCGATGCAAATTATGAACAATTACGGAAAATAAACGATTTAAGAACGCTCGAACGTGACATTGATCTCATTTCAAAAAGTTTCACGTCGTTATTAATATCGTCGATTGTTTATGGACGATTTTGAAAATGATCTGAAACGTGGTCGAAATGTTAAACAGTGGAAATGTATACCTGTTATACCTGTTATTAAACAGATGCCTACAGTGTATCATTTAATTGTATGGTACTTGTTATAATATGCATACCAGGTGATCCATTTAAGTGGATACATTCATTAACTCGGAAATAATTGACTTTTTTTGGAATTTATTTTCTGGATCATTAAGAAACAAACAGATCTATGATTTTATATTTATGTTATTTTATGTCACCCTTATTTTTGGAGGTGCCGTACCGCCACACAAATTATACTCCGCTACTCCCTTCTAATTCTCGTAAACGTATTGACGGAAATCAAAAATGTCAACACTAAATTTAACTTTATTTAATTAACACTAAATTTTACATACATTTTAGTGCGTTAAGTCGGGTCCACACTCGAGCAATATATAGCAATTTTTTCAGTTGCAACATGTAAGTTGCTTATTCAAAAGTTGACAAATTTGTCCAAATGTCGCTGCATGTTCATATTGCCAACAACAAAAGTTCCCATTTATTTTGATAAATATTTCCAATCTAAATAAATTTAAAGAAATTCTCTACAATGAAAAAACCTCAAAATTACTTTATCATGTATTTAACGTAAAAATGATTTAATTCTAGTATTGACTGTATTAAAATGTTTCATATGTGTGAACACTTAGTTGCAAGAAATACAGAGCAACAGGTTTTGAATTGTTTTTATTGAGTTTTTAGTTGCTTTGGTGTGGATAGTATGTTTATAAATGTTTCAGTTTGTTCCAAGGAAACAAAAACTGATGGCAACATTTGTCATCGTTGAGGAACTATTTGTTATACTAGTGTTTACTCTGCTCTACAGGGTTTCTACAGAGCGTTCCGTGTTCTAATCTATAGTATTTGGTAACATATAACTAAGTACACATGTTACCAAATACTATCCTAAGTACACATAACATATTTGAACATTTCGATGTTGAACATATAGAAACACAAAGTTATATTTCATACTTTTCGCATCATAAGCCATTATTCACAATTACTGGTTGATGTAAATAAGTAGACCTCAAGATCAGGACACAAGACAAATTAATGATCTTATGTTATTCACAAGAGGGTGATATTTTTTGCTCTATTTGTGATATTATATATGGCTAAAAAATGTTCCCCTCAAATTTTTTTAGTATACAGTGGAAGGGATTCTAAGAATTGTGTTTTATCCGGATTCTCGGATCCAATCCATCATTCCGGATCTCGGATCTAATCCGTTAATTTGTCTAATCTGGGCTGAATACTTAACACATAGAAAGTAGATACTTGATATCATCTAACGAGGCAACTTGGAACAGTTAAACGGATATTATGTTAATTTTTTTAAATAAATAATTTATATTATAATCCGGATTAAACGGATTGTAACGTAATCTGGATTTGGATTGATCCGGATTTAATGCTCAGCACTAGTATACACTTACTTTTTTATGATACCTATGGGAACACACCTTTTGTTTGGTCTCAAAGGAAAAAAATTAACTTTCTCTACACACTCGTAAGCAATTCGATTTTGTTATTAAGTATACGTACGTACCTAAATAAATATCGTGTCGTCACACTCGGTGCGTCCTACGGTTGGTCGATTGTCGGACGCCTCTCCTGGTAGCGGGTCCCGCCCCTATTGGGACCGGCGTTCCATCAAAGGACTTGCGTGCGTAGGTTGTACGAAAACGGTACACAAGGACAGACGTCAGTTTCGCCCGGTAACACACGTTCATAATTCGCAATTTACGTTATTATAATATAATTTGTCGAGTATAAAATATTATACACATATAACGATCGATTTTCGCAGGATTTATTCGATCGGTCCGGTTTTTTTTTACTGGCCGGTAATCTACCCGGAAACCACCGAACCCGACGCCGCGAAAATCAAAAAATTCTCACCGTTCTACGCGGCATAATACACCACACAATACATAGATTCTGTGTTTGATTTCGATAAATTATGATTAACAGTCCGTGTGAGCAACAGGCAAACGAATCGATAGATCATCCGAAAATACTATCATCTGTAAGTACCACCAAATATAATTCTATTATAAAAATACGATTGGAATACACGTATTATACTTTTTATAGGTTTTATTATACATATAAAAAACAACAGATTTACAGATTAGATTTCCTAGTTTTTTTTTTTTTAAGGATCGTTTATATTTAAATTTTAAATGTCTGAAATTGTTCCCAATACGGTTTTGATGGACTATTACGATTTTAAAATTGAATTATATCTATACAGTTTTTTTTATTATTTGTTCTACTTGGTTTTAGAAACCACCTATATAATAACATATTGTATTTCATTATTTTTGATTTTTTCGACAACAGTTATACTCACCTAATATACATCATAGTTTATATTGATCCCATCATTGCACTCAATTTTTTTTTTTTAAGAACACCATTGAATTATATGTTTTTAAATGGTTATCTTAAATAAAACTAACTAGAGATATAAAACTATTATTTCAAATCTGTAGGTATTTTATAATATAAACTTAACTTTCAAAAATAATAAAATAAAATACAATTGCTTATACGTAACTTTAAACATTTTTAACCAAAAAAAATTATATTTCTATTTATAATAGACTACTTACCACATCGTCCGACCACGACGACGCGACGCGGTAGCAATCATAGATAACACATTTCTTTATTATTTATATGGTCACCAAGTATTAAGAATTCATACAAATTACTGTGTTATCATAATATTGTGTAAATCATTGTTTTTTATAGTATTTGTTTAAATACTCGGGGTACTTAATATTCACACGTAGAACATTTTGTTTCTATTAAAATAGTTTTTCACTTTCAACTACGGTTTGCAACAGTAGGTATTGTTTTGAAGTTATATAGAGTTTTTTTTGTACCGAATATTTCTTTGATTCTTAACGCAGCTATATTGAACGTTTTACTAGCTAGAGAAACGCGCGATCAAATGCATTCACATAGAATCTTTTGAATCCAAACCCTCGACGTGAACCGAATTCAATTTTTTAAATACTTCTAAATATAATATAATCTATTATTGCAGTACCTACCTATTTTTATTACTTGCTGCTGTCGTGCGTGTATAATATGATATTATGTAAAATGCCGACCAAATAACAATTGATATTAAATTATATAATGTATTATATTGTTATATTGATGTTATGTATCAATGATATAATGGTAATACGTCTGCACATTTCGAAAAAACGAAAATAATTTATAATAACATATTAACAGAAAATGAAGAAGAAAAAAGGAAAATGCAGTAAATATTACATTTGTTTAGTACTTTTAGTTAATATTCACCAATAATTACAAAACCGGTAAACACTTTCGTCGATAGTAATAATTTTCAAGTGTCTATTATCATTTTGTATTCGACAATGATATCTATCTAAAATTATACATATTAGGTATAGGTTCCTACTTACCTATTTCATAATTTGTACTTATCGTGAAATATCGTGTTTTTTTAGTAGTATACTGGTAAATGGTTGACCGTGCGACTATTTTTCATATATGCAGTGCTAGTTGTTAGGAATTTTTATTATAAAGATATTAATTTGTATACAGGCAACGTCGACATAATACATAAATCGCATAACTTCTAAACAATTGTTTCGAATTCGCAGTCACATATTAAAATAACTGTATGATTTCATTATTTCAGTTATTATTATGAAATAATATTATTAAATCATTGGTCATATAATTATTATTTTTTTGGGAAAAACGTCTGCAGACAGATATATAGAACCTTTAGGACGGTATTTCTAAACTTTTTTACTGATAAACGAACACTTTGTACTATCTATTGTTTGAATTTCATACCGCGGATACTTTGTACGATAGAAATAATCTGGGAAAGACGTGAAATAAATTTTACAAGATAAGATAAAATTAAATTCCTCAAAACTTTAGATCAGTCTGAGTTTGGTGATTCAGTAGAACATAATCAGATCGAATACACTATGAACCAAACTATTCGATTTTCCATTTGTGTCAGAGTCTATAGTGACGAAATTTAGGATTATCCAAAATATATAAAGATAACGAACAAATTGAAAACAATGTAAAATGATAGCATCTTTAGCGTTTTTGCCAGTTGAAGAAATACGTAATGAAATAGTGATTATGTATTTAACTTTTACCCAAGAACTATTTCCATTAATATCTTACTTTGACTCAACATATATTATCGAAAAAAATGGCACACCTAGATTCCCTATACAAATTTGGAATGTTAGACATCAAACGATTAATAATTCACATAAGACAAATAATTTTTGTGAAGGATGGAACAGTTAATTCAATATATTGATTGGATCGGTTAGTCCAAGTTCCTGGAGTATTTTTAGATCATTGCAATTAGATGAATGTGCTAGTTATTTAAAAAAAAATATATAATTAAAAATCGAAATACACAAAAATAATACACGAAGCTTGTATATACAAAATAAAATAATAATAAATACACAATTACTTGAAATAATTGATCATACTTTTAATTTTTAAATTTATATATAATTATGACTTATAATAAATTTACAGTGAATGTTTTAAAAATTCACGAAGTCTGTACATAGCACGAATTTATTATCATTATTATTATTTATGCCTGTTAACTACCTGTGTTTTTTTTACATTGTACAAACTGTTCACCATATACATTTTATTATCATCTGAAATAGTACTAACTGTCCGCCATACTGACTGTTGTTACTACCTAAAATAGTACAAACTGTCCGCGGTTTTTATTCTTTCTAGGTGACCGTACAAAGTGCCCGTCAACCCTTTTACTGTGGTGACCCCTACATGTATTTTTTTTGTATACATTCGCATAGATTATTATTAGTAGTGAATACCAGAAGTACTATATATTAGGAATATAAAATAAATATAATATTGTAATTATTATTAATTTAAAACGACGTTTATTTGTCATAGTTGTATATCGAATATTCAATTTTAATCTCAATATCATTTTTAAATTAAGGTTCTTACCAATTCTTGGTTTGATAATAGAGTTTGTTAAACTAATCCTCGCGATTCTCGGGTCGAAAAACACTACAGCTATAGGCTATAGGGTAATTCAGTTTATATATAGTTACCCAATCAAAAACCGATTATGAAAGGAGTTCGTTCATGGGTTTTCCGCTTGGCACAATTTCTATGTATCTACCTATCGACATCTGTTACTTGCTTTTTTTTAGATTTTTAGAAAAACTGTCAGGAATCTAGAAATCGTTTGTAAATACTACCGGGCGAAACATTTGAAAATTATAATGTGAATAATTTGGAGCTTATTGACTTTTCGGGGCTTTTTGACTTTTTTTTGAGTTTTTTCGATTAGCAAAAGAACTGAATAATAATTACCTTTGGTGGTGAATTGTTGAAAATTTCAAAAAATATTTTAAAAAGGTAAAAAAAAACATGGCAGGAATATTGCATTTTTTGACGGTACCGCGAGGAAAAATTGGAACATTTAGTGCGAAAAAATATAAATTCAATTCTTGTTGAAAAAGTATTGGGAATTTTGAAAAAAATGTTTGAACATTGAAAATGTCGTCAGTATTATTGTGTTTTGTGCGAATAATAATGTTTCCATATTACATTTTAAAAATCTACAGATCACCCTTAAATTTAAAAAAACCGGACGCACTTCGCACCACTTGTATAGGCCACTGATGTAATAGCTGTGTAAAGTTCGAAAGGATAAATAAGGCAATTTATAGTTTATATAGAAAACGCAAAATCATAAATCATTGCAATAAAAACGACTCTGAGTGGATTAGTATTAGTCGCGGTTTTACTCCTTTGCGAGGTAACTCAGAAATAAATGAAACTGCAGAAACCGTCGAAATGTGCCAAAAGTTTTTTGAATTCAATATAGAAATCTGTTGGGAATCTGGCAATTTTTTAAATGTTTTTTTTGAAAGAAAGTACCGCCGCGAAGAAATATCTGCATCCTTCAATGTTACGTGGCGACAGAAAGTCGTGGCGAAAAAACGTTTATCGAGAGCGAGAGAGAGTGAGAGAGAGAGAGGGAAACCGCGCGTCTTTGTAAAACTCTATATAATTATGAAAATCTAAAATATCCTTCTCGACTATATAAAAATATGTTTAACGTAGACACGGGGAACCGTCGTGAAATAATAATAATAAAAAAAAAATCAACCGACAATCGCGGTCGACATTCGGTGGCGGCGGAAATGCGACGTGGAAATGGTTTCCCGGTGCCGCGTTATTACTCATTACTATTATTATTATTAAGGCGGATTGCGGGCGGCCGGGAAAATAGTAAATGACTTTCCGAACGATCGCGCAAACCGAATTACGGGCGTGGAGCCTTCGGCGCGTCGGAAGATTTTGCCGAAAGACGCGCGCGACGGGTCGCGTGCAATGTCGCGCGGGCCCCGCGTGGGTAACGCGCGCGGCCCGTCCCTGTCGCGGTAATGTGATTTCGACGCGGCGGCGGTTTTCCCGTTTGCGTTCATTTCCGGGACCGCGCGCGGTGTTTCCGGGGCCTCGGTCGCGCCGCGGCGAAACACTCCGAGACGGCCGAAGACGCGCCGCGTTTCCCGTAATTTTTTTCGCTCCCCGTTCGAGTTATCCGTTTAGCGGCAACGGCGCCTGTGTAAATCCGCATTATACAGCGGGCATACGCGCGCAGCAGTGCAGGTGTACCCATCAATTTTTTTCTTATCTTTTATTTTTTTCCCCCGAGAATATACGTCGTGTTAACGTGCGGGATCATATTTTGTATTTCCCGTACGGTTTATGCCTGTACCTCTACACTGTTTATAGGGAAATAAATATACCGATTAGCAATGTCGTTGTATTATTCCGTACGTTTCTAAATTCATCGGTTTGGTGGTCAGCCGCTGGATTAGCATGTTCCTAATTATACCGTAGATATAGCAAATCCGCAGGAGGGGATATAGTCAAACGGATTCTCTTATCAGCGATCCACTAATTGTTGGCCGGTTGATAATAAAACCACAGTTGGATTTGTTCGCGCGAAAATTCACTGATATGAATATATTTGATAAAGTTAATTAATTCATAACTTTATATTAATTTATCTTTCTAGTTCATCGTGTGTTTTTTCGTGCATTTTAATCTTTCAGAAATTAGATGTATTAAAATATACAGATGTTTACAAAATGGAAATCCGATATCTAGATATTGTGTTTGTATACATACTTTAGATATAAATAACGTACAGACTTCATTTTAAACAATTAACACTTACTTTACTTAAATATAAGCAATGAACTTAATGATTCATGTTAATAGTTGATAAGATAATAATTGTGGTTCGAGCGTATTAACAAAAAAGGCGTTCCTATAAGTTCCTATCAATCCGCCGAACAATCTGCTACATCAGTAGATGAATTTAGGAACATACAAATTATCCATTTGAACGATCAAAATTAAAAAGACGGTGCACGTGAGTGAGCCACTGTTGTGGGTGAGGAGTCAGGAAGGTAGTAGAGGAGAAATTTAACGTATATCTGCACGCGACGATTAACCGTTGCAAACGAAAAACGATTCTGATTAAAGTTCGGTTAACAATATATATTGTATAATATTATGATAAAATAATTAAATGTGTATTAAAAATTGTTTTTAGTAATATTTATTTAATATTGTACTATTTCCCGTTTTTCCTACATTTTTTCCCATTTATTAGGAAAACTGGGAATATAAAAAACACCACCCTAAAGTACTACCCCAGTCAGATTTCCTTTTAGAAAAAACGCTATCATTGTAAATGGGAGCGAAATTGCTTGTGAAATTGCTAGTAGAAAAGTTCTCCACAGAAAAAAAAATTGCGATGGATAGTTAATGACGTGTAATACAATAAATAATGTTATTAATATTTTTTCTAGTTCAACGAACGAAATTCATTGTACACGGGAATAAATGAAAACGGCTTAGTGGATGTAGACAGCAAGCGAAATGACGTATTCGACGTTCCCCAACAAACGGGTAAGTTTTCCAGTGGCAAACGACATTTAACAAATATATTTTTAACATTATTACGTTTCAAATATACAGATAACGTTTACGTACATTTATCAAGCAAACCGATTAGCCAAATGCTAGAAAACTGGAATCAAGAAGGTAATTATATAATATAAACATTATTTCGATAATATATTAGACTTTACGTTGATTTACTCTCATAATATTCCTAAATATGCAATGGTATTTCTTAAACTTCTGACGCAGAAAAAAATTACGTGTTGGGTTTTCGGAGGAGATTCATAAGTAAGGCTCGGGACTTGTTGCACATAAAATCCACAAAAAAGCACTTAAAATCGTTAAAAAGCCTCAGAAAATTGCATTTGAAAAATATTATTATTAAGGAGTAAAAATAATACCTTTCAGACCTGGAATTAATTTTTTGAGTTAGATTTTTTTCCTTTATCAATATTTATAATAATGGGTTGCTTTTTTAGACAAAACAATTTTTTTTTACTGAATGTTTTACTAAGTTATTAACATGTCCTCAGTAGAGGACATCAAGCATTTACGGAGTTTTAACTTAATATTATTTGTATTAATTTTAGTGAAGAATTGACGTTTGTATACTTATTGATTACTCTAATATCACGAAGGAAAAAAATATCAGATTTTTAAAGTCAAATTTTCAATTGTAAATTGCACATTTTTACTGTCTGTGACAATCAAAAATGTCATATCAATATTTTTCAAAAACGTGATAAGAGTTACGTCCTTCATTTTCTGATTTTTGTAAACTACATAATCTATGGGTAATATGGCGTGCAATTTTAAATTGTGATAAATAACACTTAAAAAAATGTCCTTCTCATGGGACATCATATGTGAAAGGGTATACATCGCATAGGTATCTAACGTGAAATAATTTAATTGCACTGACGCAAAAAATGTATTTGATTTTACGGCGTGACGGTTAATCGCTTTAAGTACTTTTTGCAACTATATATATTATATAATATCGGTACTAAAACTGTACGTATACGGCTTAATATATATTTCCGTTCAGGAAAGTTACAATGTATACCTTACCTATAAATACATACCTTGTCTGTACTTTAGGAAGACTAATTTTAAGTTTTATTTTAAGGGATGAATAAAATATAATACGATGTCCGGACAATATATATACTTACTGCACGTCATTTGGCGACGACGATGCAGCAAAGCGTCTTTGAAACGAGACAACACTGCGCTTCGGTGTCTTGCTGTGAACCCTTTAAGTAGAATATTTTAGCGGGGGGTAAATCGTTTTCGTTTTGTGTTTTCTTTTTCTTCCTATCATTGTATTTTATGTTTTCGATTTAAAAGACCTTTGATCATCGTATCACATACAAACATAATAATATGACATATAATATGTTGAAAAATCGTAAGAAGTCAGAAATATTAACGTAATTGTACGCGTATAGATAGTTACATTATATAAATATAAAGAAAATATGGATATGATTTTTTTTTTTCACGTGACAGTTTGATCGTGTGCTTTATTCACTTTTTACATAGTAATGTATACGATTACTACACCGCCCCTATAATACTCTGCCGTATATCTACTACTGGACAGTTACCTATATGTCTTATTACTTCGAAGTCAGTAACTATTACGTATATATTTTATGGGAGAAACCTACATTTTTAACGTTTTACCACAGATATATAATATGTGATACCTATATGTATAATAAAGTTAACTGGTGAAGTCACTATATCCGCCATTTTAGTCGAGCTAGCGTGTTAAATTTTTTGCGTGTATACACAGTTATATTATTAACCTAACCTAACTGAGTAGATTAAAATAAATATAATATTTTACCTAAATCGGTGTAATCTGTACGAGTGTATAACCTGTTATTACGATATTTTATTGTTTTTATCTACAATTATCACTACCCTAGTAAACTAGAGTCAAAATTCACGTGTTTCAAACTACAATCTCAAAAAATATAAGGATAAAATTATAAGGACTGAAATCTTAACTTTTGATGGTGGTTTGAATTTATTATCCTAAATTAGACTTAAACAAAACGTATTTTGGATTCTGTTATTGTACAGAGAAATTCTAACTCAGTTTTTTTCGATTTCTAAAAAATATGATTTTTGGAACACTTGAGTTCCCATACTCACTTGTTTGTGCACAAAAAGATCGTTCGATATTGAAGTGATTTGTAATTGTGACTTTATTTTCAGGGACCGATAAAAATCGTTACGAATAAGTAAACACGAAAAATATTTTAAACAAATTTGTTATAAGTCTACAAATGCTGGTATACATATGTATAAAATATAACGATAGAAATTATACAAACAAATACAAAACAAAATACATTTTGTATTATGGATTTTTTTTTTTTTTTAATGGAACAAAATAATAATCAATAATGTATCCTCTGCAAATAATACACTGCGCAAAAGTGCACCGCGGAAATCTCTTAACGGATCATTTTGTTATAATTGTGTTATACACGGTCACGGTTGCCATATTATGTATATGTATATACGATAATGTACTGATGTGTGTACTCTGTTGTAAATAAAAGGGTAGTAGGTCGTCCCGTGAAAAATCTACGCCGAATTAGCCCTCGGTCGTGAACCGTGGGGTCAGATTTATGAGTCGGAAAACGTACCGAGGGCAGCTGATGCTTAACGAGGGCTTTTTGATATTGAAAATTTGGCAATCATTCATATCACTCCGGACTCGCGCCTATAACAAATAACAATAACTATAATATACCTACTGCAGTAATATTACATCGCCACAAAAGCAACCCTCGAGAAAACGAAACGGTTTCTTGCAATAGTGTATTGAAACGAAATTCATGTATATCTAATCAGTATTCGGCCAAACGGAATCGCGAAATGATAATCGTCGTATATCCACTAATATTGAGTTCTTTTCCAGCGCCAAAATCAAATACGCAATGAAAAATCGAAATATTAATATTATTTACGTTTTGTACTACTATAAGCGTATTGGATTGTCGAATGTTTTATAAGCGAAAACAAAATCAAAACAATTTTATTTTATTACATTTTTACCGTACATTTTTGTTTAGACCGCACCATGGTTTACCAACATAATTCAATGAAATCGGATTTAAGATCTTCAGACTGTTGCGGTAGGTCCACACGATATTTCACCGATCATTATTATCCTCATTCGCCGACCAACTTCAGGTAATATAGAAAATAATAAATTGTTTATTAAAAATAATAAAATAAGTGTTGCAAAATTTTAGCGGTTGAAAAAAAAAAAAAATTAGAACCTGCTATATATACATTAATAATAAAGGAAGTGTTTGTGCGCGATTCGTAGTCCCATCTATATTACACGTCGTAAAATGTACATACAGAAAAAGATTTCTATAAAATTCAACCCTGAAAAGGTTGCTGACAGTGTTTTCGGTATTTTTGAAACAAAAATCGAATTATTTTTGTTGATTTATTGGTTACCTTGGTGACATGGATATATCATAATAAAATAAAATCGTATTATATCTGATTTTACACGGGTGAGAAACTGATAAAAACAAAAAGAGAGACAGAGATGACACGGGAAGTTACAGTAAAGTGAATTTAATGTATCTTATCCCGTGCTCCGAATCAGTCTTACATCTGTCACCATAAAAAAAAAAAATCAATTTTCGTATTATAAATACCGAAATTCCTGTGTGGCCATTCTTTAGGAGTTGAATTTCGGAAATTCGGTCTCGAGGTGTACACACAGATGGCCGTTCATAAGCTTCTGTGTGAAAATGATCAGTCCTCTGCATTTGTGCGGTACATTCAGATGTGGACTGTACACCGACACGCAAATCCTACCTTTTATTGTCATATAAATAGAAGATATTATAATCAACCATAAAATTTAAAAGATAAATTATGTTGTATACAAAAATATATACAAAATATGATATTTATGAAAATGTCGAAAAACTGTGAGAAAGAATCCGTTTGAAATTGTTCAAACGGCGGTCGTGGTTGTGAAATTATTAATTTGTATGTCATATATTATATTATGATTATAATTCATATTGTATATACTGCACTGTTCGAAATAATTAAGTCCATGAATAGGGCACGCCTGCACCACACCGCTGTGTGCATTTCAATTTTTAATACAAAGGGTTAAACGGTCGCTCGTCATAAGCTACTTGGACCCTTTCCATTCCCTTAAATTATTAACTTGATAATTATTTACGGGCTTCTCGTTTGTTGGCTTTTCAAAAGATTATTTAAAACCCACACCACCGACCCGCGCGAACCTCTCAGAAGAATCGTGTATAATCCTCTTTCTGCAATTTGTTGTATTTCAGTATAGTATACACTATACTGTTATTACATATTATTTAGGTACACCGCCACCGTGCTATTATAATTACATATCGATAAACATCTTACGGCTTGCACTTATAGATACCGTTTACTCATCAAACACACTATGATGTCCCGTATGTAACTATAGGTATTCCAAATTCTATAATACTACGGCTATACATTAGGGTAGTTTACAAACGGACTTAGAGAATGTTTTTCGAAAAGTCACATCCCTACCATTGATAATTATTCCCTATATTATTGAATTTTATGTTTCCAAGATTTTTTTTTTTTTTGGGCCTTCACAAACCAATCGGCTTATTCAATTAATATTATCATATTCCTTCACTGCAGTTCATAAGTTTAACACAAGCTGGTTTATGTACTAAATGTTTTATTATATTACTGTAATATAGCTGTAATACATGGATTTTTTTTTTTCTATAGAAGTCTAGCCACGAGAAATTTGTATTGCGATTATTATGACCCGCACAAGAAAGATCCAGAATCCAAGTATTACGGACAGGACGCGAACGGTAACGCTACTAAATACACGACACAAGGCAAGTATAATAACTCTTATCGAAAACTATTATATATCAATAATAATATATACCCGAATGAGAGAATTTTTAATTATTAAAACTTAGAACACGCTAATACACGGTCTACTAAAACTTTACCAAGCTTGGTAACAAATAATAGTTCTCAAACATTACTTATACCTACATAATACGGCTCAACTTAACTCGCTTTATTCGTGCGGAATTCTGATTTTTAATTTAATTTTTTAACCTTTAGACAGATATCCGTATACCTATGTATACGTTTAGAATACATGCATATATTATAGGGACATCGAAAGTATACTGATAATAAAAATTCCGGTCACGAAGACGATCTCTCATCGATATGCGTTATTATAACAATGAGGAAAATCTAAAAAAAAAAAACTAATTGAATATAAATATTATATTATATAATACGCCCGAGGGTGCAGATGGCTGCGACGCGGTTGTATCATCGGACGTAGTAAATCCTGTGGTAAAAAAAAAAAAAAAAAAAAAAAAAAAAAAAAAAAAAGGAAAGAAATGAAGAAACATTCCGGACACGTACTGATTTGCCGCCAATATTCAACGAAAACAAGCGGTTCAATTTTCACCTAGTACCTATATTGTAATATTTTTTTCCCCGTGCGCGCGTTCGAAAATTAAATTAAAAAAAATATCGCGACACTCGCGAAAAATGTTTTATATAAAAGCCCCGTATACGTATATATAATATCATACTGATCAAAATGAACGCGAATTATATTATTATTATTATGCGAGGGCGTCGACGAGACGGTATATTATTATTAAAACGCCGCGCGGAGTTGCTCTTGGCGAAACCGAAAACAAACACCATCTAATACCGCGCTTGTGTTTAATTTCGGAAATATAATATAATATAGGTACCTAAAATATTGGCTTTGCGCATAATATAATACAACCAGTGTTGGGAAAGCTCCTTTTAAAAAGGAATTCGTTCGCGTTCCTCGTTACTAAATGTTCACGAATAAAGTAGTTTTTTGATTTTCCAAGTAGTTTTCATAATGATTGAGAAAACCGGAAAAAGACGAAAAATGAAAAACGAACAAATTTACCGCGTATAATTCCATTATTTTCAATTTTTACGCTCGATGTGTTTTATTTGAATTATTGTCCCAATAAAAAAACAATAAGACACCTTTTTTGTTGAATTTTTAATCTAGTTGGTGGTTTATCCTGTAGTTTTTTAATAATTAAGCATAATCTAAAAAACCTAGAAAGAACGGGACAATTTTGGAGAGATTTGTATTTTTTTAGAAATTCCCAGACTATCTACAGTACCACTGACAATAGCGAAGAATATGTCAGGGGTGAGATATTAGCAGAAATTCGAATTATTATTTTCTAATCTCAATAAGCTGTTTTTGTCTCGAAAACGGATATCTATTATAGGTTCGTGAATATTCTGCAAAGCTCGTAGACTGCGTGTCTCAACCGTCATACCACTCATACCTGCTGCACCTGACCTATAGCATATTATTTTTAGTCGCGTATTATATTGTACTACTACAGTGTTGTAGTAGTCTCGTATCAGGTCTATACGTTTTTATTGCCGAATTATACGATATTATCGTGTATAGAACAATATCGTTCGTTCACCCGCCAAATTCGTTTAAAACGTGATTAATTTTTTTTAAATATTATTCGCCAATTTAAATTTAAAAATTTTTGTTTCAGCGTTTAAGACGTTCGTACAGGTAGGTACGCGCGTAATACCTGCGCCTGTATATAGTGTACACAGCTATCGGTTATACACCTAGCAGCTGCAGTATATTACGCTATACATTAATGCACTGTGTAATTATTTTAAAAGCGGGCGTAAACGTGCCCAATCGCCTTGAAACTTTCACACGTCAACGTCCAAAAACAATATAATATTATTAGTGCGGAAAACAACTTATACCAAATATTTTCGGTCGGAATAAACGTATTATTACCTATAATATTATTATACAGAGTGGACTGTCCGAGGCATTTGTCGCATACAAACTGCATACCTATATAATATACACGATACACTTTCCAAACAAATACAATTATTTAATACAAATGTGGCGTTTAACTTAAATAAAGCAACAGGAGCGGCTGTATAACAATTCTCAGGGGAGAGAAAATGCAACTGGGTTTCTAGGAACAAACATTTCTAAAGTCCTTTGTATATTCATAATGCATATGCAGAAATAAGAACACAGTTAGGGCCTGTGAAAATTGTTAGATATAGTTTTGATATAGGTTTATTACGAGAAGGCGAATCAATAATCGTCAAAGTTATGCGCCGTGTACTGCTTTCCAAAGTAAACGAAAAACAATTTTTGCGGGTCTTAATATTTTTCAGAGGAGGAAATGCGTTCCTCCCTTCCAGTGGGCACACGCGTGTCGACACATTCGTTACAGTTTGAAATTCGAAAGTTTATGCCGTTTTTAAAAAACACACTTAAGTAGAATTTCCTTTCTAGATTCCAAAATCAAAAAAGAAATTTAAATTGTGTACGTTCGCAAGTTTATATTTTGATTGTATTATACATCACTAGGTATCTATTCTGACGGTGTTCGAAATGTCGGCACTAAAATTTAATTTGAAACGGACGGTCAACACAAATATGACTAATAAAGAGATTAGTAAAAAAAAAAAAAACCGAAAAATTTGACGAGATAAAGAATAGCAAAAGTATGATTTATTATATAATTACGCGTTTTAAATTTTAAACCATATAAAAAGAGAGAAAAAACTAAAAAAATCTACAGATAAAATTTTGTTGCCAGTAATAATTTCCACCAATTTTCCGATTTCCATTAAAAACCATTTTCATAATAATATCATCACAGTACCTAAACATAATAACAATACGTCGTATATTATTTCATTTTATAGATTTTGAAAGCTAGGAATCTTTATTAATTATACAGTGATATTTATCTTAGATACGCCGAAAATATTGAAAATCCCGGAAAATCACGATCAAATTAATTAAATTTTTTTAGACACTGAGTGCTCAACTTATTTTTTATTTTTACTATGTGTTTTTTGTTTTTAGCTTTTAAATTAACGGTTTTTTTCTGTCTGTAAATGACTTTTCTACAGGGCTGGTTTCTGGTAGTATTTGTCTACCTGGTGCATTGTTGTGTAGGTCATTTTTTGATTTTCCTTGTAGTTTTTTAACAATTGGGAAACGCCTAACAACCTATTTAAGTGTGGGTATTAACTATACATCATGCTTTACGTGTTATGAAATACTTGGGCGTAATTGGATACGTTATAAAAAAAAAAAAATACAATATAATTGGCAAAACCGCGAACTTATATTAAAATAAATACTAATATACTAGAAACCAGTATACGATAAAACCGATTTTACACAGTATTATTATAGCGTCGATTATTTTTTATTTTAATCGATACCCACACAATGATATCGGTATAATACAGCGATGGCGAATGACGATAGATGTGATGACAAAAGATCATGCCATTGTGTCATAGGCTTTAAAAAAAAAAAAAAACAATAAGTTGTGTGCCTGCTATATAATATTTTTTTTGATAAGATATTTATTCTTTAGATATACAATACATCGTATAAAATATAAATAAAGAATTATATCTACTTTTTTAAGCATAAGCTTGTGATGGAGTAGAGAGTTAAAAATAGTAATATAAAGCGCATAAAATTAATATAAAAAAAGACAGATTGGATGCATCCTTTCACATTAAAATGGAAAGAAACGAAACTCTATAAAATAGATAAAATAAAATACAAAAATAAAATATGAGACTGATTAATTAAAATCAGTTTACAAAATAAATGAACTGTGTTACATAAACTTGTTATAAAGTTAAATATACAACACTACATAAATACGTATAAGAAATAATATCAAAATAAAATAAAATTATCATTATTCGTAATTAATATTAAATAACAATAGATTAGAAATAAAATCACCGGGATGTGGATTTTCATTTAAGAAGTAATTAATTCTGAGAATAGCCATTTATAGATTACTTTTTTCCCATTAACAAAACCTCCATGAATATTTTCTTTGTATAACGTTGGCATCCGGTTAAAATATGTTGACAAATAGTCAACAGAAGATTGTCCAAAGGATTTTTTTGTATAACACTTTTTATACAATTTGTGATTACTATGATTATTTTGGTTTGTCTTATTTTTTTTTTCGACTATACCGTCGATATCGATTATCGGTTTAGTTTCGTATACGCCCACCCCAAATAATATTGAAACAAGCCCGTACGAAAACGGTGACGATTCGCGACAAGTGCAGCGATCTATAATACCGCGTGTCCAAAGATGATTCGAAAAGCGAAAAACCGCACACGCGGCACATAATACCGTGTACTTATTGTTAACTACACGAGTACTGCTATAATAATAATTTATATTACACATTATATACTGCAGCACTGCAAGTATAATAATATTATATCGTATTCGATTTAATATTATAATATTATATAATATGCGGTTTTTCATCCTCGACTAATCGCCACAGCGGCCACCCTCTCGGCCGACCCCTCGTCGACTTTATGTATTATTTATAAAATAATAATGCGTATAGTATCGTATTATTATTGCAGTAGTATACTAGTATTAATAGTATTTATCGTCGTCGTCGTTGTTGTTGTTGCAGTTGCAATTGCAGTAAGTTGATGATGATAATACGATACGTCGCGAATTATAGCCCCTCGTTCGTTACGTGGACCCATTATCACGAGCTCGTCTATTTTTCGTGTTTTTTTTTTCGGACCGACTGAATGGATAAACGTTTGGGTTTTAAATAATGTAACGGGCAACCTTTTAGTCGACGACCTGCCCGACCGACCGAGCGCGCGGGTACCTATGTATAGTACACGTATAGTTATAGTCCCCGGCGGCCGAGGGATACCCGAACCGAAAAAAAAAATCCGAAGACGATTCCCACCGGGAGTTGAAAAAACGCTGTTTAATGAAAATCCCATTGTTGTTGCCGCTAATAGCCCGCTAAATGAAATCTCTACCGTGTTTTCTTCGGATTACAAATTGCTGCAGCGATATAATTTATATATTATATAAAGTACAGCAGTTCTCAACCTGCAGTAGTAACTCACGACAGACGCTGTAGGGGTTACACAAAATCCTAGGGGTGAAAAAGAATAATACAAAACGAGGGAATTTTTAATTTTTTCGAATAAAAACGTATAAAATATTGTATTCGATACGATATTAGTATCCCAGTCGAAAACCGCTGTAACGTAGGTTTACTCGTGTTTTCCTTCAAAAATCGACTGTTTTAAATTTCAATGTGTTATAGGTATATAAATATTTTGATAGGGCGATGCA